GTATATTACAAAACTATTAGAGGATGTGGTTGATGACTATGACAGTGCTCGTTATGTAACAGCTCTCTTTTACACCCAAGATGTTGTCGATCCTCTCCCATTTACTACTTCGGGAGAAGAGCATGTCATCCCAAAAGAGGGCATAAAGGGGGTTGTAAGAAGCATTACAGTTGTTGAGAATGAAACTGTTGAAATAGAGGAGGAGGAGTATTATCTGCTCCTGGCCTTGGTGAACGGATCCACTGACACCACCTGTCTCAATCAAGCTGATGAAGAACCCTTTGCGGAGAGCGTTGACGTTCAAGGTGACGAGGATCCGATCACCATGGATGCTGGCCGACCGCAAAGGAAGCGGAAGAGGACAGTGAACCAGGAGTTTCTCTTTTATTAAGATCTAATTTGTTCATTTTCAGGTATTTAGTATTCTGTTTCAAAATAATTTTAGGTATTTAGTATCAAACATTTTACGATTTTGAGGTATATTGGTATCTTGGGGGCAAAATAGCGGGTATATTGGTATCCCACTACCCCCCCTGGCCGGGCCTGTGTGTTGTTGTTCGCATGAAGTGCTGACAAAAATGGCGATTCGGTTCCTCGAGGTAAGACGTCGTTTTCATGTAGCATTCTTCTCGTGTTTACTTGAAACGTAGAATTTCTGCAAACATTTGCCTTCAAATTTGTTTGTCATAAATAAACTTCGTTGTTGGGCCAAATTTTTCTTGTTAGGAAACGGTGAGTTCACAAAACGGTCTCTTCTAGGCGAATAAACGGGAGTTATAAACAATCCATCGACCACAAAACTCAACAACAGTAAATGGAAATCCTCGAGGTAAGACGTCGTTTTCGTGTAGCATTCTTTCTCGTGTTTACTTGAAACGTAACATTTCTGCAAACATTTGCTTTCAAATGGGCGCGCTTGGAAGTGCCTGAATCATTATTGACCAAGCGGAAGGTCAAGATGGCTGGATATATTGGCCAAGTTCCCCTGACCGTTTTTATTGACCGAGCCGAGGCCAATAGACAGCCATCTTGATCGAACAAGCTTCAAGTTGGTAAACAAAGGATTTATGTATTTTTTGGCCAAAAAGACAACATTTTCTTGGGGAACAACACGAGAATCCTGAGCCCGCTTGGTTAGCAAATCAGAACGCAGGATTCGTTTCATCTTGACCGCTCACGGATTCAGCCACATATTAATTGAACACTAACTTCACGAGTCAATTACAGCCCAGAGTTATTTTGATCAACTTGCGCTCTCATATGCGATAGAGGTGAAGAAACTGTTAGCAAGCCTATCATTCCGAACAAAATTAAAGGTTTCAAGAGATTTTTCACCCTACCAAAAAAAGGTAACAGATGCATGCACATGCATTGCAGATCAATTACTCATTGAGCACTGAATTAACACCTGAAGAGCGAACAAGGAACATTTCAGTTCACCCAACAGCATTTCAGGTCATTTCAGGCTGCTTTATCGTACAGTTAGCTGCTGTCTACAAATAAAAGGTTTATGATGGTTATTATATCGACATTTCTTTAACATTTCACTCACTGAAGCCATTTTTTCAACTTTTTCGAAATATCACGTGAACTATCTTAAGAAATAAGAAAAACAAATCACAAAAATATAGCTTTCTGAATTCATTCATGTAGAGATGTGTCGCGCGACCTTTCCGGGTTTGGGGGAGGCAATGAAATTAGGTAAAAATTGATGATATCGAACTGCATTGAATCATGATAATACATGACAGATTTTGTGATGAGAGAGCTTTTTTCCTTCAAAGTCATGTCTCATCTAACGATGTCGAACGAAGAGCCATACAGAAAAAAAAACTGACAGTTTCGATTTTCTTTTCTCTAATATCATCAGTGACAACTAGTTGTCAGTTAATTGATGGAACGCGCGAACGTGGATGTACATAGTATAAATAATTTCAATTAATTCTGGTTCACACAGTTTTTCAGTTTCCACTTTTTATAAAGTACATTTATATGACGCTTTATAAAAGCAAATATAAGTTCTATGCAGGTTCTATGTGTCACGTGTCAGGATTGTTACACCACGGTGTTTCTTGTACATTGCAGTGCAAGTTCACGTTGAGAATCACGCACGGTGGCCCATTAATAACAAGATCAGTCATTTTGTTGTAACTCCTGTTTCCCTGTCTCTCTGAAACGATACCTGAAAAGCCAACACGAACATAAATACGGAATTTCAAGATTTCAAGTCTAAAGAATGAAAATTCAGATCAGCAGGGTATCCAATAACAACTGAAGACTAAACTTCAACGGCTCGATGTGAATGAAATTTCGGCCTATGATAAACGTCATGCTACCGTTTGAAAACCAAGAGGTAAACGCTAGCTCCAAAGACTGCGCGGGGGAACAATGTGAACAATGCGAACAATGTGAACGATGTGAACAACGGCTCGATGTGAATGAAATTTCGGCCTATGATAAACGTCATGCTACCGTTTGAAAACCAAGAGGTAAACGCTAGCTGCAAAGACTGCGCGGGGGAGGGGGCACGGGGAAAGAGGGAAAAGAAAGAGCGCTTTGGTACGCTTCTCAGTAATTTTATATCTGCATTGAAAACGTGGAAGCTCCGTTCCACCCTTCGTTCCACGCTCTGCAGCACTGAGGCCGGTCTACCTTCCTATCAAACTGCTAGTAGCAGCCCCCCCCCCCGGGGGGTGTACTACCTTATATAAGCCATGTATGTATGTGCCCCTCCCCCACAGGGTAGGGTTTTTGCGCCGTTTTAGTCTGAAAACGGGTATAGACTTTGCCCATTTTGGTCTGGAATCGGGTACAGTAATCGAGCGAACTACGGGATTGTAGGAACGTATTTATCGTTTCAATTCCAAATGAGGTAGAGAGAAAGAGAAATATTCGAATGCGAAATTGATTTTAAGAAATGTTTTTTTCCTGTTCTAATCTAAGTGATGATGAAATAATTTCTTAAAGACCAGGGGCCCGTTTCTCGAAAGCTCCGGTAACGTTTCGGGCCCGAAATCAAATTTTCAAATCAAAATATAAAGAATAAGAGCCCTGGTTCTGGCTAGCAAACTACTCCATTGTGTTTCATTAACTGATAGTTTTGTCATGTTAGATGCAAAACTATTGAAACCTCTACCTTGCATGTAAACAACAACAGCTTTACGGGCCCGTTAATTATCGCGACTTTCGAGAAACGGGGCCCGGGTCTGAAAACGGGTTGAAAATTGACACCCCCACCAATAATTCCCAGGAATACCCCCTCCTCCAGGGAAAGCAGCTTAAGAGGATCATTCCTTTAAGTGACCGCTTCCAGTTGTAGACCCTCTTCTTGTGTTTTCCAGGAGCGTCCTCTTTCATGAGCTTAAGTGGTATTAGTAATATTATTACTTACTGATAATTTAGCCTCTTTCATTATCATCATCGTCACGTCCCCAACCCCAATATTTGTTGGAAAGTCCATTGACCTGAAATTAAAAAAGAGGATGGTTTTGAAATCATTTATTGCAAATTGAAGTTATTGAAGTTATATTCAAATAAACCCGAAAGGTTTCTTTTTTTTTTTCTTTTTGTTTTGCAATTGCTTAAATTGCAATAACCGCTACGGCGATCATATCCGAACATTTAAAATTTGTATTTTCGCAGTTCACATCATCTTCACGCTTCACTCCTTTCACGAGTTAAGATGAACTCAAGAAATTGGCCTGCTCCCAATGTATGGGTCTTCATTTTTTTAAATTTTTTTTTTTTATTCAAGACATTTATTACTTTAATTACAAAGAACTAATTAAAAAGAAACTAATTACAATATTCTAAACAACCGCAATAACAGACATACTTACACAGTTATCTACATTTCGCAATTATATACATTACAGCCACAAAAAAGCCGCGCAATTGCTGAATGAGGCTTATTTTACAAAGAATTAATTAATACTTAATTATGTAGATAAAAGAAAAATTAACACTTATTTACAGTACACTCTGAAATAAAACAAAAACACAAAAAAACAATACAGAAAAAAAAAGTGTCTAATAAAAGATTACAATTTTAATTCATACCCACGAACTTAATTAAAGGGGGGAAATGTCTTTTGGCCATTTTTTCATAAAAGGTTTCTAATTTATTATTCTTAGTGGAAATATATTTTTCAACGTGGTATTTAATTCTTACTTGAAATTTGAAACCTTCAATGTTTGGAAGTACCTGTTTCTTTCTGCAATCCCATAAATACAATTTACCAATTAATATCAGATAATTTAACAAGGGGCATTTTGACTAATGCCCCTTACGTTCAAAGAAACTAATTTAAATAAATCTGCCGTTTGAGTTGTGTTTTATAAAAATACATATATTGTTTAGGATTAGTACTTTCCGATCTTTAACGAAGCATTCAAAAAGAGTGAAACAAAAGACATTTTCTCCTCCAACTGAGAAAATAGTAAAACAAAAGAGAACGCACAGTACATTTACATATAAGCTGACATTATACAAAATTCTTAACATCTAGTGGACGTGGATTCACTGTTCAGTTTGAAACCGATCAGGGAATTAATACATTAATAATTAATTGCCATTTTACAAAAATAGGGAAGGTCTTGAGTTTCTTTTCCTCTGTATATTTGGCCACTGATAATCAATTTATCAAAATTAAAGAAGGCCTTTTGCTTATCCTGCTTGGCCTTTTTAAGCACTGAATAAAGTTTTCTATGAATTTCTTCAATTTTTTTTGGGAAATCATCTGAGAAACCGATGTTGGTTCCTTTTAAGTTCTTATAGAAGGAGCGAAGACATTTTTTGTCTTGATAATGACTGAAACGAGCAATAATTGGTAGGACGGAGCTCTTAGACTAGAATTATTAGTGGAGATTCGGTGAACTCGCTCAAAGCGGATATCGTTGACTCTATCCGCCGGAATTTTCAAATTAGCGACGAAGACACTTCTTACCAGCTCTTTAGTATTTTCATCCTCTTCTTCCCCGACATTGAAAATTCTTACATTCTCACGTCTTGTATAGGCTTCCAACTTGATGTTTCTGCGTCTTAGCGCTCCAATGTCCTTGAACAAGAAGTCAATGTCTTCATTGTTTTCTTTTACTTGTGCAGAAGTTTCTTTCTGGCTTTCTTGTAGACTTAGAATTTCTTCCTCGGCAGATTGCAAAGATTGTTTTAAATTCTTTACTTCATCTCTCAGCTTGCGTATTTCATCTTTTAGTAGTGCAATTTCACCACACGCTGTTAAAACTTGATCTAGTATAGTGTTCATTTCCTCGAGGCGTGCTGACATTATTCCACCGAAGCCCACATGTTCATCATCTTCATCCGTTTGCGAGCCATTTTCTCTCAGCCTTTTGCTCGGATTCTTGTCCGCTTTGTCCTTCCCCTTTTCTGGTTATATCTATTTGTAGGTTTCCACGACAGGTACGTTATTAAAGCGTTTAGAACAGCATATCTGGTGGAGCTCACAAAAACACGTCCTACCTCCACGAGGTGCACTGCGCCGACTCCATGTATGGGTCTTCATTGCTCAAATGGTAGAGCACTGCAGTGCTAACGCTATTCTAAAATTTTTCTATATTGTAATATAAAATTATTGTGCAGTTCAAGTGTAAATATTAGAGAGACTTACTAGAGTAACGTTTACGTCAAACGATCAAGTTTTCTCATTTTACTTGTCGTTTATTCCTCTTTAAAAGTACACGCTAATAACGCCACTTTTATTCATAAGAATTGTTTTGAGCTGTTTTTATCTGATCATTTTCTATTTCGAGAATTTTCATATAGAATTTGACTTTTGCCGTTTACCGTAAAGGTGACTCTAGAGAAGTTAAGCATCACGTGTATGTCAAACAGCAAACGCGAATTTGTACCACGTGACCAAGTGTCCCCATTACTTGTCTTTATACTGTTTTTATTTCTACACATAAATTAGTAGTTTCACCCAATTTTTTATCCATAAGAATTGTTGTGAACTGTTTTTATCTGCTCATTTTCTACTTTGAGAAATTCTCAACTTGAATCTGACGTTTGCCGTTTGCTGTATACGTGAAGCTTAAACTCTCTTCTATCTCACCATTCGCAACCGCCATTGGTGTCCCCGAAACCAAAATAATCAAAAACCTATTATTTTGAAATCGTATACACGCAGCAATCCTTATCTGTACGAGTGAACAGGAACTAGGTTGGATAAGGCGCCGGAAATATCAATTCACCATTTTCACATAGACCGTAAAGAAACTTGTTCACTCTTAAAAATTTTGCAGGTTCTCAGTCGTTCCAAGAGAAATCGAAGACAATAGTTATGCAAAATTTGGGAGGTAAACAAGGTGGATAATGGTCTATAGAGTGTTTTCACATGACGTCACGGAGGCCAGATTGGTGTCCCGAAACGATGAAACGGCGGCCATGTTGGTGTCCCAAACCAGTCCTCTGGGAGTTGAACTCTTTTCTTATCCAAACGCTTTCTTTTGTTCCAATAAATTTGCATATATGCTGGCCACGTGAGTGAAAACACTCTGTATGAAAATGGCGAATAGAGCCTAATAGAGATAATAGAGACAACACCATGTGATAACGTCCGCTCATGCTCAGATTTTTCACTGAATAATCATGTCACTTAAGTGTCACCAAAATGTTTCATTTGAAAACTGAATAAACAGTGTTATGTTCATCTCCGGCTGTAATAAATGACACTTTGTGACGTAAAACCTGTTGATAGTGTTTAAGTTACTTCTTTTTTTATTATTATTATTAGTTAATTTCATGCATTATAAAATGTATGCTCTCGGGACTAGAATGCTATCAAATATAACTAAGAATTTGTAAATCTGGCCATTTTATTTTGAAAATAATAAAGAATAAATTATTCAAATAGATGCTGATAGGGGCACGCAATAAAAACAGATATAATTCATAGGTAAACAAATCAGAGCTTTCGAGCCGACTTGAACATTAAATTTGAAATGCAAATCTCATCATTTTACATCGAGTCTAGAACTGCGACAGACCTACCTAACGATTGAAATATATTCTCAGGATTACCCCTTATTTTAAGTACAATTTATCCATATTTCACTATCAGTCTATGGCATTCCACGCTCATCGATAAGTTGAACTGAGATAATGAGCGGCTTTTGTGAATTTTCACACATTATTCATTTCATTAATTGCGCTTTGTTTACAGAATAAGCGGCTATTATAAATTTTCCCTTTCTTCCAATATACCTTATTATAGGAAATTAACGCGAATCGTTAAAATTCGCGTTAATCTAAGTCGCGTTAAGTTTGTTGAGCGTTAATTTCCGTGACGTTAATTAAGTGCAGCGTTAATTTCCGCGCTCTTAATTTCCAGTATTTTAACCCCAATTTTGGAACCTGTCCAGACGTTCTTGACACCTAAAAAACATTAACTACAAGCTTTCTTTCTTTTCATTTACCCTTTATTTTTCATCTTTCACAAAAGTTAAGGCGAATGTTTACAAAATTTCGAGTTGATCTTCATCGTTGTCGCTGTCAGAAGTGATGTCAGTATCTTCTCCTTTGATTTCGATCACCCACTGTGTCTTAATCGCGTTAATTTTCTTTATTATGAAATTCTACCTCCTCTTTCGCGTTAATTTTCTTTATTCGAAAGTCGCTTTCCATTAAATTCGCGTTAATTTAAGTCGCGTTATTTTCCAATACTTTAATTTCATGGAGCGTTAATTTCCTATAATAAGGTATAGCTTAATCGGACCTAAGCACGAAAAATCATACTGACCTGAAAATTGTTAAAACGATAAGTCTCTAGGAAATCTTTTCCCTCCAGTATTGAACTATGAAACGTAAAAATCAGAATGATTGGTGATTGTGCTCCACTGATTTATTTCAAAATATGATGCAAACCAGCGAGGAGGTAAAAATGCCTTTAGTTCAGTTTATCACTGTTAATAACACTTCACTGTGTTAGATGATGGGATTACAAAAGCTGAAGGTATAACTATATAAAAAAGAAAGCCCGATGCAAATATCACAAGGCTTAACTTTACTAAAGTTTACGAACATAAAAGAGCGTCTAATCGCCCAGTAATTTTACAATATCTTGGCTGCCCGTATGCAAAATGTTTGAAATGGAATAGCCGAGATTATCATTTGAACCTGTACACTTTTTAGCAGAAAAATAATTTGCTTTAGAAGATAAATGAGACATTCTTGCCAGAATTGCTTCTTATCTCCTGTGGCATTTCCCCTTTTCTAAAAAACTCAAAGTTAATTATAACTAATCATAGTTTTCGTTTTAGTCTAGATGTTTGTTAATTTCTACTGTTTATAATGCGATCCTGAAATCATACGCCATCTTCTATATACTCTCGTACCCCGTGGGAAGTCAAAGACCTCACATGTCTACCCCCACTAAGTACGTGTACCTTTAACATACGTATCAGCTTTTTCCTGATCCTTACCCATCTCACTGCTACCCTCTCCGGCATTTTTTTTCCTTGTGTTGAACGTGTAATATTTTAATTCGTACTAAGCTTTATTGCCACGTATTCCTAGAAGGTATGATGAAGACCACGGTAGATTTTCTCTCATTGGAAGCAAGATGTCTACCGAGCACCAACTCCGTGTGCACGTCTTCTCGATTTTCTTCATAGTTGCTCTCATTTACCAAGAAATTGAAGGTATGAACGACAGCGAATTTGCTGTTTTTAGGTTATTGAAGAACTGTTTTATACATGTTTTATACAACCATGCTAGTAAAATTTTGATTTAGTGATGAAGATCTGTAAGTTACAAGAAGCCTTTGATTTCACGAAGGATGAAGCATTGTTCACAAGTAGTTTCTTCTTTATTAACACAATATCTTTATGGGTAAAAAATGTCGAATAGTTGCACAGTGGTACTTAATAGTTTGTTCTTGTTTGTACTACAGGACTCAGCTTCAAAGCAGGAAAATTCAATATGACCACAACTTTGAGTCTGTTTGCCTGTAAGAATGTTTCTTTTGAGGAGCCTTTTATCGGTGGACAAGAAATTAAAATCTTCATTTCTAAAAGCCATGCAACGAAACGTTCTACTCGTGGAAATGGCGCAGCAATTTGGGTGGAATCTGTGAATAACAAGGCATTTACTGCCTGTGTTTTGGAGCACGGAGATGGCTCAAGTAGCACTTCACAAGTGAACTGGATGGCTCTGCAATCTGTACCTACTGGCGCTCTACTTAATTACACCTTCGTTAAACTCCTGGTCTGGTGGAACAAATTGTAAAAGGATCGCTTTTGAAAAGGTTCGATTTGCCCTGTTTTTCATTCTTTTTAATTTCAGTTCGTTTGTCTCCTAAGAAAAAAAACCCTCAGCCTTTTGCTTTACACTCGTTATTTCATATGTCTATTCATTCCGTTAAGCGTGAAAGACTGTTTTTAATTGCCGTGAATCGTGAACGAAATAACTCGTGATCCGTGAACAAAAATGATCCCGTGATTCGTGAAATGAATAATTTACTTCTCGAGATTCGTGACCATGGTCAATATATATAGCTAGTTTTTCTTGAAATATTCAACGTAAGCTTTTAATGTCAACAAAGATGAACAAACAGCCACTCTCCTCCTAGACATTATATCTAGTCGTCACATGATCAAATGACTCGCACGCATAACTCCTTCAAAAGGTGCGAGGGAAAATCTAAGCACGAACAGTGAGGGAAGCGTTTTCCAAGTTTTGTACGGCGCTGGTAACTGTAACGTAGCCAACAGTTACAAGCGCCGTACAAACGACTTATTGACGAGATGAAGCAAAACTAACTACGAGAGAACCACTGGAGAACTGACAATTTGACTAACAATAGGCGATTGTTTAACTGTGACAATGGACGGATCGAAACGCTACTTCTTGTTTTGTTATTAATGGTGTCTTTAACGTAATAGAACAAGTTTTGTATTCTGTAATGCTGGCAATTTTGAGTTTAGCAAGAGATCACATATGACGTCAAAGTGTGGTAAAAACAAAGACGTGGCACACCTGCCGCAGGCGAGTGTGTCACGCAGATATTTTTACCACATTTTCCGTCTTTTGTGATCTATACATGGAATCCATTTGTTTTAAACAACGAAGAGGGAAGAAAACGACATACTCATACACTGACACACGGTGGCAATTATTGTGAAGATTTCTTGTAGTTTAGGAATTCTCAACAAGTTGTCAAGTTCTCTTTTTGTCTCCGATTCTCCATTTTCCTCCTTTGTAAATAGCTCCTGCTAAAATCTTCTGGAGGATTGCACCTGCTGAATTCGAAATAATCTCACAAACATTTTCATAACCGCGTGCCATGTTGAAGAAAACGGCAAAGAAAACAAGATTCCCTTAACGTCATCCTTGGGTCTGTACTCTAATAAATCATGGGCAACGACTAATCACGTCACGCGAGGCATTTACATCATTGTGTAACTTCACATCTTTACCTCTTTTCTGCAGGATTGGATGGCTTTTATCAAATTGAAGACTGACAATTTCACCTTGACTAACAGTCTCGTGTTTACAAACAACAACTCACCATCAAATAAACAAGACAACAACGCTGTCTGTCAGGTATATTGTCATGTTTAATGGTTTCCAGCATTGACCACCCTTGCTTTCCTCTTTCCTCTCCTTGTTTTTGTCATTCAAATTATGGATTAACTTATATCTTTGAATAATTGTATCCTTTCAACAGAAAGTCTCATTTTCCACTTGTAAAGTTGGTAGGAGGACTGAATCAGAAAATGGTTGTTAATATTTTATACTTTTTCTTGGAAAGAAGCTATTTATTTCAAATGAGATTTAAGATCATTTACTTCGTACTGTTTTCAGAAAGTTAAGTTCCAGGATGTCTTTTATGCCCCTCCAGTTGTAGTGGTGTCTCCAAGACTTGGTTACAATAACAACAAATCACGTTTCTCAGGATCCGAACCATGCAAAGCAGTTACTGCCTGGGTTGAGGTTAGAAACATATAGTCCCCCTACTCTTCGTGTGGTTGTAATGAGGAGAATTTGTTTAAAAGTCAATAAATTATTCCTTTGATCGTTGCCATTTTACTCACGTTAAAAACTTAGATGGGGTTAATATTACTAATTTAACTAGTTTCTCATTTTCATATGAATAGGGCAAATAGCGTTCCTTACAAAAAGTTTCTGCAGACTTGTCAGATGAAAACAGACTTTTTCATACTTTAGTTTTTTTACTTGTTTGGTTCTTTCAAAAGGAAGGACTTAGAAGTTTTAGTCCCATAGGTTTTTAACAATTGTTATATGGGAATTGTTACTCTACTTGCATTAAACCTAATCTTTTACCATCAATAAATCGACTAGTCAGTTGAATTTGAAAAATGTATTGTTCAGTATTACGTTTAGTGCAACAAAATGTTATATTATGTTATCTTATGTTTTTCGCTGTTTTGGAATATGCTTAGCATACATCTACAAACGAAACAGAAGTGTGTGTGAGAAGCTACAACAATGATGCCAACGATAAGGATATCATAAAGGTCGATTACATTGTAGTTGGAGGTACGTAATATATTATGCAACGTAAAATGAGGAAACAGCAATGACTTTTAACTGTAGACAATCACGGTGCTCTCTAATAGTGATTAACTGTACAATACTAAAATGCATACGTTTCGATCAAATTTTAGTCTAAATTAAAGTTCTTTTCCTTTGTTGCAAATCATTCAGATTATACATTACCAGGCCCCAAAACAAAATAAAGTGAAATTAAAAGCTAGGTTAAAATTCAGCAATATACGACATATATGGAACTGAGCGCTCATGTGCTTTATGCTGTGTTCACTTTATACCGGATAGCCTTTCATGGCGCCACGAGAAGCTGTCCGGTGTAGTGAATCCTACATGTATCCAACATGTGACTCTACACTTTTCGTCCGGTGGCTTAGTGCAAAATTTTAGCGAAATCTATACAGAGCGGACAAAAGCACCAAACTTTGCATGGTTGTAGCTTAGGGCATGTCAGTCAATATTAGGATCGGTGCCCACAGCTACCTCTTCAGGATTTGCAGCAACTGCTCGCTGAAGTTCTTCAACAACCTTCCATGATGGGTGCCCTGTGCTGGCGCCACGAGAAGCTATCTGGTACAGTGTGAACACCTACATGTATCCGACATGTGTCTCTCCACTTTAGAGATCGGCGAGGCACATCCTCTCTTTGTCACAGAAATCACTCCGCCACAACCGCTTTTTTATGTGAATAGAAGCCCTCTCCGATAAGATTTTCGTCGCGGCGCACATGTTATCCGGTATACTGTGAACATAGCCTTAACCGTTACCCAGTTCCCTGATAACTCAATATTCCAGGCTGTTTTATCTATTGACAAATTCGAAATGAATGAATCTGAAATGATGCACTCTGATTCCAACACTTGTATGTTTGTCTTTTAGACTTGGATCCTTGTATAGATGTAACATGTCATTATCACAGCCTGTGTAAGGCTTTTGGACCTAATGATGCACGCTGTGTGTGTTTGGACAGCTGTCCGACTTACAAAGAACCCGTATGTTCATCCAATGGCACTACGTACGACAACAAATGTCTGTTTGAACAGGAAGTTTGTCTCAATCGACTAAACTTTACCGTACAACATCCTGGCAGCTGTGAAGGTCAGCAGTTTATTGCCTTTTTATTGGTCAGAGGCACCTTTTCACTGAATTCTGTTAGTCTTTGGAGTAATAGAAAAATTTTCTTTTACTTCATTTCTGTTTACTTTTCCAATATTTTGGGGGTAAAGTTGTTGCGTCAACAAGGGATTTAACTTTATTACTGTAAACCAAATAACTAATCTTTACAACTCGTTTTTAGGATTTCCTTTTTAGCATGGTCGCCTTCACATGGCCCAAATTCCATCTCTGGGTTATTCTCATTGTCAAGTAATTCGTTTCAAGCCTTTTGTATTTTACCCTGACAAACCCATTGAACTGCAGATCACTGTAAATCATATTGATACCAGTGACAAATCCTATGTCCATGACGCGGCAGTATCGTGGATTGAAGATGTGAATAACGACGGATTCACTGCCTGTGTGATAGCAGCTGGATATAACGAAAGGAAGTCTTATGCTAACGTGACAGTTGATTGGATGGCGTATCAAGGTGCTCCAGTGGGTGGCGTGACTGGTGAACTGCGCATGTCACAGTGGTGGACAGGGACGATTTGCGCAACTGTGAGATTTCCCACCGTAAGATGCCTTGTTTGTTTATCTTAATGCTTTGTTTTCCTAAGCGTCTAAATACACATCATAAAATCATTCAGTTTGACTTTAAAACGAAACTTTCAGGGTGCTCTGTTGTTGGGAATACACGCTTTGAAAAGACAACAATATCAACATAAAGTGACCGTTCTATTTTCTCTCAATAACCACTGAAATCTAGTTATGTGGTTTCGAAGGAGTGAAACAAGACGTTCAAACTGCCACTTTTAATCACTTTCCTGAATCTACGAAAATCGCTGTTCTTGCTTCGAATCGATAATAAAATAAATAAATACATGAATAAATAAGAAGAGGTCATAATAAGTGTAAATGAAGAGTATGCCAAGCATTTTATCAGAATGACGACTATTCTATGCTATTTCTCAGGGGAAATTTTCTGCCAAACCTTCAGTCTTTGTGACGTCAAAGCATTACAACCCAGGACTAAAGCGTAACGCTGCTAGTGTATGGATTGAAGATTTGACGAAATCATCATGTAAAATTTGTATGAGAGAACTGCAGAATTATGCTGGATCACACCGAGATATTTTTGTTGTAAGTATATATAGTGTATCGTTATTTTAAGTGTCAAACATGGATCATACATTGGGCTGCCAAAATGCCAAAGCTTTGACTCTGGCTCTGGCTTAGGCAAAAGGTAATACTACAAATGCTTTGAAAAGAACAGCCCATCGTTTTCATACTGGTTGAGCAACTCTGCAATTATTATGTATGTTCCAGTACAAAATAATCCACAATATTTTACCGTATCGCAGCAAATTATTCAAACTCCCCGCTTTGCGTTCATTGTAACTCTTTAGACACACTTCCCCATATGCTAGTGAATTGTACCGAAATTAACAGTTTCTGAGCAAAAATAATCTCGTGGTGGAATCATCAAAGCGGAGACTGTTACCTTGTAGATGAATTAAGCATACTTTATGGTTACTATCCAGAAGACAAAAGAACTCTAATTTTCAATTATTTTATTTTACTGGGAAGGAGACACATTTTTACTCAGAAATCCGAACAGAAGACCCCTAACATCGACCTGTTTTTTGATTTTGTTAAAGGAAAGCTAATTGTACATAGATGTATATTCCAATCCAAAGGGCTAATTAACAAGTTTCTCTCTCTATGGAAACCTCTCCTGTGCTTACGATAAGTTTTAATTATATATTAATCACCATGGCTCTTTTGTGTAAAGTAGTGTAATGTATTTAATTATTTATTCAATGCTTTGTTTTGTAATACTTTTTAATGTTTGCAATAAAGTGTTGAAGCATTGAAAATAACAATAATAAAAAAACTCTGCAAATTCGTCTTAGAATTAGTTATCAAAAAGCACAAATTACATTTCAACATTCTTTACCTTCACACCTCATGGCCGTTGTTTTTTTTATTATTTATTTATGTATGCATGCCGGTCGATTAACCAGAAATAACGCGTTTTTGATTTTACTTTCAGAATTGGCTGGCCTTTTCAGATCTTCCCAACCCTCCCTTTTCAGAACATAATGCGATCTACTTTGCAAATGATAAACCTCCCAACAGCAGACATTATAATGCATTTTGCAAGGTCAGTATCAGCGTTTGAGTTTGAATCCAAATGTCAGTGAAAAACCTTTTTTTACCATCTGATGGTAGTTATCAAATTTTACTTTCAGACCATTGTGTTTAACCTGTAATATCATTGGTGACGAATTACTCCTTAATTTTGGCTCGAAATTTCAGCATTAATTTGTAATTTCACATGTGAAATTACTTAATTGCCATGGCGACGAAGTTTTAAAATGTCATGAATGAAGATGTCAGGGCATAAAAAGACGCTTTAGAAAACCTGAACACACGAAAGAGCACTTCAAGAAGGATTCTTAGAGGTATGTTGTCGAAAAATTCTGAAAACGTAAGCCAAATTTCACCTCTAAACATTTGAGAGAGTGGAGTTCACGATCGATCGATACGATCCAGGATAAACAAGTCAAAAATCCTCGATTGCTAAGGTAATTCGTCACCCATGATATTAATAGGTAATCAAATGGTATACTCGTGAAATTAGGGAATAATTTCACTCGTCACCATTTGATTACACATACTAATAGCTGCCTTAGCAATGTACACAATACGGACAATTCCACAGGTCACACATTCGCTACTTCTATACCTCAGTCACCTCTATGATGGAGTCTGTCCATTTGGTGTCTGTATGCATTGAATAGTTTTAAGAATTAAATGTAAATATTCTGTCAAAAGAGAATGATAGAGCAAAAGCATAAAACCCATTTGAATGGCAATTTCACGTTATCAAAGGTTTAAAGTCTAGTTGCAGCCTATGTTTCAAAAAGCTTCTTGTGCCGAGTTCAGTGAATGACCTTCGAAATAACGTTGACCTCAAAATCTCTTTCGTCTTACTGTATTTGTCTGACAGATTTTAGCTTCTCAGTTTGGAAGTGTACTTTTTATAGTGCCAGCCCAGTTTATTATGAACATCGATATGGCATGCTTTTCCCAAAATTTTAAATGCAAATGTAAGAATTAGTTAATTCACTATTATGTCGAAATCGTCAGGAAAACCAAAAACCTCCTTTTTCCAAGGTGTAGAGCAAAGCCTTAGTAATCAAAATCAACATTCTCAAATTTCAGTTTATTTCCTTCTTACCCTTCTATAGTCAAGGGCACTTTAAGGTAGTATCTGTAAACAGTAAAATAAAATTGAGCTATCCAGACTGTTACCAGAGGATTCTATAATGCAATAAAAAAAACTGTTGGATTTGGAAGTAGACTATACCTTGGTAACAATTCCCCTTCAAGTTGAAATATTTTCTTTATCTTTTTTAGGAAGCAATCTTTGCCAAAAGTTATAACACAACGCCACACATCTTCGTTTCTGCTTTGCATTCAACAAAAGGAGGGAATCAAAGTCCAGTTCATAACAGCATAGCCGCCTGGGTAGAGGTTGGTAACTGGTGATTTCAGGATATCAAATAGGCCAATTGGACTAAGAGGTCATGTGAAATCATTTTTATGGAAATGAAAGTTATAATTTTGCCTTCAAAAAACCATTAGTGGGTAATATCTTAACCAAAATAATAGTGATTTAGTTTTTCAAACCCGCACCATTTTCTTAAAATGAGTAAGTTCGTAGCTGGTCAGGTGACCAAAATGTTATTTTTGAAACTATGAATTACCTCTTTCTGAACAGAAATTTTGCTCCTAAACTTGCTGAAAAGGTGATGTGGTAACGTTAACAGCACATCTGAGCGTAACTATCAAACGTTTAACAAGATACAAGAAAAAAGTAGTTTTGGCCGCCAGGTTGGAGGGCAAGAGTATGACCTCCAACATTGCAGCCAGTACCATATATACTACTTTGTTGAAAAATCATTAAACTTGCTGAAAAGATGATGTGGTAACGTTAACAGCACATCTGAGCGTAACTATCAAACGTTTAACAAGATACAAGAAAAAAGTAGTTTTGGCCGCCAGGTTGGAGGGCAAGAGTATGACCTCCAACATTGCAGCCAGTACCATATATACTACTTTGTTGAAAAATCAAAGTGCCATAAAATATCTCCCTTAAATGCGTTTCCTCTCAAATGTCGGGTGTACGATAATTTTTATGCGCTCTGTCAATTTTTTGTCGTCAGCAGGATTCCAAGTCATTGTTTAAAGGAAGCATTGGTCACGCGAACTCTTACTGCAAGTGGCCTAATTTCGTATTAAATTATGAGTAGTATAGTAGGGACCGAATTAACCTTTATTGGCGGACGAATCTCATTACTCTGCCAAGGATATCTATAGACACCGATGACGTTATGCCTTTTTGTCTTTATTAGTTGACTGGTAACATGTAAATAATAGTAATAATAATAACTATTATAATCATAATCATAATCATAATCATAACATATTCAACCGGGGTAAACCTGTCAGCGAAAGCTGTTATAAATAGAGAGAACAATACCAATTTCTTCACCGATGCATACAGACAACTACAACAAATAAAGATAAAAATAACTGGTTAGAGCTGGATACTGGTGCTTGGGCACCAGTGAAAAAATGCCTTTCTTAGCAGATTCTGTGCGTACTGTAGGAATTGAATTATCTAAAGATAGATAGAATCTCATTAAGATAGGTGGTGTGCCATTTTAAGGTGGTTTAATCGGTTTTAGACTGGAGCTTTCTAGATGTTATTAGGGAAACAAATGCGTTTCTTTTTAATTGGTTGACTAAAAAGTAAGTTAAGTATTCATTTGTTGATACATGCTGTCAAAGTAATAAGCGCTAGTCCCCCTTTGACATGAAATCACTAAGCAAGTATCCAGTTCTATTTCCTGCTGCTTTCATTGCCCAATGTTTTTTTCCAGTTCAGGTTCTCTGATTCTTGGCGAGCAAATCGTGCATATTGATGAGTTCAGAGACCAACTAGCTCTTTCTAATAATAAAGCAAATTTTCAATTTACCCTAGTTCCCCTCTTCTTCTCCACAATTCAGTTTTTTCGCTTCACCTTCCTTTTTTTCATTTTTCTTACACCACGAAAACCACCACCACAGCCTCCACAAGCACATTTTTATTGTTTTCCCGAGTCCTCCTCCACCACCACCACCTTTTTGTTGTTTTCCCGAGTCCTCCACCAGCACCACTGCCACCACCAATTTTCTATTGTTTTCCCTCCCTCACCTCCCCATTTCTATTGTTTTCCCTACTCCACCACCACAATGCACATCTTAGTACTAATGTTTAGTGCTTTTACATGTACAGTATATTAGCAGGAAAGGCTTTCGGGTTTGTGTCAAAGAACTGTATGAGGCAAAATACGACCCACTCTTCATATCCTACATAGTTTTGTCAGGTAAGAACTTTACTACAAAAAAAGATTTTTTACGGTATATCTTTCTTTATCGTCTCTTATTTGTGACTCAATGCCGTGATTTATAGCGGGGCTCCCGCGCGCGCGAAGCGCGCGTGGGACAGAGCCCCATACCCATGGAATATGGTCAACCTCTTTTCGTTTGGTTGTCACGTGATTGACCGAGCGTACGTACGTACGTACGCGTCTACAGATTGTATGGGTGGGGTAGGGGAGACTATCAAAAGGAAGGGAGGGGTGTCTCAGGCGTGTCTTGGCAAGCCCACATCTTTAATATAGGACATTAACAATATGGTCAATTGACAGCTGTCCAAACAGGATAGCCACTGACCAGTATCCCATGACCATATCGCCGGCTCATGTGTCAACTCATCGAGGTGACGTGATTTATTTGGAAGCTGTCCGCTGACCGGTTAACTGTTTTACTAGATCGCGAACAACGTTCAATCTCATACTTTTACTAGTTTGGGAGCACAGGAAAACTGATAATGCACACATATTGGACATCAATGTTTTGATCAATTGACAGCTGTCAAAACAGAGTACCAGCTGACCAGTATCACTTGACCGTATCGCGCGCTCAGGTGTCGACCCGTCGAGGTCAAGTATTTTTTGAAGTTATCCGCTGACAAGTAAACTAGTTTTCAAGTGATCGCAGGCTCAAGTTCAATTTTTTTTCTTAATTCATATGAAATATGTTGTGTTTATGTGCTGCACAATTAAAATTTTGATTGCAAACTGACCTCGGACGTGAAAATTCAGCCAGCTGTTACAGGCAGGGAAGACAGTTGCTTTTGTTTTTTTCTCACAATGGTCACGCGTTGGTCACGCTCTACGTCCAATTTTTTATGCTCTGATTGGTCAAAATTTGACATGTGAGTTCATGCGCAAAATTTATGCAGCATCTTGAATCTTGTTTACTTTAACAGCTGAAGCTGACAGAGTTTTGTGTCAACTTGTGATGTTTTTAACTGTCTTTTTCCACTGGATGTACAAAATGAAATTCAGCTGCTATCAGGAGTCTTCTGTTACTCATGGCTAGTTTGTTTATTGGGTTTTTGGTTGAGAAAACGTCGCTTGTCAAAGTCGGAAATCCGATTTCGGATGGCATCGTTTTCGTTTTCACCTTGCTTGATGCGTAAGAGGATCGCAAAGTCTGAAGCGATACTGGCTTTACCTGATAACTTTGAGGAGCTGCATCTCGAATGGTAAGCCAGAGAAATTATTGTATTTCATGTTTGTTTTTTGTATCTAATTTAATGAAGTGGAGCGTAGTTTATGCGGGAATTTAGTTTATGCGCGTTTGTAAGTTTTGAGACAACGATCTCACCGAGTATCTGGTTTGATATAATCTTACAGAACTTTAAAAAGCCTTTAGACAGTTTCTCACCGCAAATAGAAAGAAAATGTTCCAAAGAATCTTTAGTTATAATTCTAGCCGGAAAAGAAAGCTTTGAGCGATTTTCTTGCCTCGAGTTCGTCTTTGAAAAAACAAACACCGGGAAGCTGGCTTAAAACATAGACTTCAGCAAACTTAAGCTTGAAGCTTGAAGACTCAGGATATTTAGGGACACTTTAATACTTGTCTTCCTGAATGAAAATTGTTGTCTCTGTTTATGTTTCACCGAATTATATTTCTTTTATTGATTGTTGGTAGTCTCTCTTGCAATTTTAATCGCTATGCCGATTGTTTTCAGTCGTTCAGTGAACATCGCTTGCAGGAGTTCTCAAAATGCCGCGCGTTAAACCATCAAATAAAAAATAAACATGATAAATTCTTTATTATCTTGGAGCGTAACTCTGTTAATGTTCATTCAAACACTCGCTACAGCTCGCACTACAAAAGTGAGAACCGGATGGCCGTATAGGTGATTTTGGAAAATTTTTTAACAGTTTATGAATATTGAATGAGAGCAATTTGTATTGTGAAATACTGCTTTCTGTCCATGGTATAAAAGGTTGGTTTACACGCACCCAGATTTGTTGGCAAGATTTTGCAAAGTAAACTTGTCGAACGCCAAAACGTTGGCCTGATTTTTTTTAAGCCTAATTGATCTACGGTGATCAATAGCCATTACGGCTCTTAAATGTGATAAAAGATGATTACCAGTTTTTGAGCGTACATATGAGGCTATCAACTCGATGTAAGATTTGGTTCACTCTTGGGCTGTTTGCAAATTATTTTTCTCTAAAATCAGGTAGCCTTTCCCTCAAACGTCACATAAATGTGCTCTAAAGTTAACTGAATTGTGGAATTCGAATACAAGTTTATTGTTTAATTTAAATTATAAATTTACTAATGGGAGCCTCGCTTTTAGCCCTGGCTAAATCTATATATTACGCACAGACATCTGTCCAGATGGATGGGATTACTTCAATGGATACTGCTATTTAACGAGCTCTGTATGTGCACCTTGGGTGACTGCAGTGTCCAACTGTTCAGCTATGAACTCACATCTGGTAACAGTGCACAACCAAGAGGAAAATGTCTACATACAGCACCGTCACAATGGAGAGCGATCATGGATTGGCCTTAATGACCGAAGCGTCGAGGGATCGTTTGTCTGGACAAACAAGGAAATATCCAGTTTTCAGTTCTGGGCTCCGCAACAACCAAACAACTTGAAAAACGAAGACTGTGTCCACACCCTTGGTGCGAAAGATGGCTACTCTTGGAACGACGTGTCATGTGATAACTGCCATAACTATACTTGTGTTAAAGGCAAGTTTTGAGTTGCCATAGAGATACTAAAAATCGAAACATTTAATTTGTTACCAATAACGTGGTTTGAAGATCACTTCTGCAGTAGTGAGTTTTAATGATTATTTTGTCGCCGTGTTGTTGATCAGAGTTTTATAAAGTCTGCATTTTTTGTAGCTCTCTCCCAGGCAGTAGTCTTAATATTTAGGTAAAGGTAACCCCTGTACTTATCACTCTCAGTTATTCCAAAAAAATTTCCTCATGTGTATGCTTTTACTGCTACCAAGTAAGATCACGGTGATAAAATGGTCTTCATTGACTTTTGTTGTCTACTGCAGAAATTGACGAATGCATCAGCAATTATCATAGGTGTGATCCAAACGCTGCTTGTCAGAATACCGTGGGCTCATACATTTGCACTTGCAAAGCTGGATTCTATGGAAACGGAAAAAAGTGCTTTGGTAACTATTACAGCCCTTATTATGTTTTCCTGACATAGCATCCTTCTGGACTGGTTATACATTTAGTGTACTATATTTTGTTGTAAAACTTGTCCTTTGTTTAAACTGTATTTTCTTTTGTTTCATACACATTTTCATACCTTGCTATACCCTAAAACAAACCCATGGCTAAAATTAAGGCACAACAGATATAGTTAGTTGTCTTAGTTAGGATTCATCACTGACTACATATGTTGTCCTTATTCCCTCCGTCATTAGATATAAATGAATGCAGAAACAAATCCCATACCTGTGATGTGAATGCAGTTTGTACCAATACTCAAGGGTCGTACAACTGCACCTGCAAAGCCGGATACTCAGGAGATGGAAAGAAATGCATTGGTATAGAGTATTCCTTATTAGTAAAATCCAGCTAATGGTTTATTATCAATGCTGCGTTCTGATTGGTCGAGCTACTACTAGGCTTTATGTTATAGCCCACTAGTAGCGAAAAGCGCCGGCTTTGAAAACCAAAACAATGGCGGCTGAATCGCGTTTTTGCTAGCTAAAGTTGTTCTGTCTTGATATTTTTGACCAATTAGTTAGATTTTACTAGAACAATAATTCCTCTCGCCCTAATGTCCTCTGAGTCAATAGCCCATTCGGCCTTTGACCTCATGGGCAAATGAATTGAATGGTTTACCCAATCATATTAGAGAATCAAACAGTATTGCAACTTTTAAAAAAATGTTTAAAGCTTTATTAAGGATAACTAGAACATTTCTATTTCTATTTGTATATCTTTTTCTTACATTTTAATTAGTGGGGGGCATCCCTAGTATGCCGCATTGGCGCTTTTGGTTGTCTCCTTCTCCACAGCTTTTTTTTTTCTTATAGTAGTGTTAGCTTATATCTTTTCATTATTTGCTTGTAATGTAGTGGAGTGAATCTGTAATAAATAAATAAAAGAACCCATTCGGGCTCGAGGAATGATTGTTATATTGATGGTGTTCCATAATGTAACCGAATTACAGACATAACAGTCCAGCCAAGTCAAGCTCGCCACACAAGATTCAATAATGAATTGATTACAGTCCTTACAGGAAAATGAATCCGTTGTAGTTGTAGATTTCAGTCTCATCTTTGCAGTTCCTTTATATGCGTATTAAGGAGTATTGTAGATGCTTAAATGGACTTGCACCTCCATATCTTTGTCAGAAGTTTAAAACCAGATCGGAAGTGCACAACTGCAACACTAGGAATAGGGACCGCCTACATATACCACTCTGTAGGACGGCTGCTGGTCAGCGCGCGTTTACCTTTAAGAGGCCAAAAGCTGTGGAATAGTATTCCAGACGAGTTTCAGTCTATCACTAAATAAAACAGCATTTTCTAAGGGTATTTTTGGAAAACTAAGTTTTAGATATTTGGCATTGTAAATTATGCTGAAAAGCCTTTTTGAAGAGATCAATTAAGTTATTACTATTATTATTGTTATTATTATTGCGAGGGTTTTGAAATCTCGCGCAATTTTGTTGAATTTGACGTGTACTGTCTTCATGGAAATTTTATCCGTTCTAGTTTTCTAGTTTTATCATTTCTAGTTTTTGTACTTTCATATATTACAATTTTCTTGTTGCCTATTGCAAACATTCCAACTGTATTTGTTATTTAAGCAATAGAAAACGTTTTCCGTGTTTGCACAGCCTGATATAAACACGAGAGGGGTTGGGAGAATTCGAGACAGTTATGCAAACCCTCGACTTCGTCTCGGGTTTGCATAACTGTCGAGAATTCTCCCAACGCCTCGAGTGTTTATATCAGGCTATGCGAACACAGGGAAAAAGTTTTCTATTGCTTTTATAAAATAACTTTCCCGAGAAAAGACGCAAAACTCTTTGTATGGCACTGACTAAAAGAGAAATTCTTACCAGTCGCAAAGCCTTGTCCACGAAGTCTTGCACGCGTAATCAGTTCTTGTTTTGCAAAAAGATTCTTTCCAAAATACGGACTTTTCTCGCAGAAAATGTCAGCTTAAGCGAAAAAAAATTCACACACCTTTGTAACGATTTTCCAAGTTTCAGCTGACGAAGGAATGGGTAAATAAAGTAAACTTGTCAAGATTTTAACTCGAAAACGTTTTCAAATTCGTGCTTGCGTGATTAGCGCGCGAAAAGCAAAACATCTTGGCGCCACAACCATGTTTACATACTCTCATGCAAACACTCCTCTCGGCCAATCAGAGCGCGCGTACTATCTTAGTTATTTTATAAAACTAGATCTAAATCCCATGATAGGGATATGTAAAATTTATGCGTAACAGTTTAAAATTATATAATTATAATTTAATATCTAGTAACAAGTCAAACTTTTTATAAAGTCATTATAATTATATGAATCAGTGTTTTTATATTCTAATGCTTGCTATGTCAAATATCGCCAACAATTCAACATATATAGCATAATATTCTTTGATGGTTCTGTATTGTCGATAGACCAGCAGAGACTGAGTAGACTCGGTAGAATCTCATAAAAAGATTGTTTTCTCTTCGTTTGATTGTCAATATATTTTTTGCATTTTTAGGTGAGGTCGTGTGTTATGAAGCCCTTGATCCTCGGTTGCTTAGCCAGTCTCTTTTTTATTTCTTGAGTCTACCCAATTCTTTCTACTTCTCTTAAAAAAAATTAAAATAAAGAAATAGGCCCTCATTTTAGCTTGAGTCAGTACAAACGTTTTTGGCCTGAGTATCGCGCCTTTCTTAGGGGTTAGGACAGAGGAAACTTTAAAGGATGAATTAGGGAGGGAGTAAGAGTCGACCCCCCCTCTCCTCCCTCCCCCAGTAAAGGTTAGAACTGTTCTCAATACGTATATCCAGATAACCTTGTTCACGAGGCTTTCCGTCGACACTTTTTCTAAGTGTACTCATGATTAAGAAACGACAATACGAAAACAATTAATTATCATTACTCATATTAGTTCTATATCAATTGTTCCGGTTTTTACGCACAAGAAAAGAGTCAAAAGAAAGAACTGCCTACATTCTGCAGGCCCAAGATATTGTTGGGCATGTTTTCAAATCATTAGTGTTTACTTAGTACTAACTGTTCTTTCGGGTATCACATGAGGTAAAAATTGTTTCCAAGCTGCAGGCTATTCATTTAATAAGTATTTAAGAGGGAATTCTACGCCATTTAGAAAATTCTTTATTAATAAAGTACAAGAGTAAAATTATACAATTGAATAGTTAGAAAAAAATTGGAAAATTAATTGATATTGTCTATATGTTGTACGCTGCTTAGTACGGTAAACTGGTCCAATTTACGAATATTTTGCCCAATAGACAGTTAGGCCAAATTTGGTAGGTGTTTAGTGCCATTATTCCGGGCCAGAATTTCTTACACAGGTTCTTATACAGTATCATGCTTGCAATACAGTATATAAAACGCAGATATTATTGTTGACTTTATAAGTTGTAAAGTAGCCATATCCTAATGTACAATTAACATGCAGTGTTAGTGTCATGTCTTCCAGCTTATAATTAAACCTGGACACTCTGGAGATGGAAAGAAATGCACTGCAGTTTGTATGCAACATCCTTACAGAATTCCTATGATATTGTCTATAATTATTTTATACTGTTTAGTACGGAAAGCTGGTTCAGGTTACGAATACTTTGCCTAAATATAGACAGCTAGGCTTAATTTGGTAGGTGTTTAGCGCCATTATTCCGGGCCTGAACTTCTTACACATTTTCTCATACAGCTTGCAGTACAGTGTACAAAAAGCAGATATTATTGTTGACTTTATAAGTTGTAAAGTAGCCATATCCTGCCAAATGTAGAATTAACACGCAGTGCTAATGTCATGTCTTCCAGCTTATAAGAACTGCGCTGAACTGTACAAAGCTGGAAAGCGATCAAGTGGAGTTTACAAGATCGACCCAGACGGTGCTGGTGCCTTTGATGTGTACTGTGACCAAACAACATCCGGTGGGAGGTGGACAGTGTTCCAGAAGAGACTGGATGGCTCGGTTACTTTCTACCGCGGCTGGAACGACTACAAAAAAGGGTTCGGAAATCTGAATGGCGAGTTTTGGCTCGGACTGGACAAAATTCACCGCCTGACAAAAACTAAAAGCAAACTTCGAGTGGATCTAGAGGACTTCAATAGAAACACGGCTTATGACCAGTACAGCTAATTTGCTATAACAGACGAGAGAAGCAAATACAAGCTGAGTCTTGGAACTTACACCGGTAATTGTATTACTTACTTAATTAAAAATGGAGTTCGGGGAAAGAACTTTTAAGGCCTAAGTTAATGCTAATGATTTTGACGTTAAAGAAATAAATACTCACCTCAGAGATACAGCTAGTCCCACACGCAATGAAGTATGCAATAATCACACAGCTATCATGAAATAAGAGTACTTCAAATTAATATAATATGGAGCGTTAGAGTGATTTTACTTCGACCATGAAACGGATTCAATGTTTCCTACTGTCTTTAGATCTTAACCATCGTATTGAAAATCACAGTAATGTGGAGAAAAATTTAAGGAAACATCTTTTGTTCCAATTTCATTTTCCAGGAAATGCTGGTGACTCGCTAAGTTATCACAAAAGCTTATCTTTCTCCACTAAAGATCAAGACAATGACCAGCATTCTGGTAACTGTGCTACAAGGCACAAGGGGGCTTGGTGGTACAATAGCTGTCATTACTCCAACCTGAACGGCCTCTATCATCGCGGAAGCCACTCTCCAGGTGGTGATGGTGTGAACTGGTATCGCTGGAAGGGATATAACTACTCCGCTAAGCGAGCTGAAATGAAACTCAAACCAGTCAACTTCTAAACAAACAAAGAGCGGTTGTCAGTGCTTATATCTGCTTGATTGGCAATCGTCCTTTAAATAACTTAGCTGCATAACACATTTTGTTAGACTGCTGCTGAAATAATAAATCAAGCATAACATACTATTTTCACAGATTTGATAGAAAAAACTATAAAATAAAAGACGTCACAATTGGCTTTCGCAATTTACGATATTGTTTCTCATTTACTCTAACTGCCTTCTGTCCTATTAGTCTTTCTTCTCCCGATTCACTGAACTTTATGGTTTTTTAAATACTTCTCCTATTCTTGCTTTACATATCCGTTATGGCTCAGTCAATTCCGAGCATGCCCATCCCCGCGGGCATTTGTCAGTTCTTCTAGAAACGGGTAACACTTTAAAATATGCCTATTTTGATAGCTATTTATATTTTTTATAAAGAATATTTTTAATACATTTGCTTTAAAAGTATACGTGTAGTTTTCGCTTCATCACCACCCTACCACACAGTATTTTTTACCTCCGTCTAAGGAAAGCAGTTTCCTCCAACGTGATTGGTTCGTAAATGGAGGAGAAACAATCAATGCATCGTTTAAAGGAAAAGACACCGGCTTTTTTTGGTGCCCGAATGGCTGAGGCAGAGAGGCCTAAAAAAACTGTGCGAGAAGTTTGAAAGCTAATATAAACTTTGTGTTTTTTGGGTGCGACGAAGTTGACGGAACGGTTCCGTCGAGATTACAAAATAATCTTGTTTATAAGCTTGTCGGTTATTTGTTTACCTTTCACCTATTTTAAATACCTTCGAAAATAGGAAAGGTGTTATTAAAACTCTAGTTTATAGTTCTGTAATTGATATTAATCAGATCGGATAAATCATTTTTGCAATAATTATAGCCGGCGGCTAGGAGCGCGGATTTCTGATGGGTGTTTCACGCGTTTTGGTCAGATTATTACAGATTTCCTTTAAACTAAATATGGCATTTGCAGCTTATTTACTGGAAAATGCTATGTTAGTGGTGGCACGGGGTGTGGCATTTGCCCACTTTGTTATGCTCCACCGTAGGGTTTTTGGTGAGACGAGGTCTGCGACGGAGAAACGCTGTTCTCACAACTTGCAAAGCGGTCACCCTGCGTGGTGGTCAGCGGATAATTGCAGTGTCTTTCCCACAGTAAATATTTTTAGACTTTTTAGAAGCAAGAAGCTAACCGGCAGAGGAAATCAGAAATGCTTAAAAAAGTGAAAAAAAATAATATCATGCATCTTTCTTTTTCTTGCATATTGGATTTGTCTTTCGGTACTGAAATTGCGGGGGAAACTAAAACGCAACCGTGTTAGATCTTAACCAACAACAACGCGCTCGATCGATTTACAGGTTACATCGTTTTTGCCGGGCAAGGATAACTTGATGCTGATAAAAATTACTGAAGAAAGTGTCAAATTTATCGAAAGCAAGTATATTCAGAGAGCTTTATAAATATGAGCTGACAGCTCTACATATCATAACTGAATAAACATTCACACTTCATAACATTTCACTTCGTTTATTACGATCAGTCAACACCTTGAATCCAAAGTTAAAATTCAAAACGATCCTAACAGACAAATCACAACCACTACTGAAAGCTCTGTACCTTGAAGCGACTTTAACTTTCCTAAGGTTTGCAGCAAAACTCTGCTCCATAGCTAAACTCTTCCGCGGTTCGTATCAGCTATACGGAGGGAAATTGTTTAACAGAAAAGGAAAACCTCACACTATGTCTGAAAAGCGACATAAAATCAGTAAATTGGCGAATTACCAAAATATAATAGTGAGAAACAGTCCCGCCTTCGAGCACCATGTTTTTGTTTCTTCTCAAGACCGTTGATCTATGGTTTTTGACGTAATGCGCATGATCAATCCGCTGGCAAAAGCCTTGCTGATCCCTTCAACGGCATAAAAACGGGGCGATTATACATTTCCTTTCTTTGCTGATCCCTTCGGCGATTATACATTTCCCTCCCGATGTGAATGAAATTTCTGCCTATGATAAAGGTCATGCTACGGTTTGAAAACCAAGAGGTAAACTAGCCTGCGCGGACAATCTCTCTCGATTCGGGAGGGGGGAAGGGGGGGGCACGGGGGACAGAGGGAAAAAGAAAGAACGCTTAGGCGCCCTTCTTAGTAATTTTATATCTGCATTGAAAAAGTAGACGCAAACGCCATTGAGCAAACGTTCTTGTGTAAGAGCGAAAGTTGGAGCGGAAGCCTTGTGTTCCCGCCACGGCTTCTGCGTTAAACAAAGAAATGCTTAATACGCAGAATATTCCAAACAAATTTAGGTTTTCAACTGAACGTAAATTAAGTGGGATTTCTCAAGGATTTTCATTTAGAAGGAGAAGTCTAACTGTGTACCTCTTATTACCCGACAAAAAAACTAACACCAAAACAACAACAAAAAACATGTGATCCATAGTTTATAGGATTGGAAGTTACATCATGGGTAGCAAGATATATATCATATGACTTTCTTTTCGTGAAACAAGAACTTGGTGCCTTACAAACGATTTTACAGAACAAGCAAATAAAAGCGCACTACATGATTCTCTCAGTTGAAAAACAAAACTATTTTATCGTTTTGATAGCTTTTTCGGAGATAGGCGCCCTTGTAACGCCATGATTGAAGGAAAAAAAAAAGATCTCTTGGTCCGTACAAAAGTTAAAGAGCGAAAATTCAGCTGAAAATTTACCAATCACAGAACGAGAGATGACTTAACTACAGTATAAACAAATATCAGTTACCTACAAAAATAACTTCTTCTGGTCATAAAACCTTGCGTAGTCTCGTTTTCTTTTCTTCGGTTCATGATCGCGGTTAAACGTTTTATAACCAGTTGTTATTTGTTTGCTGCTGTGGCGATAAATCTAAAATCAATATTAATATCGTCAAACAATATTAACCTCAATAGCCACTGTAAAGGAAGCAGGTGTTTATATCGAAAAAAATCTGACAAGAGATTATCAGCCTAGGGTAATCATAGCGGAGCTCCTCGCGCGCGCGAAGCGCGCGCGTGAGCGGACCACCATGGGTAAGAAAATTTGGTAAACTATCCATCTGAGAAAATTTGGTTATGACGTAGCGTACGCCCGCCCGCCCGCCCACCCGTACACACGCTTCGTGTAAGCCGATGTCAAATGTCACAATAGATCTTGCACAACTCGACTAGCCCTTAGTTATGTAGGCCATCCGTATGAGTACGATTGGATTGACAGCTGTCAAAATTAGGCATCCGCTGACAATTATCACATGACTATCTCGTGGGCTCAGATGAAAGACCAGTCGTTTTGCCCCTACATATAAGCTGATATAATATGTCACACTTACCAATTCAACATAAAAACAAAACTACGCCGGGCAAGGCTGTCAGTTGGCTGACAGTCGTTTAAAGATATATTGGCAATCCAAATTAAGGTCAATTGACAGCTGTCAAAATGGGACATGTGCAGACCACTATCAGAAAACTAATAACGTGGGCTCAGGTTCGCTGAGGTACACGATCTGGCATTTTCCACTAAATGCCGGACGAATATGTCTTACTCACACTCGTAGTCTGTTAATTCGAATATTCGCCATTCTAATGAAGGTTAATTGACAGCTGACAAACTAGAGTATACGCTAACCATCATCACCTGAGTGTATCGCGGGCTCATTTGTCTATCCATTGAGGTCACGTATTCGGTCACGTAGTGTTTAAAGTTTTGCGCTGATATTTTATTTGATCACGGGCTCAATTCGAAGTCCCATAGCTTAGAAAATCGATCCATCTTGTGTTCCCGCCACGGCTTCTGCGTTAAACAAAGAAATGCTTAATACGCAGAATATCGGCAATCACGTGACCGTACACCGACCACCCGACCTTCCGTCCGTCCACACCACAGGTATACCAATGTTTAATCTCACACTTTCTAGCTAGTTTGGGAGCCTGCAACCTGATATTGTACATCCATGTTTTGATTAATTGACAGCTGTCAAAATAGTGTTTCTGCTGACCAGTATCGAGTGACCCTATCGCGGGCTCAGGTACCGACCCACTGAGTTCGAGTGTTTCTTTGAAGGTATCCGCTGACAAGTTGCTACTTTTCAATTATCGCAGGCTCAAGTTCAATTTTTTTTAAAAAGCATATGAAATAAGTCGAGTTCATGAGCCGCACTTTTAAAACGTTGATTTCGAACTGACCTCGGACGCGAAAATTCAACCGGCTTTTACATTTACATGCGGGGAAGGCAATCACTTTTGACTTTCTCACTGTCACGCGTTGATCACGCTCTACGTCCAATTTTTATGTTCTGATTGGTCAAAATTTGACAGGTGAGTTCATGCGGAAAATTTATGCAGCGTCTGGAAACTTGCTTACTGATAGCTGGAGCTTACACAGTTTTGTGTCATCTTGTGATGTTTTAAACTGGCTTTTTCTACTTGGTGTACAAAACGAAATACAGCTGCTATCAAGATTGTTCTGTAATTTATGGCTGGTTTGTTCATTGCGCTTTTTGTTGACAAATGCACCACTTGTCACAGTCATTGGAAATCCGATTTCGAATGGCATTGTTTTCAAAAATGGGCTTACTCACTTGCCCTTGCTTGAGGCGTAAGAGGGTTGAAAATTCTGGAACACTTGATGACCTTCAGAAGCAGCATCTCGACTGGTAAGCCTGAGAAATTGTTGTCTTTGATGTGTTTTTTTTTTTTTCGGTTTCCTGAAGTCGAGCGTATGGTTTATGCGGCTTAAGTTAAAACACGGGCAATGATCTAACCTACAATAGTATCAGGTTTAAAAAGCCTTTAGACATTTTTTGACCGCAAATTCAAAGAAAATGTTCCGAAGATTATTTACTTATGATTTTGGCTGTAAACAGAAAGCTCTGAGCGATTTTCTTGCCTCGAGTTCATCTTGAAAAAGAGCAAACACCGGGAAGCCGGCTTAAAACATAAATAAGCTTATGCTTACCTGACTCATGATTTTCAAAGACACTTTACTCTCAATACTTCTCTTCGTGAATGAAAATTATTGTCTCTGTACATGTTTCAACGAATTATGTTTATTTTATTGATTTTTAGTAGTCCCTCTCGCAATTTTTATCGCTGCACCGGTTGGTCCAGTCGAACATAAACATCTGATGCAGGAATACTCAAAACGTCGCGCGTAAATATCACTCGCTTTTAAAGATTACGCATACCAAAACCATACACAGTTTAATAAATAAAGGGAAATAAAACCTAAACATAACAATTTATCTATCATGTTGAAGCGTAAATGGTAACTCTATTAATCGCACTGCAAATTTGGTGCCTGTCAAAAGTGAGCCCCGTCCGGCTGGCAGAAAAGTAATTTTGGGAATTTCTTTATCGTTTTCATTAAAAGCCCATATTACCCTGCATATCGCATAGGACCAGATTTTTCTAACTGAAAGTCCTGGCATTATAGAATTCTCTTCATGAAAACGTTTTATAATTCAATGCTATAATTTGTTGTGCAAAGGAAGGGCGTGCTGTGATCGTCGTGGATATTGAAGGAGTGCAAATTCTCTTGCAAAATTGTGAAAAACTACAGAATTATAGGTTTAAATAGGGCAAAAAAGAACAAATTCTGTCCGAGGTCTGTATGATAAAAACAAGGGCCTCACAGTACTGTTTACCTGAGACGTGATGACAAAAAGTATGTTTAAAAGGCTGGTTTACACGCCACCAGATTCGTCGCCAATATTTACTAGTAAACTAAACTTGTCGAACACAAAAAATCCGGCCTGATTTTTTTATTTTGGCCTCTCTTTTAGACAGAGGAATGCAAAGTGTAAATTGGCTGCCACCAAGGACTATCGTGGCGCGTGTGTTTCTTAAAATTCTATTTCGGGGTTGTCCAATTATCCATAGTCTCTCAAACGGAGCAATGTTGGAGAGAGTGGTGAATGCCACATTATGATGCAACAGCTAATGCAAATACAACACACGAATAGGTAGGTCTATTTGTTTTCCAGGCCTAATCTACTGTGATCGAACATGATTGCTATTTTTGGGTGTACAAATAAGACTATTTAATAACTCGATGTAAAAGCTGTTTCACTCTTGGACTGTCAAATTATTTTTCTCTAAAATCACTTAGCCTTTGCCTCAAACGTCAAATGAATGTGCCCTGATCTGTGGATTACAAGTTTATTGTTTGATTTAAATTATGAATTTATTAACGGGAGCTTCGCTTTTAGCCCTGGCTAAATCTATATACTACAGAGGGAGATGAAGTAAATGGGATGTGGATCATAGTGAATATTGAAAAAACTTGGAGTCCTCCCCCACGTCTCCCTCAGTTCCCCGCTCCCTTCGACGTGTTGTCCCCCGCGCCGTTCCCCTGTCCGTTCCACGCTCCGTTCCCTGCTTCGTTTCCCGCTCTGTTTCCCGCTCCTTTCCACTCTCGTTCGCCGCTCTGTCCCCTGCTTCGTTACACGCTTTGTTCCCCACTCCGTTCCCCGCTCCGTTCTCAATTCCGTACCCCGCTCCGTTTGCGGCTCCGTTCCTCGCTCCGTTCCCTGCTTTATTCTGTTCATTGTAGACAAAAAAGGACTAAGTTCTATCTTCTCATCACTCTTGACCGATGATAATATGACATGTAGTACACCATTGATCTCATACAGAAAGCCCATTGACCTAAAATGAAAAAGAATGATGTTAAACTCGCATGTTGCAAATTGAAGTTATTGAAGTCATATTCAAATAAACCCGAAAGGTTTTTTGTGTTTTTGTAATTGCTTAAATTGTAATAACCACAACGACGATCATATCTGAACATTTAAAATTTGTATTTCCGCAGTTCACATCATCTTCACGTTTCATTCTTTTCACGGGTTAAGATAAACCCAACAAACTGCCCTGGTCCCAATGTACATGTATGGGTCTTCCTAGCTCAAAGGTAGAGCACTGCAGCGCTAACGCAGTTCTAAAATTCTTCTATGTTGTAATATAAAATTATTTTGTAGTTCAACGGTGAATATTAGAGAGACTTACTTGTCAGAGTAACGTTTACGCCAAACGATCAAGTTTTCTCCTTTTACGTGTCGTTTATTGTTCTTTACACGGCAATAACGCCAGGTGTATCCATAAGGATTGTTTTGAGCTGTGATGTTTTTATCTTATCATTTCTTTTTTGAGAATTTTCAACTTGAATTTGACCCTTGCCGTTTGCCGTAAAGGTGACTCCAGAGAGGTTAAGCATCACGTTTATGTCAAACGGCAAACGGGAATTTGTACCACGTGACCAAGTTTCCCCATTACTTGTCGTTTACTGTTCATTATTTCTACACATAAATTAGTAGTTTTGCCCAATTCCTTATCCATAAGAATTGTTTTGAGCTGTTTTTATCTGCTCATTTTCTACTTTGAGAAATTCTCAACTTGAATCTGACGTTTGCCGTTTGCTGCATACGTGAAGCTTCAACTCCCTTCTATCTCACCACTGACAATGCAACCGCTATTGATGTCCCCGAAACCAAAATAATGAAAAACCAGAAATAGGAACAATGCTGGACTGTATTTATTTCTTTGAAGTCGCATACATGCAGCAATCCTAAACTGTACGAGTGAACGTGAACAAGAACTAGGTTAGATTACAAGAGCCCGATAAAGCGCCGGAAATATCAATTCACCATTTTCACATAGACGATAATGAACCTTGTTTACCCCCCAAAATTTTGCATAATCATTGTTTCCACGTTCTCAGTTGTCCCATTAGAAATCGAAGACAATGGTTATGCAAAAGTTTGGGGGTAAACAAGGTGCATTATGGTCTATGTCCAAATGGTGATTAGAGCCTAATAGAGACAATAGAGACAACACCATGTCATCACATCCGCTCTTGCTCGCATTTTCACTGGGTAATCATGTCACTCAAGTGTCACCGAAATGTTCCATTTGAAAACTGATTAAACAGTGTCACGTCCATTTCCCGCGTAACAACTGATGCTTTTGTAGCGTAGAACCTGTTGATAGTGTATTATTTACTTATTTTATTTATTTAATTTCATGCACTATATAAGATGTATGCTCTCGGGGTAATGCGTATCAAATATAACTAAGAATTTGTAAAACTGTCCATTTTATTTTAAAAATAATAAAGAATAAATTATTCAAATAGATGCTGATAGGGGCACTAAATAAATACAGATATAATTTATAGGTAGACAAATCGATAGAGCTTTCGAGCGTAAGTTTGAGTAAATTTGAAATGCAAATCTCATCATTTTACATTGAGTCTAGTATTGCGACAGACCTAACGCACGATTGAAATATATTCTCAAAATTACCCCCTTTTTAAGTACAATTTATCCATATTTTACTATCAGTCTATAGCATTCCTTGCTCATCGATTGTTTGGTAGAGTTAAACTGAGATAATAAATGGCTTTTATGAATTTCCACACATTACTCATTTCATTGATTTCGCTTTGTTTACAAAATAAGCGGCTATTATAAATTTTCCCCTTCTTCCTATAATAAGATAAGCTTAATCGGACCTATTAAAGCACGAAAAATCAGGTTGACCCGCGCCGAAAATCGTTTAAACGATAAGTTCCTAGGAAGTCTTATCCCTCCAGTGTTGAACTAGGAAACGTAAAAATCAGAAGGTAGGTGATAAATTGTAGTTATTTCAAAATATGATGCAAACCAGCGAGGAGGTAAAAATATCTTTTAATTAGCTCTACATCAGTTTATTATTGTAACACTTCACTGATTTAGATGATGGGATTACAAAAGCTGAAGGTATATTAACTATAAAATAGAAAGCCCGATGCAAATACTGCAAGTTCTTAACTCAGCTAAAGTTGACGAACATAAGAGAGCGTCTAATCGCCAAGTAATTTTGAAATATCTTGGCTGCCCGTATGCAAATGTTTGAAATGGAATAGCCGAAGTTATCAGTTATAAACCTGTACACTTTTAAAAAAAAACATAATTCGCTTTAGAAGATAAATTAGACATTTTTGCCAGAAATACCATTAAACTCCAGTAGTATTTCCCCTATTTTTTTAAAACTCAAAGTTAAACTACTCATAGTTTTCGTTTTAGTCTAGATATTTGTTAAATTTTACTGTTTAAGTGATCCTGAAATCATACACCATCTTCTTTATACTATTGTGCCCCCAGGGAAGTCAAAGACCTCACCTGTCTACCCCCACTAAGTAGATGTATCTTTAAGAACATTACATATCAGCTCTTTCCTGCTCCTTAACCATCTCAGTGCTACCCTCTCAGGCAATTTTTTCACTGTGCTGAACGTGTTATATTTTCGCGCTAAACCTCATAGCCACGTATTCCTAAGAGGTACAATAAAGACCACGGTAGACTTTCTCTCATTGGAAGCAAGATGTCTACCGAGCACCAACTCCGTGTACAATTCTTCTCGATTTTCTTCATAGTTGCTCTCATTTACCAAGACACTGAAGGTATGAACGACAGCTAAATTGATGTTTTTATGTTATTGAAGAACTGTTTTATACAAACATGCTCGTAAAATTTTGATTTAGTGATGAAGAAGTGAAAGATACAAGAAGGCTTTGATTTCACGAAGGATGAAGCATTGTTCACAAGTAGTTACTTCTTAATTAACACAGTACCTTTATGGGTAAAAAATGTCGAATAGTTGCACAATGGTACTTAATAGTTTTTCTTGTGTGTACTACAGGAGTCAGCTTCAAAGCAGGAAAATTCAATGTGACCACAACTTTGAGTCTGTTTGCCTGTAAGAATGTTTCTTTTGAGGAGCCTTTTATCGGTGGACAAGAAATTAAAATCTTCATTTCTAAAAGCCATGCAACGAAAAGTTCTACTGGTGGAAATGGCGCAGCAATTTGGGTGGAATCAGTGAATAACAAGGCATTTACTGTCTGTATTTTGGAGTACGGAGATGGCTTAAGTGGCACTTCGCAAGTGAACTGGATGGCTCTGCAATCTGTACCTACTGGCTTTCAACTAGGCACAGCTTCTTTAAACTCTTGGACTACGGGGACAAAGTGTAAAAGGGTCGCTTTTGAAAAGGTTTGATTTGTTCAGTTCATCGTTCTTTTAATTTCGTTTCGTTTGCCTCCTATGAAAACAAAAATACTTTTAGCCTTTTTTGCTCTTCACACTCATTATTTCACATGTCTGCTCATAAAAAGTGCTAGAGTCATGAGTTTCACCATTTTTGACAACGTTGTTGTTGCTGCTATTTCAGCCCGGAAGATGTTACATGTTTTCTTAGTATTACCCTGTTATCAATCATCTTACAGTTTTCTGTGTTTGTCATATTTTTTTGAGGAGATGAAAAGTTTGATTGATTGACTGGGATAGCCTAACAAAATAATGTTAATATTATTGGGTATGGCACCACTGGGAAACCGTGACGTCATTAATTTGGCTGCCATATTGCATGCCATCTTTTTTTGCTAAAAGTTGTCTTAATGGCATAAAAAGCGAGAATTAAGTTTGAAGTATGATATAAATAAAAATATGGTTATATATGTACTTTTCTTACAAAGAAAGTAACGTGCATTTTTCCTAGAAGTCGCTCAGCCTTATACTATTTATGACGTCTTATCTTCCTAGCATAGGAACCTTCCATGACCAAATGTTAGCGGAATGTTGCTAAGGAATAAAATGAGCAGTTACTGGAAAGGAAAGGTTTAGGCTCAAAATTTGTTTTTGAAAATATTGGCCAAAACCTGTCCGTCTCAACCACTTCAGTAGTTAAATTTTAAGTTCTAAATCTTCAGTCTCTTTCTTGTTCCTAATTTTTTTTCACAGAAAAGAACAAATTATGAACAAGAAGGGGATTAGAATGAAGAAAACGAAATAGAGCAGAAAAGATGGGGCTTTAAAGGACCAGAAAGAGTAAACTGAAGCAGCTAAAGAAGAAAATATATAACAATTTAGATCCAGAAAATTAAACAACTTTAAATCTGAGAAACAAGTGGGTCAAGTAAATACATTACCAACATCGAAATTCATCGATAAAGTAACAAACTAATTAAAAGATGGGAAAAAAATCCACGGTTGAAGAAACCGAAAAAAACAAAAACAAAAACAAAAACAAAAAAACAGGGAACAATAGTTTATGTCAGGTAAATTCATTTACAAAGGATGCAGGGAGCAAAGAAGGAAGCAATATAATTTTTCAAAAAAGGTGGACAACACTGAAGCCAATAAGGACGATTAAATTTTACTTAGAAACTTTGAAAATCAAGGAAATGTCAAAAAATCAAAAGTAGTAAATACCAAATATTGTTTCAGAAGAAATATAGAGGATTATATTGCTGATAAAGGTAAAAAATCTGGCACGGAGTACCTCGCTCATTTTTGATAGAAAACTCTTTTTATTTATTCAATTAGATCTCACATTCTATTTTCATTTAAACTTTTTATCGATATTAGATAATTGTGATTTTATAAATTAGCACTCTGATCAAATCGCTCTTGTCTTTATTTGTTTTTTCTTCTTTTCTCGTTTTTGTATTTGACCCTTTCTCTACTACAAAGCCAAAGAAATATACTTACAAAAACATTCAAATTTCCGTATGCAAAATCCTAATAAATAAATTGTACTTTTGCAAAGGTCGAATGACAAAGAAGATCCATATATGTCAATGGTAACACTTATAATAGGTTTTCGCCCACAGATTATGTTAGAGAATAAAATTATCTCCTCGTAGTGTGGTCTACGAGTGAGGTGCAACCTCGCTCCCGGGGCGAGGTTGAGTGAGGTGATCACTGATTTTCGTAAATAGTTAATTTATTTGACGCTCCACTGTATTATCCCTGGATCAGCAACAGAGCTGCTTTCTCGGGCGGACATATTACCTTCAACACTCCCCTGAATGATTTCTGTTTGCTGAAAATACATAATTGATGGATGATATTATTTCTCTACTTTTTCTCTTCTTCAGCTTTTCTTGGCCCTTCCAAATATCATCGTTACAGCTCGTCACCAGGTTCTTAAAAGACCTCAAGACGCTTTGGCCGTGTGGGTGGAAGACTTGCGCAAGGACAGCTTTAAACTTTGTGCCAGAGAAACTAAGATTTTTGATGGAATTCATAAAAACATTAAAGTAGTGAGTAATATTCCAGTTACTTGATTTCTTCAACTACTTCTTGTTTTGTTATTAGTGGTGTCTTTAAACGTGATAGAACAAATTTTATATTCTGTGATCTTCGTAATTTTAGAAACAACGAGTTAGATTCAGATTAAAAAGGGTTGCACCAGTTGCTCTAAACTGATATTTAACCATATGAAATTTGGGGTTTTATCTGTAACGAGTCGTGAATACATTCCAGAGACCTATGTTTCCTTGTACTGCTACTCCTTTTCTTATGAAAGCCAATGTCTTAATTTCTGAGTACTAATTTTGATTTTAGTATCATTTAAGCGCACTTTTAACTTTCATATGTGTCAGGACGCACGTGGCATTTACAGCATCATTGTACAACTTCATATCTTTACTTCTTTCCTGCAGGATTGGATGGCTTTTATCAAATTGAAGACTGACAATTTCTCCTTGACTAACAGTCTCGTGTTTACAAACAACAAGTCACCATCAAACAAAAAAGACAACAACGCTGTCTGTCAGGTATATTGTCATGTTTAATGGTGTTCAACTTTGACCACTCTTGTTTTCCCCTTTCCTCTGCTTGTATGTGTCATTCAAATTATGGATTTACTAATATCAGGGGCAACCACCTATGTTTTTGTCCTAAATACCTTGAAAACTCTTTTTAGCCTCTACAGAGCACTTTTAGATCTCTAAAAATGCATGCTAAGTGGCCCTATAAAATTTGTATCTGTTCGTGCATCCTAGGGGAACTTGAGTCTTTTCGAAATTCCAAGGGCTACAGGGTTATTATCCCGAAAATGTTATATGCAATTTATTTGCGAAAGTGAATATTTTTCTGATTCCTCTCTCCATCACATTTGTGAATCCGAAAAGACATGAATAATTGTATCCTTTCAAAAGAAAGTCTCATTTTCCACTTGTATTTAGTTGGTAGGAGGACTGAATCAGAAAATGGATGGTAACATTTTAGAGTCTTACTTGGAAAGAATCTATCTATTTCAAATGAGATTTAATATCATTTGTTTTGTCCTGTTTTCAGAAAGTCAAGTTCCAGGATGTCTTTTATGCCCCTCCCGTTGTATTGGTGTCTCCAAGACTTGGTTACAATAACAACAAATCACGTTTCTCAGGATCCGAACAATGCAATGCAGTTACTGCCTGGGTTGAGGTTAGAAACATAAAGTCTCCTTACTCTTCTTGTGGTTCTAATGAAGGGAATTTTTTTAAAAGTCAATAACTTTTTCCTGATTGATCGTTGATTGATCGTTATTCCTGATTGATCGTTGCCCTTTCACTCACGTTAAAAACCTAGATTTTTCCAACAACGTATAGTCTACAGGGGTTGATATTACTAATTTTAGTTTCTAGTTTTCATATAAATATGGCGAATATCGTTCAATATAAAAAATTTTCTGCAGACTTGTCAGATGAAAACTGACCGTTTACTAGTTTTGTACTCGTTTGGTTCTTTAAAATGGAGGACTTAGAAATTTTAGTATCATAGGTTCTTAACAATTGCTATATGCGAATTGTTACTCTACTTGCACTAATCCTAATATTTACTATCAATAAATCGACATCAATAAATCGACAAGTCAGTTGAATTTGAAAACTTTGTTTTATTACTTTTAGGTTTTACTAACATAAAATGAGAACCTTTACTCTAGTGCAACAAAATGTTATATTATGTGGAATGTGAACTTAAAGTATTTCTTTCGTTATTTTGGAATATGCTTAGAATACATCTACAAACGAAACAGAAGTGTGTGTGAGAAGCTACAACAATGACGCCAACGATAAGGATATCATAAAGGTCGATTATATGGTAATTGGAGGTACGTAATAAATTATGTAACGTAAAATGAGGGAACAGTAACGACTTTCATCTGTAGACAATCAAGGTGCTCTCCTAACAATTAATACATAATAGTGATTAACTGTACAATACAAAAATGTATATGTTTCGATCAAATTTTATCCTGAATTAAAGTTCTTTAATTTCCATTGTTTCAAATCATTCAGATTATACATTACAAGGCCCCAAAACCAAAGAAAGTGAGATTAAAAGCTAAGTTAAAATCAGGCCTCGTAGCTGGGGTTTGAGAAGGGGTGTTGGTACTGATACGAATATTTCTTAACAGCGGGAAATACTGCGAGCGCCAAAGGCGCGAGCCCCTAGGGGTTTCTTCAGGCAATTGCTCCCCCAGAAAATTTCGAAATCTAGAATACTGGAAATACTATTTTCAGGATTCAGTAGTCTCAACATGAATATTTCAAACGTGATCAAGTCTAAGATAACAGGTACTTTTGGTCATGACAACAATATTTTCGTTTGACTTGGAGCATTCACACATAGTGATACATACCGGCTAAGTACACGAAACGTTTTACAAATTCGACGTGTGCTGCAAGGTATCTCGGAGCGAAAGCTTAAGGTCTCGGTAAAGGAAAACGAGGTGCCCACAGAAAAAAATTCTAGTCGCGCGAGTATTTTCGCTACAAAGGCAAGTTATATATCAAATTAAAGCTAAAAGACTAAGTTACCTTATAAAAGATTTTATTTCATCGAATTTCAAAAGGCGCTTAAGTTTTTTGCTCTCGAACTCAGAGGTATCGAGTTTACTGCTGAAGCTCCAGCCCTTTCGCGTTGTTAAATATTCACTTCCTTTTTATTGCATCTGATTGACAGATAAAAGACCTAAAAAAGAGTGTGAGGAAATTTGCATATGTCTCGTATTAGCGGAATTATTGCATTTCAAACTAAAAAGTCGAATCTCGAGCGCGATTTACGCAAAGAAACTGACATAGAAAAAGTTACTAAGGGAAATCGGAAAATTCCTCACACGCTTTTTGAGTCTATATCATTATCCATCATATCTGAAAGTTTCAAAGCGATAGCTTATAACCTGTCCCGACTGGAGGTCGGAGAATTTTGATTTTTGCGTCTAAAATAGAGTGACAGAAAATCAGCTTTAAAGATTTAGCGCGAGGTCCACGCTTGGCTGGTTAGCTCAGAAAAGGCTCATTTTAGAAGGGTTAAAAAGCACTTTCTGATTTTCTTTTTCTGCCAAAATAAAATTTAGGACCCATTCATGCCAAAAATCCAAAAAAAAACAAAATCGAGCAATGTACTAAAATTTTCATTTACCGAGACCTTAAGCCCCCCAGTTCCCCGGCTCCGCTCTGTTTGTACTTGATATACATGATAGCCAGTGAGAAAAGCCTAGCCTCACCCATGGCACATCTCGTGTAATTGTTTTAGCCTTCTCTTTGAGCTGATTGAACGCTCGCATTCGCACGATGTCACGGGGAGAGTAGCCGCAATCTTGAGAAGAATGTACGAGTTAGAAAAATCATCAGGATCACATGCTTTCAAGGACGCAGCGCATGAATGAGCCGTAATTATCCTAGCTTGCACCTTCATCTTCCAACGCTCAAATTAAATTACTAAGTCAGTTAGCTGCTGAGCAGTGATTTGGCTTTCCTGAATTACAGATGGAACTAACCCGAGCAGCTTACTGACCCTCACTGGCTATCATGCATATCAAGTACCATATGCTTATAGATCTGGCCTCAGTTGTTCAAAAGCTAGATAGCGCTATCCAGCGGATAAACCTCTGTCCAGTGGATAGTGCAATTGGTTTCTCTAAGATGTATCCACTGGGTAGTGATTTATCCGTTCGATAGCGCTATCCAGCTTTTGAACAACTGGGACCTGGACGAAGTTGTCAATTTATTTGAAGGCCCAATATATCCTAGTGCCCTAGTATTATATGTAGTAAAAATTATCCCGCCATTGAGGTTATTTCCTTAACAGGCGTTCCGTATTTGACAAATGGAGTCTCGAAAGACGAAAGGCAGGGAATACGATTTTCGGGGGACCTAGGTGATACGTGTTTAATACAAATTGACGTTTGACGCTGCTTTCAGTACAAAAACAGCGGAGCCGGGGAACGGGGGCGCTTAAGCTTTTGCTCCGAGATACCTTGCAGCACACGTCGAGTTTTGTAAAACATTTTGTGTACTTAGCCGGTATGTATCACTATGTAGGGAAAACAAACTTTGAGTGTTTTTAGTCCTCCATCGAACCCCCTCCTACGCGCCTGAAAACTCAGCAATATACGACATCATATGGAAGCGCTCATGTGCTTTAGGCTGTGTTCACATTATACCGCGGGGTATCTTTTCATGGCGCCACGAGAAGCTATCCTGTATATTGTGTGAACACCTACATGTATCCTCTCTTTGTCACAGAAATCACGCCGCCACAACGGTTTTTTTGTGTGAACAGAAGTCCTATCAGATATGGTTCTCGTGGCGGCGCACAAGCTATCCGGTATAGTGTGAACATAGCCTTAACTTTTATCCAGTTCCCTGATAACTCAAAATTCCAGGCTGTTTCATCTATTGACGAATTCGAAATGAATGAATCTGAAATATTTAATGATGCCATCGATTCCAACAATTGAATGTTTGTCTTTTAGATTTGGATCCTTGTATAGATGTAACATGTCATTATCACAGTCTGTGTAAGGCTTTTGGACCTAATGATGCACGCTGTGTGTGTTTGGAAAGCTGTCCGACTTACAAAGAACCCGTATGTTCATCCAATGGCACAACATACGACAGCAAATGTCTGTTTGAACAGGAAGTTTGTCTCAATCGACTAAACTTTACCGTACAACATCCTGGCAGCTGTGAAGGTCAGCAGTTTCGTTGCCTTTTTTTTAGTGGCCAACGTGCACCTTTTCACTGAATCCTGTTAACCTTGTTGGACTGATAGTGAAATTTTCGTTTACTTCATTTCCGTTTACTTTCCCAATTCTTGGGCGCCAATAGTTGCTTGCGCCAACAAGGGATTTAAGTTTGTTACTATAAGCCTATAACTAATCTTTACAACTCCTTTTTAGGATTTCCTCTTCAGCGTGGTCGCCTTCACATGGCCCATATTCCATCTCTAGGTTATTCTCACTGTCAAGTAATTCGTTTCGAGCCTTTTGTGTTTTATCCTGACAAATCCATTGAAGTGCAGATAACTGTCAATCATATGGATACCAGTGACAAATCGTATGTCCATGACGCGGCGGTATCGTGGATTGAAAATGTCAATAACGGCGGATTTACTGCCTGTGTGATGGCAGCCGGATATAACGAACGAACGTCGTATGCTAACGTGACAGTTGATTGGATGGCGTATCAAGGTGCTCCAATGGGTGGCGTGACTGGTGAACTGCGCATGTCACAGTGGTGGACAGGGACGACTTGTGCAACTGTCAAATTCCCCACTGTAAGTTGCCCTGATCTATTTCTGAACGTTCTCTTTTTCAAAGCTTTTATGGTTATATATATCATTCACGACAGTTGAACGTTTGGAAGTCTTGTCAAATTACAGTTCAGGGTGCTTTATAGTTGTGAGAAAATGCTAAACATTACAATAGTTAATGAAATGGAATAAAATATATAAAGTGATCGTTCTTTCACTATTTAACCACATTTACTTATCTAACTGTGTTCGAAGAAGTGAAACATAACGTTCAAACTGCCGCTTTTAATAACTTTGCTGAGTCTATAAAGATCACCATTCTTTCTTTGAATTGTTAATAAAGTAGATAAATAAAAAAAAAATAAAGAAATAAATAAGAACAGATGATAATAATAATTTTAAATAGAAGCATTTTATCAAAATGACAATTTTTCTGTGCTATATGCAGAGGAAATGTTCAGTCAAACCTTCAGTCTTTGTGACGTCAAAGCATTACAATCCAGGACTAAAACGTGACGCTGCAAGTGTATGGATTGAAGATGTAACAAAATCATCTTGTAAAGTTTGTATGAGAGAACTGCAGAATTATGCTGGATCGCACCGAGATATTTTTGTGGTAAGTATAATGTATCCTTAAGTGAATGTCAAACATGGATCATGCATTGGGCTGCCACGGGCTTTATAAGTTACAGGTAATTCTACGGATACCCTTAAAAAGAACAGCCCGTAGTTATCATAGGTCGCGCAACTCCGCAAATTCATTTTAGGATTAGTTATTAAAAGGCGCCATTCTTCACCTTCACACCTCATACCCATTGCTTTTTATTATTTATCTATGCATGCCGGTCGATTAACGAGAAATAACAAGTTTTTGATTTTACTTTCAGAATTGGCTGGCCTTTTCGGATCTTCCCAACCCTCCCTTTTCAGAACATAACTCGATCTACTTTGCAAATGATAAACCTCCCAACAGCAGACATTATAATGCATTTTGCAAGGTCAGTATCAGCGTTTGAGTTTGAATCCAAATCTCAGTGAAAAAGCCGTTTTCTACCATCTGATGGTAGTTATCAAATTTTACTTTCAGACCATTAAAGGGAAGCTGTTTAGACCTGTAAAAGTCTTAGCAATGTACATAATACTGACAATTCCATAGGTCACACATTCGCTACTTCTATACCTCAGTCACCTCTATGATGAAGTCTGTCCATTTGGTGTTTGTATGCATTGAATAGTTTTAAGAATTAAATGTAAGTATTCTGTGAAAGGAGAATGATAGAGCAAAAGCACAAAACCCATTTGAATGGCAATTTCAGGTTATGAAAGGTTTAGAGTTTAGTTGCAGCCTATGTTTCAAAGGGCTTCTTGTGCCGAGCTGAGTGAATTCAACTAACGTTGGCCTCAAAATCTGTTTCGTCTTTCTGTATTTGTTTCACAGATTTGAGCTTCTCAGTTTGGAAGTGTACTTTACGTAATGCCAGCCCAGTTTATTGTAAACGTTGATATGGCACGCTTTTCCCAAAATTTTAAACTCAAAGTTAAGAATTAGTTAATTCACGATAATCTCAAAATCGTCAGGAAAACAAAAAGACCTCCTTTTTCAAAGGTGGAGCAAAGCCTAATCAAAACAGAGGTTCTCAAATTTCACTTTATTTCCTTTTTACCCGTCTCTAGTCAAGGACACTTTAAGGTAGTATCTATGAACAGTAAAGTAAGATTTAGTCATCCAGACCTTACCAGAGGATTCTATCAATACGAAAAAAGAACTGCTGGACTTGGAAGTATTCTCTGTAGTTATTTCTTAATTAATGAATTATCTGTCTCTATAACTTGACTGTATAACCTACAGAGTGAAATAAAAAAAGAGGTGTGTGAATTAGACGATATCTTGTTAACAATTCCCCTTCAAGTTGAAATATTTTCTTTACCTTTTATAGGAGGCAATCTTTGCCAAAAGTTATAACACAACGCCACACGTCTTCGTTTCTGCTTCTCACTCGACAAAAGGAGGGAATCAAAGTCCAGTTCATAACAGCATAGCTGCCTGGGTAGAGGTTGGTAACTAGTGATGTCAGGATATGAAATTTCATATTAAATTAAGAGTAGTATAGTAGAGAACTAATTAACCTTTTTGCGGACGAATCTCGTTATTCTGCTAAAGAATACATAAACACCGATGATGTATCACCTTTTGTTTTTATTACATGAATAGTAACCTGTGAATAATCGTAATAATAATAATAATGCTTATTTTAGTACTAATGCTTAGTGCTTTTACATACAGTATATTAGCAGTAAAGGCTTTCGGGTTTGTGTCAAAGAACTGTATGAGGCAAAATACGACCCACTCTTCATATCCCACATAGTTTTGTCAGGTAAGAACTTTACTGTAAAAAGGAGAAGATTTTTGGGGGTATATCTTTCAATATTGTCTCTTATTTGTGACTCAATGCCGTGATTTATATTTACAGATATTTGCCCAAATGGATGGGATTACTTCAATGGATACTGCTATTTAACGAGCTCTGTATGCGCACCTTGGGTGACTGCTGTGTCCAACTGTTCAGCTATGAACTCACATCTTGTAACAGTGCACAACCAAGAGGAAAATGTCTACATACAGCACCGTCACAATGGCGAGCGATCATGGATTGGCCTTAATGACCGAAGCGTTGAGGGATCGTTTGTGTGGACAAACAAAGAAATAATCAGTTTTCAGTTCTGGGCTCCGCAACAACCAAACAACTTGAAAAACGAAGACTGTGTCCACACCCTTGGTGCAGAGGATGGCTACACTTGGAACGACGTGTCATGTGATAAATGCTATAACTATACTTGTGTTCAAGGCAAGTTTTGAGTTGCCATAGAAAAACTACAAATCCAAACCTTTGTCACCTATAACGAGGTTTGAAGATCACTTCTGCAATAGTGAGTTTTTATGATAATTTTGTCGCCTTGTTGTTGATCAGAATTTTATAAAGTCCGCATGAAACTCTCTTCCAGGCAGTAGTCTAAATATTTAGGTAAAGGTAGGCCCTGTACTTATCACTCTCAGTTATTCCCCCCAAAAAATTCCTCATGTGAATGATAATACCGCTACCAAGTAAGATCACGGTGATAAAATGGTCTTCATTGACTTTTGTTGTCTACTGCAGACATTGACGAATGCATCAGCAATTATCACAGGTGTGATCCAAACGCTGCTTGTCAGAATACCGTGGGCTCCTACATTTGCACTTGCAAAGCTGGATTCTATGGAAATGGAAAAAAGTGCTTTGGTAATTATCACAATCCTTTTTTTATGTTTTCCCGACCTTTGCATTCTGGTCGGCTGTTGAGTTAACATATTTACCCTTTAAGGCACTATATTTTCATCCAATATGTGTGGATCAGAACTTCAAGTTCTGATCCAAACATATTGAAAAAACTAAACTAAGAATTACAATGGGCATTCTCGGTCTTCGTTTTGACAATTAATTAGGCAGATAGAATATCTGTTAATAGCACATTTAGGGTCCTGTCGGCTCCTTCTGGGATCAGTTTTGACATTTAATATGATATGTATTTTTTTGTGCAACTTGTCCATCAGTGGGTTTAAACTTATTATACATTGCCGTACGTCAAAACAAAGTAGTAAAAAATTACCAGCACATAATTTACTTAGTCAGGATTCACTGACTACTCAGATGATCATTTGTTTTCTCCGTCATTAGATACTGATGAATGCAGCAACAAAACCCATACCTGCGATGTGAATGCGGTGTGTAGCAACACTCAAGGGTCTCACAACTGCACCTGCAAACCTGGATACTCTGGAGATGGAAAGAAATGCATTGCAATTGGTATGCAGCATCCCTACAGAATTCCTTTGATATTGTCTACAATTATTTCATGCTGTTTAGTACGGAAAAGTGGTTCAGTTTACGAATATTTTGGCTAAATATTTAACAATTAGTCGCCGAAGGCGACGTGAATATCGGCGAATATTCTCGTCGCCTGAAGAGACTAATTGTTTTAGTATAATTACATTGATGATTATTCGAGAAAATAAAATAAAAAGTAGACAAATGCTTGAAAGATTTAAGATTTAAGATTTAAGGCTGTAAGATGTCGGTCGAGGGCGGCTCTGATCGACAACAAGCTGGTTTTCTTATAATAGCTGCCGTCGGTTTTCCTCACGGAAACGTAAGATTTTGCCAGACATTTATTTAATTCATCGACTTCCATGTTTTCTATTTCATTTGTGAACTCTTGCTGCTGTTGAAGACATTCTGTAGAAAAAAAAATATTTCGCAAAAGTAATTAAAAGTTGCCGACACTTTGAAGCAAAAAAAAAATGTAAAGAAACACCAGTTTTCAGTAAATTGTTCTAACTATGTTGCAAAATAGAAATTTTATCAACCTACCTTCGAATGGTTTCACTCCAAATTTGTAGTATCAATGTAATTATACTAAAGACTGTTAGGCCAAATTTGGTAGGTGTTTAGCGATATTATTCCGGGCCTGAATTTCTTACACAGTTTCTTATACAGTGTCATGCTTGCAATACAGTATATAAAACGCAGATATTATTGTTGACTTTATAAGTTGTAAAGTAGCCATATCCTGTCAATTAAATGTCCAATTAACACGCAGTGCTTAAATGTCATGTCTTCCAGTTTATAAGAACTGTGCTGAACTGTACAAAGCTGGAAAACGAACAAGTGGAGTGTACAAGATCGACCCAGACCGTGCTGGTGCCTTTGACGTGTACTGTGACCAAACAACAGTCGGTGAGGGGTGGACAGTGTTCCAGAAGAGACTGGATGGCTCGGTTGATTTCTACCGCGGCTGGAACGACTACAAAAAAGGGTTCGGAAATCTGAATGGCGAGTTTTGGCTCGGACTGGACAAAATTCACCGCCTGACAAAAACTAAAAGCAAACTTCGAGTGGATCTCGAGGACTTCAACAGAAACACGGCTTATGCCGAGTACAGCTACTTTGCTATAACAGACGAGAGAAGCAAATACAAGCTGAGTCTTGGAACTTACTCCGGTAATTGTATTACTAACTTGATTAAAAATGGAGTTCCCGGAAACGTCTTATAAATGCCCAAGACGAAGTCAATGCTAATGATTTTGATGTTAAAGAAATAAATACTCACCTCAGAGATACAGCTAGTCCCACATGCAATGAAGTATGTAATAATCACACAGCTATTATGAAATAAGAGTACCTCAAATTAATATAATATGGAGCGTTAGAGTGATTTTACTTCGACCATGAAACGGATTCAATGTTTCCTACTGTCTTTAGATCTTAACCATCGTATTGAAAATCACAGTGATGTGGAGAAAAAATTAAGGAAATATCATTTGTTCCAATTTCATTTTCCAGGAAATGCCGGTGACTCGCTAGCTAGTCATAGAGGCTACCCTTTCTCCACCAAAGATCGAGACAATGACAGCTGGTCTGCTAACTGTGCTACAAGTTCCAAAGGGGCCTGGTGGTACAACGCCTGTCATAATTCCAACCTGAACGGCCTTTATCATCGCGGTAGACACTCTTCAAGTGCTGATGGTGTGAACTGGCATCACTGGAAGGGACATAACTACTCCGCTAAACGTGCTGAAATGAAACTCAAACCAGTCAACTTCTAAACCAACAAACAGCGGTTTTCAGTGCTTATATCTGCTTGATTCGCAATGGTCGTTTAAATAACTTAGCTGTATAACTCATTTTGTTAGACTGCTGCTGAAATGATAAATTAAGCATAACAAACTATTTTCACAGATTTGATGGAAAAAACTATAAAATAAAAGACGTCACAATTGGCTTTCGCAATTTACGATATTGTTTCTCATTTATACTAACTGCCTTCTGTCCTATTAGTCTTTCTTCTCCCGATTCACTGAACTTTATGGTTTTGTAAATACTTCTCCTATTCTTGCTTTATATATCCGTTATGGCTCAGTCAATTTCGAGCATGCCCACCCCCCGGGATTTGTCAATTCTTCTAGAAACGGTTAACATTGTTCCTTTGCCAATATTTCACTTTAAAATATGCCTATTTTGATAGCGATTGATATTTTTTTATGAAGAATAATTTTAATACATATGCTTTAAAAAGATACGTGTAGTTTTCGCTTTATCACCACCCTACCACACAGTATTTTTTGCCTCCGTCTAAGGAAAGCAGTTTCCGCCAACGTAATCGGGTCGCAAATGGAGGAGAAACAATCAATGTATCGTTTAAAGGAAAAGACACCGGCTTTTTTGTGACCGAGTGGCTGAGGCAGAGAGGCCTAGAAAAACTGTGCGAGATGTTTGAAAGCTAATATAAACTTTGTGTTTTTTTGAGTGCGACGACGTTGACGGAACGGTTCCGTCGTGATGACAAAATAATCATGTTTATAAGCTTGTCGGTTATTTATCATTCACCTATTTTAAATACCTTCGAAAATAAGAAAGGTGTTATTAAAACTCTAGTTTATAGTTCTGTAATTGGTATTAATAACATCGGATAAATCCTTTCTTGCAATAATTATAACTGGCGGCTAGGAGCGCGGATTTCCGATGGGTGTTTCACGCGTTTTGGTCAGATTATTACAGATTTGCTTTAAACAAAATATGGCATTTGCAGCTTATTTACTGTAAAATGCAATGTTAGTGTTGGCCCGGGGTGGGGCATTATGCCCCACCGTGGGGTTTTTAGATGAATCGCTCGGCCCCACCGTGTGGTATTTGCAGCTTTTCCGAAAAAAAAAAAATGACAAATGCCCAGGGGAAGGTGGGATGGGCACGCTTGGAATTGCCTGAACCATTATTGACCAAGCAGAAGGTCAAGATGGCTGGATATTGGCCAAGTTCGTCTGTCCGTTTTTATGGACCGAGTCGAGGCCAATAGACAGCCATCTTGATCGAATAAGCTTGGTAAATAAACGATTTTAAATATTATTATATTGCCAAAAAGACAACATTTTCTTGGGGAACAACGCGAGAAATCCTGAGCCCGCTTGGTTAGCCAATCAAAACGCAGGATTTGTTTCATCTTGCCCGCTCACGGATTCAGCCATATAATAATTGAACACTAAGTTCACGAGTCCATTACAGCGCAGAGTTCTTTTGATTAACTTACGCTCTCATATGCGATAGATGTGTACAAACGTTTAGCAAGCACATTCCGAACAAAAATAAAGCTTTCAAGAGATTTTTCACCTTACCAAAAAAAGGAAACATATACAAGCACATGCGTTGCAGATCAATTACTCACTGAGCACTGAATTAAGACCTGAAGAGCGCACAAGGAACATTTCAGTTCTCCCAACAGCATTTCTGGTCATTTCAGGCTGTTTTATCGTACAGTTAGCTGCTGTCTATAAATAAAAGGTTTATGATGTTTATTATATCGACATTTCTTTAACATTTCACTTATTGAATCTATCTTTTCAGCTTTTTCGAAATATCACGCGAACTATCTTAAGAAATACGAAAAACAAACCAGAAAAATATAGCTTTCTGAATTCATTCATGTAGAGAGGTGCCGCACGACCTTTCTGGGTTTGGAGGAGGCATGGAAATTAGGTAAAAAATGATGATATCGAACTGCATTGAATCATAATAATACATGACAGATTTTGTGATAAGAGAGCTTTTTTCTTTAAAGTCATATCTTATCTAACGATGTCGAACGAAGAGCCATACAGTAAAAATACTGACAGTTTCGATTTTCTTTTCTCTGATATCTTCAGTGACAACCAGGTGTCAGTTAATTGATGGAACACGCGAACGTGGATGTACATTGTATAACTGATTTCAATTAATTCCGGTTCATACAGTTTTTCAGTTTGCACTTTCAATAAATTACATTCATATGACGCTTTTATAAAAGTCAAAAAAGTTCCACGTGTCACGAGTCAGGATTGTTACACCACGGTGTTTCTTGTACATTGCAGTGCAATTTCACGTTAAGAATCACGCACGGTGCGCCACTAACAACAAGATGAGTCTTTTTAGCAATGTTGTACTTGACTGTTGCAACTCCTGTTTCCCTGTCTCTCTGAAACGATACCTGAAAAGACAACCCAAAACACAAATAAGGAATTTCAAGATTAAATGAACTTGCAAGCTTGTCTAAAGAATGAAAATTTAGATCAGCAGGGTATGCAATAACAACTGAAGACTTAACTTCAACGGGCATAAACACGGGCGACTATTTATTTCCTCCTCGATGTGAATGAAATTATGCCTACGATAAACGTCATACTACCGTTTAAAAACCAAGAGATAAACTAACCCGCGCGAACAATCTCTCTCGATTAGGGAGGGAGGGAAGACGGAGGGACGGGGGGGGTGGGGTTGCACGGGGGGCACGGGGACAGAGAGAAAAAGAAAGAACGGTTAGGCGCGCTTCTCAGTAATTTTATATCTGCATTGAAAAAGTCGACGCAAACGCCACTGAGCTAACGTTCTTGTGTAAGAGCGAAAGTTGGAGGGGACGCCTCCTGTTCTCGCCACGGCTTCTGCGTTAAACAAAGAAATGCTTACTACGCAGAATATTCCAAACAAATTTCATTCTCGTCCCCAGAGCCACTCGGCTTAATTTGTAACCGACCAGTGGCTCTGGACGCAACGGAAAATACGAATTTTTTCATTGGCTGAAGGCAATTGAATGCGCAAGGCAAATTAAAATATAATCTACTGCGCATAACATTTTACTTCGTGCCCTCTCGACCCGCAAACACAAAATAAGTGCCAGAGTTTCGTTGATTGCGACAATCCTGTTTTGTTCATATGCAATAGCAGTGAAGAAGAGAACTGCAGGTAAAGTTTGAGAAGTTTCTACGAAGACAACGAGCCTTGACAAAGAAAGTATTGCCTTCGTTGTGCGCTAAACTTTGCCGCTGTCTCGACCGTCGCATCTCCTGGGGAACTGAAAGGAGGAGTAATGGTTAGTTAGCTCTTCAGTACTGTTGCTCCTTGCTCGTTAAAAATCAAGCAATTGATACTGTACTTGTATGGCGTTGTTAATTAGCCAAATCAGTTTTTCTAATTCCTCTGGGTATTCGTCGGTGCTACAGTAGGAAAGGAAATCAAGCTCCGACTACATTACAGAAATGATGTTGACGTTAAGTTTATTGCAGTGTGCTTTTAATTTATCGTATTTTCTGCTGAAAGAACATCTCCTTTGCTATACTAAGGTCAAGATGATATTTTGTTATATGCCTTTATTTCATTAGACCACTGATGGCAGTACACAAAGCCAGAACTGAATTGCTTATGAATCATTTTGGGCTGCATGCAAAAGGCAATCTTTTAATTGTGTGAAGATGATAGAGCAAGTACTCTTTCCAATCCACGTTTTCTTCCACTTAATTAATGCTTAAATCATGCTTAGATGATTCGGAGGCTTTCTTTTAATTTTTATTTTAACAGTAAGAACTGGGCTGTGAAAGGAAAGGCTATGTGGCCAACTTGTTACAAATGTTTTGCTTGCTTGGCTTCCAGTCGTATTGCATTTAGACAAAGATAAACAAGGGGCTCTGGGGTTATTTATAACTGATGAACAGTTTACAAAGAAGCAGCTTTTGCACAATTTTTTTTGATAAATAATTATGTTATCTGATCACTACGTAGGGTAGCACAATGTTCTTAATCTTTTTGGTTTAAGAATTCTAAAATACAAGAAAACTTGACTGTTTATACTAGGCATACTGGTCTAGATTTTTTGACGATGTCAGGGACAACTGAGGTGTTAATAAATAAAATGATAAATGAACAACAGCCCAGAGTAGTCTATTTTGCATCATCCTGGGGTAAATGGTTGTTGATGATAACAACTGGATTTTGCAGTAGGTCACCTTTGATAGGGTGGATAACATTATAGCTTGATCAACAGTAATATCATAGTTTACTCGCCAATCCTAACCACACCTGCTCTCCACCCCTCCTTGGGCTTGCACACAGCATTGGCTTACTGAGGCATAGAGCATCTTAGTTTACTTGGTCATTGACAAATAATGATGAGCCAAATTGAAACTTGCTTCCAGTGGTCAATGATTCAGTTCTGTTTAAACCTTTTTCCTAGTTGGAGGCCTCATGTTATAACACAAAATAATGAATTTTAAGGGAAGTAAAAAATTATACATTATCAAAACCTGGGAGCAGATATTGTACCTTAACTCTATAAAGCACCACATTCAGTTTGAATACAGCTGCAGAGGGTGGTGATTGGGGGTTGGGCACTATCCCCCAAAAATCAGTTCAGATTCACCCCATAGTATGCTTCTTGCCTTGCCAAATTTTGACCAAACTATGTGATTTTCAATATCCTATTTCAGGCCTGATCCAAAGTTCTTTCCCAAATTTCAAACCTTGCAGGTCTTGCACTCCAGTCTCAAAACATGATGAGAGCAGCTACCCAAGAAAATGCTTTTGGGTTGTGTGTTACTCAAAGTGTACTTCTTAACGGGGGGACCTCTTAAAGCACACAGTCTATGTACAGTGCATATATCACTCTATATGTCACTGTCCCAGATAAGAAAGTACAGCTATATAGCTTATGACAACCTGTTCTAGGTGTTCAGATAGTGAGAAGTAGAGCATTAACAAAAGCAGGGTTTTTTTAGTTTTGTTCTCTTTGCACCTTCCCCAATACCTGAATGTCTGGCACAGGCATAAACTACTGCTTTTACGCCCTCCCCCCAACTTATAAGCCCCCCAGTTATAGGCCCTGATTTACCAGTGAACAAGAAAAAATGTCCCCCTAGATGTAGGCCCTCCCCTAAGAAAAAAAAAACCCTTCAAACCCCTTAAAAAGATGTGTAACCCATGAGCTCATAAGTGATACTTAAACAGGTTTCTCTCTGGATGCATTTGCATAATTACCATCACTTCCTACTAAACTAGTGTCCTGGGAAACACTTTTTATTAGTAACCGGTAATCAAAAGTACATATAACTGTTTATACCCCTATAACAGAGGTGACAAGAGCCCACCTACAAAACCATGAATACCAAAAATTATTTAGGAATGCTATTGCGTTGCAAAGAAAAAGCTAATAAGGGGTGAGAAAACAGAACCTCAAACAGCGATGGTAATTACTTTGTGGTTTTGAGGTTTGGTTGTGCATGTGTACAGAACATTATGGTGATTGGTCACTATACAATCAACATTTTTCAGGTATTAATGATTTTCTGAGTCTGACAGCAAAATTATTGAAAACTCTCTCTTTGAGGTACTGTCTGATGATGATTTTTAGTTAAGAGATGATACCTGAAATCTTTAGGGAGGATAAACCCTTTTAGCAGAACACTGAATGGCCCCCATAAACACCAAATTACCCAGACATTTTATGATTAGGGTTAGGAAACTGGGGCTCAAGTTCTGAACTGGAATTTGATTCACTCAGTACCGTATAAAGTTGCCATGCATGGAAGCCCATGGAACCAGTCCATGGAGGTGTATTAGACTGTCACTTCTCCTGGACAAACCTTGTAATATATGTTTTTTACCCTGGGTCGGTAAAATGATTAATATTGATTTGTTTGGACGTAAATCCTTCGGTCGTCTAAAACGTGTTGTACACAAAAGCTCATGGGCAAAATTAAAACCACGACATGCGACACCACAAAAGAAAATAAACATAGGAAAACACACAACCAGCTCGAGTGAAATGAAATATATATTTTACTCTCCTAACACAACACCTGAATGGTTTCGTTTCAAAAAGCGTTTTAAAGTAAGATAGCAGTTGTAGGACATAGAACAAGACACCTTTTTAGATTGACTTTTCCCCGCATTATATCGATCTTCGCGATATTGGTTTCGTTCGCCAAACGGATTGAAAAAAAAAAACTCACATAACTCAGACGATAGTTTGTCGATGAATTGTCTCAGTTCTGCAAACCAACAGTGTGTTCAGCCGGCTTCTGTTACTGTCTTCTTCTTTTAACTCCAAATTATCAGTGAATCCAAGTTGAGTGAAGTGGTGCATTTTCAAAACATCCCAAAGAAGCCACTCTCTGGAGAGAGCTGGGGAAGTATGTTTTTTCCCCCAGTGGAGCGGTGAGGGACAAAAATCCGTTATGAGCATGAGCAGTGATATTTGTAACTTCTGCACATGCGCAACCAGATGTCAGAAATTTTCTGACATCCCGTAACGGCTGCGTCCAGAGCCCCTCGTTTCTCTACCACGTGACCAAGAAACGACGGGCTCTGGGGACGAGAATGAACAAATTTAAGTTTTCAATTGGACGTAAATTAATTGAGATTTTTCAAAGAATGAAAAAAACTGTCTCGACAGTTTTGACTGCATTGGTGAAGAGCGATGTGAAGAGTAGAAACAGTATTTTAGGTTTTTCGGAAAATGCTATTTTTTTTTCATGGCAATACTCAAGGATTTTCATTCAGAAAGAGCAGTCTAACTGTGTACCTCTCATTAGCCGACAAAAAAACTAACACAAAAACAAAAAAAAAAACATTTGATCTGTAATTTATAGGATTGGGACTTACATCGCGGGTAGCAAGTTATAATGTGTCATATGACTTTCTTTTTGTGGAACGAGAACTTGGTGCCTTACAAGAATTCTACAGAACTAGCAAATAAAAGAGCCACTACATGATTCTCTAAGTTAAAAAAACAAAACTATATTATCGTTTTGATGGCTTTTTCGGAGATACGCGCACTTGTAGCTACATGATTGAAGGAAAAAGAAAGATCTCTTGGTCGGTACACAAGTTACAGAGCGAAAATATACCAATCAAAGATCGAGAGATGATTTAACCACAGTATAAACAAGTATCAGTTACCTAGATGTAAATGTACCAACTCACCTTCTTCTGGTCATAAAACCTTGCGTAGTCTCGTTTTCTTTTCTTCGGGTCATGATCGTGTTTAAACGTTTCATAACCAGTTGTTATTTGTTTGCTGCTGTGGCGATAAATCTAAAATCAATATCAACATTGTCAAACAATATCAACCTTAATAGCCACGATGAAAGAATTAAGAGTTTGTAACGAAACAATTTCTGACAACAGATTATCAGGCTAGGGTACTTAGAGGGGTAGATGGAAGTAAATGGGATGTGGAGCATAGTGAACATTGAAAAAACTTTGAGTCCTCCCCCACCTCTCCCTCCGTTCCTCACTCTGTTCCACGCTTCATTCCCCGCTTCGTCTCAACCGACGATCTGTTCTCCGCTCCGTTCCCCACTCCGCTCCACGTTCCGTTCCCCGCTCCGTTCCTCGCTCAGTTCCCTGTTATATTCTGTTCATTGTAGACTAAAGAGGACTAAATTCCATCCTCTCATCACTCTTGAAAATTATTGAACATGTAGGACACCATTGATCTCATACAGATGCGCAAGGTTAACCGCTAACAGTTCTCAGCAGTACACTAGTCTTAAATACTATACTAAACAGCTCGTATTTTCGTGAAGGTGCGAAGGTCTGGGTCAAGAACGCGCAAGCAGTCAAACTGAAAAACTGAGAATGAGACAGGAGAAGGACTCTTCCCCTCACCCAGTCGATTTTGAGAAAACTGACAAACTGACAAAAGAATTGACTTTGCACAACCTACTAGTGATTTTTGCTCTCAGCGACTGGAAAACCTAGTTTTAGCACCTCAAATGAACGCCCGTCACTTAGGATTCCAAAGATGCAGCACCATCATCCCGGCATTGTGAGGGCATAATCTTGTCAAGTTTAACCCTTAACAATCTCATGGTCTCCAAATTGCTCCAATACGAGAAGTAGCAGAGAGGTTGGTATAATCAATCGAGTTGATTCAGTGCGTGAATAATATTGGCCACAAAAGAGAGATCTGAGAATAGCCATGTAGGGGTTACTAACATTATTGGAGCTAAAGCTCTGTTAAACGGACATTCCCGTGAGCAGCAGGCCACTCTACCTTCCTGCCAAACTGCTTGTGCAGTATACGACCAACGATAGACTTGCTACAAGTCGGCTTCTCAAAAGTGAGCGAAGCGAGCTTCAATGCATGAGGTCACGTAGCGACCGAACGAGCGACAGAAAAAATACTGGACTTTTAGAATGTCTAGATCAGACTAACGAGGATCATTCCTATATAAAATGGCCGCTTCCAGTAGTGGACCCTGTTCTTGTGTTTTCCAGGAGCGTCCTCTTTCATGAGTTTCAGTGGTGTTAGTAATATTATTACTTACTGATAATTTAGCTTCTTTCATTCTCAAATACAGTTCATCATCTTCACGACCCCAACCCCAAAATTTGTTGGAAAGTCCATTGACCTAAAATAAAAAAAAAGAATGCTGCTGAAGTCATATATTGCAAATTAAAGTTATTGAAGTTATATCAAATAAACCCCGAAAGTATTTTTTTTTTTTTTTTTTGAAATTGCTTAAATTGCAATAACCACAGCGACGATCATATCTGAACATTATTTTATAATATTTCCTTAGTTCACATCATCTTCACGGTTCATTCCTTTGCCGGATTAAGATCAAAACTCAACTAATTGGCCTCCCCCAATGTATGGGTCTTCATAGCTCAAATGGTAGAGCACTGCAGCGATAACTCAGCGGCCATGGGTTCGAATCCCGTTGAAGTCCCGAAAATATCTTTCGGGTTATTTGCTTAAATTGCAATAACCACTTTCCATTTCTTAAAAAAAACTTAATATTTTGTGATAAACTTGTGGTTAGAGAACAATAAATATACTTCAGGGGACACCTTGTTCTAAGTTAAAAATTAATGATAGAAAGAAACCCCAGCCAAACATCAGGAGCATTAGACAAGTAGTGAGTGAGAAATCCAAAAAAATGAAACAAAACATTTTCCAATAATGTAGAAAGCAACAACTCCAACAATGGAATCTTTTCTTCTTGAGTTTACCAATTTTGGCCGTGACAGGGTTAAGGACACTAACTCTGATGGCCCTGACAGTGTATGCAATAAAGAAAGGTTTTTTTCTGTATAGCAAACGCCTAACCATTATTTTGCCATCAAACAGTAGAAATCAGTCTGGATCTTTGCCTCAAGTATCCTTATGCTGGTATAGAACAAGAATGACCTACCTTTTCAAACTGTGCCACTGACATTAACAGAATTCCTCCCACAAATGTTTTGTAGTGATATTTTGGGTGTAAAAATGGTGCTGATACATGGAAAGGTCCCTTCTCAGGGAATCCATAATATAAGTCTTTGTTGAGTGGAAGTAAATCCACATCATGCATTGCTATGTAGTCACAATTATTCCTGGCTTCCAGAAATCCAACATTTAAAAGAGATGCTCTATTAAATCTGCAAGAGAAAGGTAGTAGCTGATACAAACAAAATGAGAATGACGCTGTCCTCAAGTTAACAGTAGTTTCCCAAGTAAAATAGCAGTCAAAACTAACAAAAACCCTCTTTTAAACTAAATAACAGAGCCAACATTCACCCTAGCACATTTACTAATTTTAGGGCTGTGCTCTAGCAGAGCCCGGTAGCCCCTGGTGCCTAACTTTTGCCCTCGGGCAACTAGAAAATCTCAGATTTTTCATACAAATCATATGCTGGGCACCCTAGATTTTACAGTTTCAGAGCACTGCATGGGCTCCCTTCAATTTTCGTTAGAGGACAGCCTTTCATGCAACTTAATTTTCACAGCTTTAGCAATAAAAATTCAAAAAAAAATTAATTATAGATGTCACAAGAAAAAAAGCAAAGACATGAAATTCAATACCCTACAGCTTCATTTCCCAAGGGTCCATTTCAAGAAACTGATGCCCCTCAGATGAGACACAGCTAGTGAATATCTTACACTGTGAAACATGGAGATTCTTCATGGCATGAAATTAACCTACCTATGCTTATCAACTTGGTTGACAATAAATATTTTATGTCGTACTTTCTTGGCATTTAAATAATTATGCATGTGAGGAACAAATTCCAGCAATTCCTCAAATCTGTCTCTGTAAGGCACCACCACCCCAAGTTGATGTGGTCCCCAGTTATCATCAGGGTGGGTACTGTCTAAAATAAAAAAAAAATGTATATTTTTCCTTTTAACTGATCTTTGTTATTGTCCTACTTACTGGAGAGAAAAATTCTAAATGACAATTATTGTGAAGGTGGAAATATTCTGCAAATTTGATCCTGCTGGCAGGAAAATCCCAATGACAGACCTATGTGGAGGAGACTTATCAAACCATGCTGAACCATAAAAACAGTCTTAGTCGAATCAACTGACTGCAGTGATGATGATGACGATGATATTGCAACTTATTATAGAATGCCTGTAGTGTGTTTACCACACAACCCCCAGGTCACCCACCCTTATTTATACTGTCTCAGGTTAGAGAAGTAACTTATTACAGGTATTAATGACTTCGATCTACCTCCTTCCAGGCTTTTGATAGGGCACCATAAATATGGGTAAAACAGAATTTTCCAGGAGGTCACAGTATTAGTCCCCAGAGTGCTTTACTGTATATGTAATTTCTTGTGGATAATCCTTGAGGAAAGGAGTTTCGCTCAAGATGCAGAGTTGATTGAGAGGGGGCAGTTACTTAATAGATGATTTAGTGTTTTTGTTGTTTTTGGCATTTTTTTGAAGAGGAGATTTTTCAGAATTACGTCGAGTCTCCCGCATGGATCCCAGGCGAAAGTTCAATATCAACTTAAGCTTAATTTGTTTCATGATCATCGGTTTCAATTTAATATATAAAACGCTATGTTTTCGAAAGTTATGTTGCAGAGTACTTCAAAAAAAGAGAGAGACGTTAAAATAATGTGCTTTCATCTATCAAAACAAGACTAGGTTCCACATGGAACCAGCATTTTACAAATAGCAAGGCGTCGAAACGACACGTCACCAAGCAAATATATATCATCTTACAACCCTGTAAAGCCATCAGTGTAAATTTAGTCTAGTATTTTCAATGAGCCCTACCTATTGTAGTGTCTTGCAGAGAATTCCCCTCGTCTCTCCGATGTTTCACTGCAACACTGTCCTGATTTTGCGAGTGCGGGAAATCGTGTTCATGTAAAGAACTCGATAATTTAGAGCGCTCAAAATATTGTGAACAATTGCAGTCATTATCACCGAGATATTTCATCGATATCCATATTGTTCCAGCAACTGCAAACGTTAAGTAAAACAGCATCCCTAGGATTACTCCTCGTGGTACAAAAGCCATGGATACCCACTAAGTTACGACTAGTTGGCTCAAATTTAGCCGAATGCAGTGTGTGTTGATACCAGTCTGATCGATCTCAGCTTCTCACGGCAACGTTCCTCCTATACTCCATCGGAGAATTAATGGATGCCCTTGAAAGCAACATGTCTGTAAGGAGTCCCTGATTGAACCTGCTTTTAAGAGAAAATGCTCCTCTGTAGAATAACTTCCGCAATTGCCATTATGCTCTCGCGCTCAGCTGTAGATCTATTATGAATTTTTCTCATTATGGCAATTGTTGTTAAGCCCGCAGTTTAACAGCGGATAAAATCTTTGCGCAGGAGCAGTGAACTCCACGTGCTGAGGGAACTGAGGGAAGCGTTCTTCGTGAACTGCATCTTGAAAATGGTGTCTTTTATTTGCAATGCGTGTGGACAAACCGTCAGGAAAGCTCAGGTGGAAAAACATTATCAAAACGAGTGCCATAATTGTAATGTTTTGTCGTGTATTGATTGTGGAAAGGACTTTCATGGTGACGAGTATACTGGCCATACTTCTTGCATCACAGAGGCAGAAAAGTATCAAGGAAAATTGTATAAACCAAAAGATAAGCAGAACAAAGGCGAACACAAGCAGCAGGAATGGCTTAAGGTGATAAAAAGCTATAGAAGTTTGGTTATTAAATAAGGAAGCCACATTTGCGTTCTAGTTTTTAGGGGGAGTATCAGTACCTGCGCGCCAGTTTTTTTCTCCTATTTCGCAGGGGAGCGCGCTCCCTTTGGTCACACGTGCGATCCAAATAGAGATGGCTGGGGATGAGTCAGGGGAATCAGGCACAAATCACTCTAGTATCCCACACAGACATGTATTTCAATGTGTTTACGAGGTTAATGCTGTATTACATTTAAAAAAACTGTTCATCCAAACTGTGTCTAATATTTCCTTGAATTGAGCTGTAGAGAAAACTTTCTATTAAATACAAACATTGAAAGGAACTCTTTCAATGTAGGTCATGTAATACCCATTGCTTTCAATGGGCCATTCCTGAGTTCTTGAGACTCTCACTCTCAAAATGAGTCTAATTGCAAAACCTTTGTTGTGAAAGTGAGTTTTATTTGCATGAGAATAAAAAAATATTTTTATGTCAATGGCTTTGCACTTAGCCTTGCTATGAAACAGAGGCTTAAGGCAACTCAGAAATAGCGTATTCACAAATTATATAATTTATTATTTATGTACCACTTTCACTGCATTATGTTCTACGTCCCTGCAGGGCTCGACGTTGCGACCTGTGGGGTCGCCAATGCGACCAGCTTTTACACAGTGGCGACTAAATTTTCACGCTTGGCGCCAACCTGGCCCCCAAGATAGCTGACTTTCTTCTCTGGGAAAACATACACTAATGATAATCTATTGTCCTTCACAAAAGTAACAGATAGCTAACAGTTTTTCTAATGCTCGAACGTTTTTCTCAAACACTCTAACGGTTTGTCCAAAGCCTGTAATGATTTGCCTAAATGCTTTAAAGATTTCTTCTAACAATCTAACGGATTGTTCTAAAGATCTAATGGTTGGTCCGTCTAACATTTGACTTTTACTTGAAAGAGAATTATGAAAATCACTAGCGATGAATTCGATGGAAGTCTTATCGACTTTCGGGCAAATCGATCAATTCTTAACGGGTCGTCCTGTGTTTCTCTGGGAATGACTTCTAGTGCATCGATCAAAAACAATTTCTTTACGTCGAACATGTATCTCGAATGCGGACTCGATAGCAGAATCGAGAATCAACGGCGCTTACTTCTGAAGCTTCTTGTAAACAACTTTATGCAAATTTCTGTTGAGCATGCGACCCAAATAAAAGCTCTGCTATATTTTATTGACTTCTAATGAAGTACCGTTGAAGTCATGCTGTTTGTCGAACAGACTTGTCACTCAATCAACTTCTTTGTGCGAAAACATTAGCGACATTTCCTCTTTCTGGAGACTTTGGATCTTGTGCTAGGCAACAAAATAGATCAAGTTTTACCGATGTTCATTTCTGAACATGCAAATACATGGGACGCAAAACAAATGTTTGCAGATTTTGTTCTTTAATAACCCAAATAAGTTTTTTTGTGATTCCTATTTAGTTTGTTTATCTAAATGCGTATTCCATTTCTTGAACCTTAAGCTTGAATACCTGTTTGAGTAGATTTATGCTTGACTGCAGGCTAATTTTCCCGAACACTGGCTGGTAATCAAGCCTCGAGCAAAAACCGTTTATAAAGCATTCTTTTTCTGTTAAGGCTAAGTAAAATATGTTAAGTTTATTGTATCCAATTAATTCTTAAATATAATTTTTGGTGACTAGAATACTTGTTCTGGCGACCAAAAATGAAAACTTGGGGGCCAGCTGGCCCTGAGATTTTTTCTGAAAGTTGAGCACTGCCCTGTAATGATGACTTAACTTAGGACACCTAATGATCACCTCATAGAGGATGATTATAAACAAGTTACTGAGTCTGAACAGGGAAAAATAATCTATGCATGTAGTTCTTCATTATAGAGTACACTGTAAAGATATGCCTGGTCACTTCAGACAGTATACATGTACATGTATTTCAACAACTTGTGATTTGTGTGTTTGCAGCAAATCAGAGAGGCAACAAAAACAGATGTAGTTGAACCTCGACTTGCTGCCTTGCTAGACAGAATCAGTGAATATTCTAATATTCCAAGAAAGAAAGGCAAATTCCAAGTAAGTGTCAATGTGATTGATGTTGGTGCTCAAAATGGAGCCTGACGGATTTCTCTGGACTTGACAGGGTTGAATGGCATTCCTATCTTTCTTAACTAACTTAGCAAAAAAATGCCATTAATTTATTTATCCACAATGTGTGAACAGCCAAGGACAAAAGATTTTGTACTTTTAGGGAGCTCTCAACATAATTAATAGAACCTTGCTATATTATTTCGATTTTACATATGCATTGTATCAGGTTCTTCATTAAACTTAATTATAATATTATTATTATTATTAAATGATAATTTTCTTGAATTTCATAGTACTGTGGAATGAAGAAATAATTGCAAATGAGGTCTTTGCAGTTTAAGACACAACTTATGCCGCTGCAAAAAGAAAGCCATTTTCCTTTGTTTTAAACTCATTACTTTAATTCCCACATACAGTTAGTAGGCACTGTAAGAATAATTAACTTTGATGAGAAAATACCTGTTATGATGACTTAACTTGGAGACCTTATGATCAAATCACAAACAATGATTACAACCAACTTATTATGTCTGAACAGGTAGTGGATCCTTAAATAATGATTGTTAAAAAATAATTATGTGTGATAATAATATTAGGATTTTACATTAATTTGTAAAACTCATGCAGTACTCCACTGTACTTTTATGCACAGTTCACCTGGAGCTGTACATTAATTTCGTAACCTTACAGCTCAGTGTCACAATTGCATGTGAATAGTTCCACCTCTTTCATGGGGGAGTCATCTGTGTTTTTGCCTTATAACTTCCATACTGATGCTGTGTATGTAATAATCTGGTTGTCTTGGGTTTCCTGATGTAAATTTGTTCAAGGTTCTTTTCATTCTTGTCACTCATGTTGTAACCTTTTGGGTTTTGTTGCCAATTTAGGACCAAGTGTTTCTTGTAAAGTAAAAAATTTTCCTAGAAAATGAGTTTCTCTTGGTAGAGTCCAAAGCTCATTGCAGTTTGATTTTTGTGATATTTTGTCTTTTGGCTGTCATTTCTAAACAATAGCTAAAAGAATGCAATATCGTTATACTTCATCAGTTAGTGGCAGGGCCTGACCAGATTCTGGACAGATTTAAATGTGCATCATCAGTATGGAATTTTTGGGGCCATCGTAAAAATGGGACCTCAGTTGTTTTGATGGAAATAATAGTTATCACTCAAGTGAACTCCTTTTGTGCCAAGAAGCTACTGGTATTTCTAACTCTAGAAATTGACTCAACAGAATTTTTGCAGAAATAGTATCAATGTGCGAGATGTTACAACTCTGGACAAACTATGGGATATTTTTTCATCAAGGTCAAAGGTAAGAAAAGCCTGCATGTACAGTGGGTGTAGCAATATTTTTAAGCCTAAGGAAACATACAGAGCCCTCCTACCCATCTTGGTCCCTGTATTGGTTTTAGTAAAAGATGCCATGTACAGCTGTACCATAAATCCTTATGGTACATAAATTAAGTGAAGATGGTAACATTTTGCCTTAAAAACTAGAACACAAAGTGGAAAAGCTCATGCACACGAAGTTGGAGGTGACCATGCAGCCAAAGAAAAAAGCAAATTCAAACTTCTGGCACGTGAATAAACCATCCCAGATTAATCCATGTGCGTTGTTTCAGTCATGTTTAATTAATACAGTCTATCAATGTTATAAGAACAAGTGGGGAAGGAGAGGGGGAGGAACTTAATAACCTTCTTCCCCTGAAAAGAAGAGGAGGGATGCTTATTAGAGGAATTATGGTACATGTAAGTAAGAACTGTCTCTTGGAAGTGATGTATTGATGGTGAAGTGATGCATCAGCTGTCATTAATGCCATATGTATCAGTGCGCTCGGTATTTTTTTAACAAAATTAACAGTGGAAATAATGATTTTTGTGTTCTTGGAACTATACATCTTTTCTACGTGATGAAGTTAAAAGAAGAACCAAAGTACCATATTACACACTTGCCATATTTTTATTGTGACACTGGACAGACCAATCAGAGAAGTTAGATTAAGTGTAGAGTGTGTCTCCAGCAGGGCCTATGTGTTGAGATGCCTTTTAAAACCTGGCTTCTTCATTTTTTCGTTGTATTAAATATAATTGTGTAGGCTTCATGGTGGCTCAGTGGCTAACACTTACTTACAACATTTTTGTTTTCATCTCAGCAAAGCCCACAACAAGATGAAACCAGTTGTAGTAGTAATGGTATACATGAAAATGGAAAAAGTGGACTAACATCTCCGCTTGAAGAAAATGTGGACGTTAATATAATATGTGGAGAGGAAATACGGGACAATGAAGAGAACAAAGAACTTGAACAAAAATCAGAGGACTGTAGTAATGCTAAACATTTGAAGAAACATAAGAAAGGTGAAAAAATGAAGGACAATGATATTATACATGAAATAGGATCAGAATTCAAAGGAAGGAAAAATAAAAAGGGTTTGAAAGAAAATACAGAGGTAGATGGACTGAAAGAATATAAAAAGCAAAAGAAAAAGAGAAGAAGGGAAGAGGAAGAAATAGGTAGGTATTAAAGTTTGTATTTGTACAATTTATTTGTCATAGATGTTGTATTTTGCCTGTGCAGATAGGCCTTGTAGCCCTATCCCACAGACAGTTGTTGAAAACCACAACATCTGTTTTCCAACTCAAAGCACCTATCAACCCTGTTATGATGACTTAACTTAGGACACCTATGATCACCTCAAAGAGGATGATTTCGAGCAAGTGAACAGGTCTGAGCAGGGAAGGAAATAAGGTGTAATATTAGTTTTTTTTAATACTTGTGAATTTCCCCCAAACGTTGTCTTGACAATCAGGCAAGTTAAGAACTGAATTCACTAGCCTGATAGTTAAATGTCCATTACCTTCGGGCTATCAAACACTTCATGTCCTTTCTTTGAATGCTGGGGACCACAGAAATGTGGTGGCATCAACAATGCAGTATTTTATGCTAGAGCAGGAAGTGTGAGGTGTTGTTGCAAGTCAGGGTTCTGCATTAACAGTGCTTAAATCCTCAAGTGAAGTCAAATACCAGTACTGAAAATCAATCTACTGTATGATCTCAATAGGCTATTTAAGGACGTCTGGATTATCTGGATGTCTCTCTTAGATTATCCACTAATGGTCCGTTCTGGGCATTCAGATAGTGAAGTGTGGAACGAGTCAGAGAGCAGGAAAAAAATTGAGAAAGAAGATGCTCTCACTACCTACCTTACATTTTACCCCTCACTGTTTTTCCTTCTTGCATCTCTTTACACCATCCTCACAATCTGAATCCTTGGAAAAGGCTTGTCCACTGACTACATGTACTTGGTTGTTTGATTACAAATCACAGATGAACCCTACACACAGGCCAAAGTTACAAAAGTAACTGTTGAAGCAGAAGATGCCAAAGAACAGCTATGTAAGTATTTTGATTCATGTTTGCTTCCCCTGGCACCAACTTGGCTGAAGTTGTCTTTCATTGATGAGGATTTGTAAAACGAAACACAATTACCATGACCTTCATGCAGCCCTTTGTGTTTAGAAAGGATACTCTGAAAGTCTCATGGGAAAGCTTGAAACTCCACAAAGTCTCAAAGAAACTCGAAACTCCGCAAAGAGTTCCGAGATTCCACTTGAAGCTCTCAAAGAAACTCAAAACTCCTCAAAGAGTTCCGAGATTCCACTCAAAGCTCGAAACTCCTTCCTGCTCGAAGGGAAGAGGAGAATGCATAAGTTATGTAATTTTGACATAAATGTATCTCCTCCACACTTCAACCTTACTTCTGCCCTTGAAGTGGAGGACAAATACAAAACTGAAGTGGAAGAGAAACTTAGATAGTGTTATAAAAAAAAAAAATTGCCAAAAATATTAAACATAATTACCAGCAGATTTTTTTTGTGTATTTGAGAAACAAAAAGAAATCGAACAAAACAGTATCGTGCTTGCGGAAAGCTAATGGTCAATCTACTACTTGTCCTAAAGAGACTGCCAAGTTAGTTATGGAGTTGTTTGCGTCCTTTTTTGCCAGGGAGAAAGCTTGTCTGTTCCTGTAATGATGACTTTACTCAGGACACCTATGATTACTTCATAGTAGATGATTTCCAAAAAGTTGACAGGTTTCAACAGGAGTGACACATGCTTGCAAAAAAACGCTAACACTGATTATTTTAAATAAATCTCTCTTTTTTTCTGATTGGCTAAAAGCTCATAATAAACTGATAGCAACCAAAATCATACTCAGCTCATCCAATGATAATATATATATATTTTTGTAGGATTCTGTGTTTGATGGAACTTACCAGTATTTTTTGTTGTTGTTTGTGCAGATCAGTTCAAATGGAAGTCGGTGATAAAGGCAGTGTTAAGACAAGCTCCAGATCAGGAGTTACCGATCAAAAGGTTGAGGAAAAAGGTACACCCTTATGAGTAACCAAAGTCAAAATATGAGAAATTTCATAATAATATTATTATAACACACTGCATTTGTAAGGATATTGCTCATGTGATTGGTCATACAGGCTGTCACTTTTACAAGGTGGCAAGTCAATAGATTTTAACCTTATGTTATTATTGATGACGACTAAGGTAAACTATTGCCGGGTTTCAAACTTTAAAGGGCAGAGATTTTCCAAACCTAGGGTTTGTCCCCAATTATTGCTACTGCATCTCTTGCTAAATTTGGCTAGCCTGTGAATACAGCCATATCTCCTTGCTCCTCCCTACGAGGGACGTCCCTGGCAGCAAGGAGTAAAGGTGATGTTACACGAAACGATTCGCAACGACGATTTTTACTGCAACTCAGCATTGTGACATTGTTTCGAATGGTTACAACATTGTTCCAGCATTGCAATGCTGTGTTGAGCTAAAAATCGTCGTTGCGAATCATCTCGTGTAGCATCACCTTAAGGAGAGACGGCTGTATTCAGAGGCTAATAATCTCATATAGACCTGATACACCTATAACTGATTTGAGTTGAGGAGTGTTAGCCAGGCCAAAATTAATTTGTAGTGTACTGGATCAAAGAAAAAAGGTAAGAAACCAAGAGGTCTGTTAGCCTGCGAAAACAGCCGTTTATCCTTTTTCCTTGCTGCTGAGGACCTTTCTCAAGGAGGAACGTCTGCGACTTAGGGACAGAAATTCCATACTGATGACGTAAAATCTGTCCGGAATCCGGTCATAAGGGGTGATTGGACGATGGAGTAGTCACATTGTTTTAGGTATACAAAAGGCTGCAAAGGTCAAATGTAAATGCGATGAATCTATAGCAAAACAGTGAATATTTGTGGAATATATTCTTCTCTAGAAGAAGTATTTGAGTTTTGCTGGAGCTCGTTCACAGATGAACACACCACCACCAAATCGACCAGGAGAAACGTATAATTGAACAAACATTTGTTACCCCTTGACTACTGGATTTACATGTATTATGTAAACGTTGATTTACGTCATAAGTATGGAATTTCTGTCACTGACTCGCAGACGTCTACTTAATGTCTAGGCCCTTGTCCCTGCTGTGATGACTTAACTTAGGACACCTATGATCACCTTACAAAGGATGATTTCAAACAAGTTAACAGATCTGAGCAGGGAAAAGTAGACATTTAAGATGTAAATTATGTGTTAGCACATTTCTAAACAATGTTTTCGATTTTTTTTAGGTTCTGGCAGAATTTCAAGCAAAAGGAACAAATGAGAAAAATCTGACTGAAAACGAGCTGCGAGCTTTGTTTCAGAAGAAAGTTTCAAGCAATCCAAAATTTAAAGTTCACAAGGATAGAGTTAGACTTGTCAAATAACAGTTGAAAGATAAACCTTTCTACAATGTTCGTGTTCATTGGTGGCGTTGTGTTCCTTGCTGCTTGTTCAGCCTTTCTAAACAAGGTCTATTGTATTGTAAATAATTATTAATGAAATTTAAGATTCTTTCTGATGTGACGTTGTTGTTTGTTTGTTTGTTTGGGTTCATTCTTTGTCTACAAAGACTCATTTAGGGACGGACCATTAGAAAACTTATCGGGGGGGCGGGCGAAGTACAAAAAAAATATTCGCGCAAGGCAAAATTAAATGAAAAAAAATTCGTGCACGCCCATTAACCCTTAAAAACATTCATGCTACGGCCTAAAAAAAATTCATGCAAGGAATTTGATAACGAAAAAAAATTCCTGCGGCTCAAAAATTCCCCCCCCATAACTTTTCTAATGGTCCGTCCCTTATTATACACACACCAATGGAAATGCCAAGAAATCTTTCTCGTGGAAAACGTATTTTCGCACGTGACAATAACAAGTTGTCTTCACAGGTGTATAGATCAGCCAACCTTCACACTCTTCGAAAGGCTTCCAGTCCAAAACGACAATTTGTTACATGATAATGTTTAAGAGCCTGTTTACATGGCGGTAGGGGACCCCAGGTAGGTGAGGTAACCCGCCTGTCCATACAATCTCTCGTATTAATTTGATCGATGACAGGTGGGATGACCATTATGAGACATTATATGGACAGGCGGTTTACCCCACCTAAACGGGTTACCACACCTACTTGGGGTCCCCCACCTCCACGTAAACAGGCCCTAAAATTCAAGACCCTAAAACCCGTACCCTATTTAGCCGCTTTTCAGCGGCACATAACCCGTTTAGGCCAAATAAGGGAGTGCCCCCTTGCCTGGTGAGAGCAGCATGTAAGTGCGACTCGGTGCGATAGGCACTCGAGGGGGTATTGATTAAACTCAAAGACAGCAAACTCAATCATTCTTTAATAGCAAAAGGTTCAAATAATGTTTAAAAATTAAACTCGACTCGCATTTTTTTAGTCTGAAATTTCATCCGTCTCCTCTCCCTGACCCTTGGCATTTCACACCAACATATTTTACATTTAATTTCAATTCTTTTCTTTTTGAACTGTAATTTCTTTTGAAATTCCTACTTTTTTGAACAATAGCTGGTGCTGACGTTTCTATTTTCCCCGGCTTCCCAAATCGTCAATACGAGCAGGACAGTGCAACACCGTTAACGCGACCACTATTGGGCCATAAAATCCTGGACAATAAAATAACCGGTGTTTCTTTCGTTTGGGTCGAACGATAACGAGGTGGTCGTATAAAGGGGTTGGTCATAAGGTGTGGTTCTACATGGCCAGTATCCTATCGAACCGAATTTCTTTCAGTCAAACACAACGAGCGAAAGAGATTGAATTTACTCAGGCCTTATAAAAGGAACTGAGAGTGTGAGATGGAGCTTATAATAAGTTACGGTTTCTTTCGTATCCATTTCTGTTAACGTTCGAGCCAATCAAAAACTCTTTCCGAGTCACACTCTGAAATTGACACAAAAACAAAACAGCACGTAAGAAAGGCATTTACAAGAACTGTATTAAAACAATGCTACTGCTTCTGTTCATTGTTCTGGTTTACACCATACCTTCTATCCTACCGATTAAATAAACTTGCAGCTACACTGTGGTTTATTGACGTTTTTAACACTATTTCTCTTTAACTGAAATCATACCAAAGCAAGCTTTTAGTCAACTGACCACCAGGTAAATTTCCCTGTGCTAGCTCTTATAAAGGGGTAAATGACATCCTAGCTAGATATAGAAATTTTTCACGAATGTGTAGAAACCTGTCAGTGAATAAGATTTTCTTGTCCTCAATACATAAATACAGTCGAAGCTCTCGTAAGCGACCACCTCGGAATCGAAAAAGTGGTCGTACCTAGAGCTGTTCGCTTACGAGAATGAGCTTCTCGTAAGCCGCGACCGCGCATAGTAAACCAATAGGCCACCTCCGAGTTACAAAAACCCTCACTTTCAAAATGAGGCCAAGTGCACAACCTTTTTTGTGGAAATGAGTTTTATTTGCATGAGAATAGAAAAACATTGCCATATAAAAGGCTGAGCACTAAACCTCGTTTTGATACAGAGGCCAGGGGGAACTCAGAAAAGGCCTATTGAGGGTAGTCGCTTACCAGTTCTTCAAAAACTCATTAATAATTCATAAAGAAAAACCGAAAGAAAATAATGGCTACCAAAAAAAACATTTGTTTGATCTCTTTATATCTGATATAGACAAGGCCAAACTTTACGATCAATTTTTCAGACCAAAATAACCCCAAATCTAAATATTATTTTGACATCACCTGTGATCTGTTACTGAACAGATGCACGGCAACGTGGAATCCATTTGTTAAGTGCGAGAATGGGTTACAAGAACTTAAAAACAAAGGAGAAGTCCAGCTAGGTAATCCCTAAAGTGGTCGCGGTCGCTCAAACGGGGTTTCACTACGGTGGTCGTATCTAGAGATGGTCGCTTGCGAGAGTGGTCGCAAGGAGAGCTTTGACTGTACAAGACTAAGGACTAGCAATGTATAATCACTGTTAAAAGTCCCGCGTCTAGAACGAAAACACAACAAGAACAACTTGACTCTTTTGCGTAATATTTACAGCTAATTAACTTTTTGGGAGCATGAAATTAAACCCGCAACATTGCTTTTACTGAAAACGTTCTAACAGATAAGATCAAATCTAATTCACAAAGAATTAGACAAAATATCTGCGCAGATGAATTAAGTTCCGCGTTACATAAACTACTCTACATGTATTTTGGTCTCACTGCTCATCACAAAAGGGGGCCTTGGCAACCCAGGACCCTCCTGTATACCATAACCGAAGGATGAGTGCATTTCCTTCAAAATTTATAAATATGATTTGTCAAGAGTGTCAATTGGTGTTATTTTGCACCTCTAAAAATAAACCAAGCCAATATAACGGAAACGAAACTAAAAATAAATAATGACAAATAATAGTAAACTGTTGCATATCTTTACATCAAAGCCTTAAAAAATACAACTAAATCTAATATAATTTCTCATTAATATAAAGTTTTTTTTTAATCTTAATGTTCTTGTGTAGATTATTAGTCCTCGTCATCATCTTCATTACCATTGGTTTGGTTGTTATGATTGACAATACCATTCATGGTAGGGCGTGGTGGAATCATTGGCCTTGTGATGTTAAAAGTCTTCACGATCTCCTAAAAGGCAAATGTTTTCCAAAGACCGTGAACAAAAGTAATATTTTAGCCTGCAAATAGAGCCATCTCTCCACACTCCTCACCGCTAAGGACGTTTCGCGGGAGAGACGTCTGCGAATGGGCGGCAACAAATCTTAAATACTTCTTATAAAGAAGAATATATTCCGCGAATAATGACGGTTTTTTGAGTAGATTCAAGGCATTACATTACATTTGATCTTTGTGACCTTTTGTCTTGTCTGTTATTTGTAAACAATAGTAACCGGTTTTTTTCTTTTTGGTAGATTCAAGGCATTACAATAGTAACTATATATTTTAATTTTAAAACTCACCTTATACTCAGCAAGAGTGAGATTAACAACTACTTGCTTCTTTCCAATTTGTTCGTCTTCTGTTGGCATTTCATCATACGCTAAATACAAGAGATATTCAGGCTACATTTAAAAAAGGGACCTTTTTCCTGTACATGATGGTAACTACATCTCGTCATGTCCATATAGATGAAAGAATAAGTCATTTTCTATTGTACACGTAGGTGAAACCACTTCCACTTAAGGCTAACATGCATTGATGTACAGTGTACCTAATTCACCTGCATGGCTATTGGTAAAATTTCAAGTTGCCGGGGGTATATGCAATTAGTGTAAAGGGAGTCGTCCAGATAGGAAGTTATTTTGATTCCGTTTTCCTTTTGTTTTTTATGAAAGTAACCGGGGCTCATGCTCATAGTAGCTGGGGGAAATCCCCAGCCCTCCGCTCTTAGTGAGAGCCTTGACCTGAAAAAGTATTCCAAGCAATGATCATTTTGGTTACCACGGTAATTACTAACAATTTGAAATGGTTGAAATGCAATGAACACATTACACTTCCATATGTTGTGATGTTTAAATTAACAGCTTGGCCTCTAATATTGCACAAAGTGTTCTGGCAAAGATTTTTTTTTGTCAGGCTACTTTGTTAGTAATTCCAAGGCAGCTTTGAAAAAAGTTGAGTTTGGAGCACTAACTGAAAAAATGAAGTTACATCAATCATAATTTTATCAAAGAAGATTCAGTTCTCAATCACTATCTTCCTGATAGGGACTTGTCTTACGAAAGTAATTTTTAGAAAGGATTCTCTTGTTTTAATACATTACTTACAAACAAATGGTAGTCCATCTTCAAGTGTTATAGCAGCACGGCCATCCTATAAAGGCACGACAGAGTTAAGCTTGACCTTGCATATTATGTACAAGTAATGCTCCTGAAGATTAAGCAAATTCTTAGTAAACTAGTAATAATAAAAACTCTACAAGTTTATCATTATTTTTCTTTACGACATTTATCTGGACTTGGCGTGACTCGGCTAGATAATAATAATCATTATAATTGAAATGATTAACATAATTCACATATTATACATGTAACAGTAGCTGACATTAAGTTTTATGCAACAAAAAAGACCCTTCAGAGCCAATCACAGGGCTGTCACAAAGATTTCAAGTTGCTGGATGGATGCAACAGGGAACCAATCAGCTTGACATTTCTCTTAGCATTACCGGTGTTTTTCCTCTATTTTATAATAATATTAAAGTAGCTGTGGATCATGTTCATATAAGCCAGGGCCCTAGCTCTTACTGACTGTCCAGCAGTTACAATTCAGATGAATGAACTTATTCACTTTTTGACTATGAGTAGTCAAGTAATGCATGCGAATGACACCTTAGTCTTTGGTTGAAAAACAAATCTGTTTCAAAGGCGCCTCTCAACACTTGAATAGACTCTATTAATCGTGTCCTTGGATCTTCATTTTAACTCATTAAAGTCCAGTTTATCAGGGTAAGATAATCAATAATTGTTTACATTCAATTCTGTCCCTTGGTAAACTTGTCTTACTGACCTTCACTAGAAACGATAAATGGAAGAGATTCTCAACAGTCTGACCAAATGAGTGAGGGTTTATGATGAACTTGAATAAGCAGACTGGCGTTATTTCATCCCCTGAAACTAAAACAAAGACCACAAAGATATATCAGCCCTTTAATCCTCAATGTCAAAATGCACATGACTGTTAATTTCTGACAATAAAAATTTAACAATAAATTTTATGGAGGCAGTTAATAAACGTAACTGTCATGTTGGCCCTTAATGTTTTTCTTTAAGTAGTCCCTGGACTGTGAATAGTGTTGCTTCAGATTTGGTAGCAAGTTCTCGTATTCCAGGGTGCTGTTGTTAGCCCTACGCCCAGCCCCCAACCTGGAGGACCAGGTACTACTTTTAGTCTGTCCTCTCCCCCATAACCTGCTTGGCTTAGTTGGACCTGCCAGGAGCTTAAGCCCCTACCAGTATAGCTCATAGAATCACGAAGGCTTTCAACCTCCCCCACCATGACAAGGTAACAGCAGATGGAGGAGGCCTTACAATGCAAGTCCCGGATGGGATGAGAGAGTGAGAGTCTGTTCTGTCCCTGAGCTAATAAGGTCTCACGCTATTACTCGGTAATACAGCTTTGATTACATGTACCAGTACACAGCATGTCTGCATTAACCTTTTCAAATTGGCTTTTGTATTGTACATGATATATCAAGCGTGAGAGGCAGTGTTTCATCACCAGATGAAACACTGAGAAGAGAGTTGAAAATACAATGTGAAGTGGGTTATTTTTGACGAACTTCGAGGTGTTTCATCTAGTGATGAAATACTCTGTTGAATACTTGATATTACTTATCAAACAAAATGATTAAAGAAGGAGAAATTAAGGATGCAAAAATGAGCAGTTTTTCATCTGATTTCAAGACACTCATTAAATGTAATTTCCTTTGTATTTTCCTTAGGACTTATTAATGACTTTGAGAAGTAAACATAAAACACTTCAGTGTTTTCATATTTTAGGTCTTATACCCAATGTTTGTTTGATATATTGGTGGGATTTGTTTCCAGTCTCTCCGATAAAGTATTTCCTTTTCCATGGTAGGATTAGCTCAGTTGGTAGAGGGCTTGATTGCTCAGCGTGAGGTCGCGGGTTCTATTCCCAGGGCCGGACCAATACTCAGGGTCTTAAAATAACTGAGAAATGAAGGTACTCCCATTGCAATGCAAGCGGCTGGACCTTTGCATGGCTCAGATGACCATGTAAAATGGTGGTCCCGTCTGCATTAGGAGATGTACATGTAAAAATAGTGTCCCCAATTAGCACTTTCGTGCTAAATACATTGACACTCAAATAAATTGCCTCTAGCAACTTTTCAACACAGCTATTTATAGTTCAAAGTTAAAAGCCAAAATATTTACTAGCTGATAAGGGGGAAATAGGCCTCTGGTACCTTACCATCTTTAGCTTTGGGTGACCAGGAAATCTTAGTTTTAGCACCAAATGCAGAGTTGTCACCAAGAGCCAGGGGCCGGAGATTTTCCCAGGATACTATGACTGTGAGCCCCAGCTACTTTTATACGAAACAAAAGGAAAATAGAACCCAAAGAACTTCCTAGCTGTACAATTCGCTTCCTACTTATTGCATATACCCGCGAACTTGAAATTTTAGCGACAACCCTGCAAACGTATATGTTCAGGGCGCGGAGAAAATCCTTTTTACAGCTTGCCATTCAGGCAAGCTCAAGCTAGTATTTACTAGCCCAGACGTCATTTCAACTAGCCCAAAAGCTTTTTCACGAGCAGAATTGATTTCACAGTTCATCTGTTATTCGAATATCTCAGAAAACATCACTTGCCCATTGGGCAAGTTAAAAACAGAATTCACTAGCCCAATAGCAAAATCCACTAGCCCCGGGCTATCGGACACTACTTTATTTGCACGCTGATGTTGTAGTTAACTTTTTATTTCAGTTATCCAAAAACAAGGAAACACAAAAATTAACTAAAACAAAAAATTAACTACAACACACATATGTATGCTGGGCAACCTGGGTATCGATAGTTGAGATCTTCTGGGCAACCTACATAGGTAATTTTTTTAGAGCACAGCCCTGAATAAAAAGATGAGCCTTTTGATGAAGTAGTTCTCACAACTTAAACTATACCAAAGCATATGTCTACTAGTCCTGGGCTAGTTGACTGCCTGTGCTGCAAAGTTTATGTAAAAATCTTTTTTAGTTATCTGGTGATTTTATACATTGCGAAATTAATGGGGCTAATGATTGATAAACCAAGTCTTCTTTGATTCCTGGAATATCAGGCATATCAAGAAATCTTCTTCAATCAATTTAAAAAATAATAATTAATTACAATATTCTCAGACCTGTGTTTTCAAAAAGCACTTTATGTATTCTATCAACTTCTTTGGTAGTAGCCTCCTCCTTGGACTCCACTTTGTCAAGCTAATGAAAACAAAATTATTATTGAATTTAATTAATACATGTAGGATTTGCCAGAAAATGAAGAGTAGAGGGATAAAAAAAAAATAGGCGGCAAAAGATTAAATCAGTTTAGCTGCACATGGGGGTAAGTATGGCTGGGGATTGCCCACATACCCTTGTGAAAATGTTTATTTTAGGAGCTCTGAAGAGTGCATTTCAGCATGTTTTGAGCAACAATTTACAAGCCTCAATCTTGGTAGATGACCAGAGTCACCTATATGTTGGTACTGTCACATGCTGATAATATCAATGCCAGTCCCCTGGATATGGACTGACTCTAACTGGCCTTGATGGTCCACAGTCAGATGTCCACTTAAATACACAAGATTATTCCTTAAACTGTAAGGGTATCCAATCTTGACTTTCAACAGGGCAGCAGTTATCTTGGGTGTCATATTTGACTGCATGACTACACCCTCAAAAGAAACTCCACAATTATCAACAACGACTAACACACGGTAGCTGCTGGCATTAAACCAGTTTAGAAGTCGAATGTCCACTAAAATACAGAAGATCACTTTTAAACTCAACATTACTTTAACTGTCCAACACGCTTCAATAATACATGGCCGCCTACAGCAACACTCCCAAGGTCATTTGCCGAGTATAGGTACTAATGATGTACATAATTATTAGAACACTACACAGTCTAGTGAAGTATTTGTGTGTGTGGTGAAATTAAATCTATAGTAAAGACTGCACAACAAAAACATCCTAGGGGATTTACTATTAGTTCCTTTTTACCTGACTTGGTGTGACTTTTTGGCTTGCATCAGGTTTGTTTTTAGGACTTTTCTTTTGAGCTTGCCGTGATCGGTTTGGTGGTGGTTCCATAGACAAAGGACCAAACCTAATTAAAACCCAAATAGTATATCTTCAAACAAATAACCAATCAGGGCTGTCATTAAGAGGAGGGGCGGGGATTTCCCCTGGCTACTATAAACTTGGCTCGCGGCAACTTTCAAAGGAAAATAAAAGAAAATTACACTGTAGAACCAAAAGGAAGCCCTAGCTGTTTGATTCCCTGCCAACATGTTGTTTTAAACCTGGCAACTTAAATACTTAATGACAACCCTGGGCCATTGTATTAATTTCCTCTAGAATTTGACATTCATTTCCATGAACAAAGGTTGCATTACTTCCATCTCAATACATCTCTTATCCACAGCTAAATCTTGCAAAAAATATGATTGTTTTTTTCTTCATTTGTCTCTTTAAATAACCAGGGAAAAAAAAATAGGACAACACTGATAATTTATTCTGAAATTAACAATGAGTCAAACACAAAGGTGATGAAGCACAAATGGACAACAATAGTACAGAATTCTGTCTGTATGACAAACACTAACTGTTAAAGCCTTTTCAGCAGGGTTTCAATAGCAAAAAAGATGCTATCCCGTCATCTTACATAAAGTCAATGCAAGGTGTTCTCCGGAATGCCACACAAGCTTTCTGTCCAAGCTTCTTCCAGTCAAGGCGACCTGGCCTCCGCTGTCTTCTTGTGGACCCCTCTCCATCATCTTCATCATCATCTCTGCTTAAATCATTTATATTTCTGCCTCCCATGAAAGTGATCTGTTACAAGATCGAAAAAACTTAAGCTTGCTTTCAATGATGCTGAAAAGAATGCCTGAGTAAACTGTCTTTTATGCATTCATCAATATAATTGGACAAGCATTAAAGCAGCTCATAGTAGGCTAACAGAACTCTTGATAGAAAGTTCCAGAGGCACAGCTGTGATATAAAGTGGCAAAACAAAGTAGTTCTAGAGTGAAGGAGGGAGAAAAACTGCTTTGAGTTACGAGGGATTCAAGTTCTCATACTTACCAATTTTTGGACAAAGGTGTCACGATCAAATGTAACTAAGTGGGTCTGTAATTGTTGCACTTGCTGACTACCAAGATTTGATGCAAGAACCAAGAAATGAGAATCGAGGACAGCTTCTCTAGTTAGTCTCACTGTGGAGAAACAAAGTATTACATCTGAATTTTACCTATGTGCAGTTTCTTGTTTAACCTCCTCTTTTTCTACTACAATTCCCCTAGAAATACCTATTTAACTTCATGCCTCACTTTCAAACTTTAGGGGGAAGTGATGGGACCAGGTAGAAGTCACTCCCTTATAAATGTTGCAGTTAATTTCTTTATTTCAGGAAATCTTTATTTTTCCTTTGTTTCATATTCATTCATTAGCATATATAACCATACCCAAAAACAATGGAAAAATAAAAATTAACTACAACATAAAGTAATATAAGCTATGTATTAAACATGTCCAGCACCAAAGGATAATGATCTAACTCTTTGCCTGAAATTGAATATGGATTTTTTTTTTATGGCTATGACAGCACAAGCATTGGGGGACTGTTAGTAGACAGATTGAGGAAGTATGTGCTGCAGTTAAATTTTTACCTCAGGTAATTTTCATTTTTCTTTTGTTTTTGGGTATGGTAATGTACTGTATTTTTCGGTTTTGAGGTGCACTCAGTTAAAAATTAAGCGAAAATACCCGGCTATAAGGCGCAGCCATGATTTTTGAGAAGAGGTTCACCTTAACCTCTACAACACACTTTCCAACAATGCAGATTACAGCCATTTACCCACAACATGAACAAAATCGAAAAAGGTTACATATTTCTATCAACAGCGAAAAAATCACATCAATCAACACAAAAAACAGTTTTATAAAGCTGCGAATACTTAGGGAATCCCTTTTTGTTCCATAAACAAGTCAGCTGTCTTGGTTTCGGCATCAGTATTGACAGCAGGAGATGCAATGTATCAAGATTCATCATGCAATACATGAGCCTGGATATTTCGTTCATTAACAATCTGGCAAAATTAAGCCCTTTTGTATAAAAAAATCCTCATAGTTCTGTTAACAGATCTGGGAGCTTTCTCCAGGAAATAAAGGTCTGAAACAAATGCAAGATCGCAGTGTAGAAATGACAGCAAACCAACCGCCATCTTGGGTCAAGCATGCGCTCAAAAATTTGCCTGGTTACCAAGCATCAACATTCAGTTCAAGACGATTGATGCCAGATGAAGCCATATGATTTGTTTCAAATGCAAAAGGATTTGTTTGTCTTTTAATACCAGCTTTAGAAAATGTCGATTTATATTGAATATTATTGTAAATATTTTCCATCATTTTAGATAATTCTAGTTTTTACATTTTTTAACTCTGTAAATAATGTTTTAGCTTCTAGTTTTTAGATTTTAGTTTTTTTATCTTGGGGAATCTTTTATACACGGATATTTATGCATCAGTAAATTCCAACTCCGCCCAAGAGTCCCCACCCCCGGGAATTTGCCATCTAAGGCAAAAAAAATGCTACTGCCCTGGGGTCAGCTGGAATTGACTGATGCATTATATAGGGATAACATCTACATCTCCCCTTTCAAAAGATATTTTGTTTTGTTTTCTATCTCTTGAATAAAGTATTGGATTGCATTGTATTGTATTGTATGGAGTGTCAAGAGACCTCAGTTCATGCTTGACACACACTAATAGTGTTACTTTGTCATCTGAACTACACCAATATATTACTGTGGGTTTATGTCTGGTGTGGTTTGAGTGGCTGGCTGCAGGTTAATGCACTCTGCCATGGCATGGTACCAGTATCTTATGGTTAATCATCACCATGTCATCATCATCATCATCATTCCTAAACTGCGGACTATTGTTTTCACCATGTAAATGACTAAGTCACAACAATAGTCCTATTGTTTTCTAATCCTAAAAACAATAGTCCGCAGACAGTCCGCAGTCTGCATTTTACACTGCCCTTTTCCATTTCTCCAAGTTTCGAACTATTAATCATCAGCTATACTAAGAAATCCTGATAGCAAGAACAGTGGCACATGTTTCGATAAAAATAGAATCGGCCACTGGTACTCACCACTTTTAAACAAGTTGTCAGCTTTGTCCAAAGCTCTGTGTAATCCTGCTGAGTCAGGTTTGATAAGATCATGTCGGTTTTCTACGAAAACAATCGCCAAACAGCACAAATTAAAAGGAGTCATATAACTAAAACTTCAGTACATCAACTATGCACGAAAGCTTCATGTGCTTCTGCAACTTGACATCTCTCGCAGGACACTTCGATTGTCGCGAGGTTCGTTAGATTTTTGGATCGTATATGACAATATGCTAAAAGGAAAACTGAAAGCACAGCAACATGAAGTCAATGTGCATTTTTTGGTCCTTACTTTGCGTTTCGGCGATCAGTTCACGATATTCATATCGAATTCTTCTTCTTTCCTTGGGGTCTGTGTTGGGATCTCCATGTGGATCGAAATCATCGGAACCTCCACCGCCTTCCTCGCCCATACTTCAGCGAGGAATGCTTGCAGATGATAATAAGAAGGAAATGTATATACTGAAAGGATTACAGCTTTAAATCAAGAGAAAATGAGACGAATTCTAATGATCAAAACAGTACCGTCGTGCAACAGACAACTGTTCGCGCGCTTTTTTGCGCAATGCTCAAAGCGCACAAGGCGCATAGTTTGTTACTTTCACCGCTGGAAAACTGCAGACTCAGAGCAGTAGGCATTTGCTTCCGATTCAACGTGGACTAGATCGGCAGATATTTGCAATTTTCAACATGGGAATCCTCGAAAAAATCAGCGAAATAGAAAAAGAAATCGCAAGAACCCAGAAAAATAAAGCGACGGAGTACCATTTGGGCTTACTGAAGGCAAAGTTGGCAAAATACCGTTCGCAGCTTCTCGAACCGTCGAAATCAGCTGGTGCCGGCAAAGGAGAAGGTTTTGATGTTATGAAATCTGGTGATGCAAGAGTGGCTTTAATCGGGTTTCCTTCTGTTGGAAAATCAACACTATTAAACAAGTTAACGTCCACGTCCAGTGTAAGTGCATCGTACGAGTTTACGACCCTAACTTGTATCCCTGGAGTGATAGAATACAATGGAGCGAACATCCAACTACTCGATTTGCCTGGGATCATTGAAGGTGCCTCTCAAGGGAAGGGTCGGGGTAAACAAGTTATTGCTGTTGCTCGTACTGCTGATATGGTGGTGATGATGTTAGACGCAGCTAAGGGAGAAATCCAGAAAGTTTTACTGGAAAAAGAATTGGAAGATTGCGGCATCCGCTTAAACTGTTACAAGCCAAACATTTACTTCAAAGTTAAAAAGGGAGGTGGAATTTCTTTCAATGCCACATGCAGTTTAACTCACTTGGATGAGAAGCTGGTGCAGATGATTCTTCATGAGTACAAGATCTTCAATGCTGAGGTGCTTATCAGAGAGGATTGCACTGCAGATCAGCTCATTGATGTAATCTGCGGTAACAGAATCTACTTGTCCTGTGTATATGTCTACAACAAGATTGACTGCATTTCCATAGAAGAAGTTGATCGTCTTGCTCGTCTGCCTCACTCTGTTGTTGTAAGTTGTGAGATGGAGCTGAACTTAGACTATCTGTTAGAACAGATGTGGGAGCACCTTGCTTTGCTGAGAGTCTACACAAAGAAGAGAGGTGAGCCCCCCAACTTCAGTGGGGGGCTGATACTGCGACGTGGAGCCAATGTCGAGCATGTATGTCATGCGATTCATAGGACACTTTCTGATGTTTTTAAGTATGCACTAGTCTGGGGCACCAGTACAAAATATAGTCCACAAAGGGTAGGGATTAATCATGTTATGAATGATGAAGATGTCATTCAGATTATGAAAAAGTAATAACACTTTTAAAGTGGGTGCCCTAAAACAGTAATTAACATTGCAAAAAAATTTAGACTGCATCCAGCTACAAACCAGTTAGTTTAAATTGATAATAATTCGCTTTATTAATCTATTCTGGACCAGCAGTGTGCAAAGAAAGAAGTGTTCGATAGCCAGTGGCTAGTGGGTTTGCAATTGGGTTTCTGAATTCTGTTCTTGACTGCTCAGCGGGCAAGTGAAATTTTCTGGGGAATTCAAATAACAGAAGACCTGCAATCAATGCTTCAATGCTCATTCTTAACTTTTTTTGGTCTGGTTGAAATGACTTTTGGGCTAGTACATGCTTGCTACAGCTTGCCCGAGTGGCAAGCTGTAAAACTGATCTGCTAACAGTGCACCCTGACCAGTGGTTTACCTCGGTGACAAAGTACTTCGATAAAGCTCAGAAATAATAAGCATAGTTGTTGCCTTTGACCATTGGTCATAGTGTTTGACAACTACAAATCTCAGCTGTGTCCTGAGTGGTCCTGAATTGAAATCTGTATATGATTATGGTGTTAATGGGGATCAAGGGGAAATCTTTTATTTATCTAACTGCAATATTATAGTAGGTTCTTAACCAAGAAAGGCAATGGGTGTCATGAAATTTATCAGAAAAAGGGCGAGAGGCATGAAAGCCATAGGGCAAACGTGCATCATGTCAGGCTTATTTATTGCTTGTCTGACAAGAATCACTTTTCATTGATCACAACATTTACAGCTATTTGAAAAAGGTTGTCGGAGAAATGTACACATGACAATCCAGAAGGTAACAGGATATGATCAATATTCTGTTCCTGACACTGTAGCTGTTGAATCTTCCATTGTTGCTTTCTTTTAACATTTGCAGACATATCTCTATGGCCTTTCGTGTCATTCTTTCAATTTTCTTTGAAGAACAGTGAACTCAAAATTACCCACAATACCTTTCAGGATAGTTGCATGCACCTTTTCCCACCACCTTTCTCGAAATAGCTGTATATGCTGTACTCCTGGTCTTTATCAGGTAATGGTGTCAAGCAAGAACAGCAGTATAAGTTCGAAACATCTTAAATAAATATTATAGTGACTCATGAGACAACATATACATGCCGCAGTGAATTATTGTAAATGATCTTTCAAAGTAATGCATGATGATCATTGTTGCCAAATTTTCTTGTGTCATTCTCTTCAAGTCTTGCATAACTCAAAGAAGCATCAAAAAAGGTATTTTTTGTTTCACTTAACTGATGTTACCAATAAAGGATTTATTATAGGTTGTAATTATTAATATTTCCATCATCAGATCTAAGCTGCAGTTGCGAAGAAATGAGTGAGCCGTAGCGCCGGGCTAGTGGATTTTGCTTTCAGGCTAGTGGAGTCTGTTCTTAACTTGCCTGACATGCAAGTCAAGTGTTTTTTAGGAATTCAAATGACAGAAGAACTGTTTTTGGCCTAATACTTACATTCTAAATAGGACTGCTGTTAACAGTGACTGAAGCTTTGACAGCCTGTAGTTTTCTTCAGAGTCAAAGGGAGTTGTATCACTTCAGTTGATGGTATTAAACTTTGGTGTATGACCATTAAGTCATGACAGATGCCCAGTAATATCATAAATCAACTGATGTGATACAACTTATTTTGACTGTGAAGATGACTAGTGCACAGGTAGCCTGCGAGCAAGCTCTCCTATTTGGGCAAGCGAAGCGAGCCTCACGAGAACGCGCTAGTGAGGGGCCGAGCCCCTCGAGGCTTCGCCGCTCGCTTGCACGTTCTCGCGAGACTCGTTTAACTCGCCCAAATAGGAGAGCTTGCTCGCAGGCTAGTGCACAGGTTGTCAACAACATCATTCCGTCAGCAACAGCCCTATTCAGGACTACACTCGACAGGAAAATCATATTCCACCTTCTTATGAAATGACCCCTGGGTTCAAACCTTTCACCATATTTTTTTAGTTGAGATGTACAAGTACTCTGTAATTGGAAATGTAAGAGCCTTTTTCATAATTTTACCAATTAAAACTCACTATCTGTAAGCTGATAAATAACAAGCACCTCAGCCAATGAGAATGTGATATTAGTAATTGAATAAAGCAAAGAGCTTTGAATATATTCAGTGTTCTTGCCAGACTGTGGCCTTGCAGGATATAATATGAAAGAATAGGTTTCATTACAAGGTTAATGGTGCCATGCCAAGGATGCACCAAACCAGACTTTTTTAGGCAGAAAGGACCCTGTTGCTTCCTAGGTCATTGAAAATCCCGGTTAGTAAACTGTAGGTCTTTCTTCCCATGAGTGCCGCAATGTTGTTAATTGTTAAGGGCTGGTTGAGATGGGTGAAAAAGGAGAGTGGAGCCATAGTGGACGTTACTTAATGGTATGCAAAGAGCTCGAATTTTTCCTCCCTTTCCATTTGACAAAATTGTTGTCCCCATTACCTCTCTTTTGTTTTTCATTTCAATCATTTTCAGTTGGACCCAGGGATTATTTTTTCCTTTCGGCTTCCATTTCCCGCACGAAACCCACTAGTGCACGATATTATAGCTAATTTTCACAAGACAAACTACATTAGGTCTCGCTGAAATAGCTGACACGAGCAGAAGCGTCACGAACTTGCGTGCCCAATCTCGTCCAGAAACTAGTGCATAATAGCCTACGTTCGGGATATTAACATTCTAACATGACTCAGAGGCTTTCTTATGCTGGGTGCCAGAGGCTTTTCATGCGCGGTTTCCGGTTTCGGTCAAGTCTTACAAAGTGACCATGCCGAAGTGTCTTCGGCCTTCGGCCGAACAAGTGTCGGCCTGTGGCCGACGAAACGAAGGTCCCCGTCGCACCCAAGGGTACGACGCACCCAGGGTAAGACTTTCTGGTCATTTTTCCGATGATATTTGGTTTGGTTTTCTTTGTGCTCCAGTCTCTTGTGCGATGGGAATTGCGAGCGAAGGGAGTCTTGAAAAAATTGCAATTTTGACCCTAAAGGCTCGGAGTCATGTTAGAATTTTAATACATATCGAACGTGGGTTATTTTAAAGAAAATTTTTCACATCACAAACTACCTTGAATTGGGTGACAGTGGCGCAATCGGCTAATCCCTCAACTTAGAGTCTCATCTGATCTGACTGGTCACAGGTGAGTCGGTTCAAACCTCGGACAAGCCGAAATTTATAATTATCTCTTCCTCGAATCAGAATTAAAGAATAAATCAAAGAACTCAAAGTGATCTCGGGATATCTCGAACTAATTCCGCTCTCACCTCGCCAAATAGCCGACTCAAACCGAAAACTCAAGGACTGTGAGTCCCAATCTTGTCCCCAAAAAAACAACTTTGGGACACTCCTTAAGCCTGGTGTTTGACTCAATTCTCGATACCAGCTCTCCTCAACCCTATGATAAACAAGATGGCGGACGAAGCGTCCGCCATATTGCTTATGATACGTTCGCATGCCATGAGGTCTGGGTGAAAGTGAACTATGATTGGTTTACGGCCTTGTTCTTATGCTTGTGCTTATGTCGACCTAGTTTTCACTAGTCAAAGCTACCACATAAGCACAAGAACAAGAAGAACGAAATTGTCCGTTTTTCTTATGCTTAATCTTACGCTACCCAGTTTTCACTTGCTTACACATGTGCGTTTGCTTATGCTTATGCTTATGCGCTAGTGAAAACCAGGCTTAAGTGTTGCGAATCCTCTACTTAGCGCTCTGCCCAAATAATAAAGGCTTGAACGTTCAGATTTTTTATTTGTTTCAAATATCCAGATTTTAGTAGGTATAATCACTTTAGCAAGACGATCATTTAAGCAGATCATAGAAACGAAGTTTTAGTAGCGGCCTCAAGAATATGATTACAAATGGCGTTTTTCAAGTTTGAATAGTAACTAATTCACATTCGCATAAAAGCCACCTTATGCCTTTTGATGGATAAGTTATGGGTGAAAAATTTTGCATAAGGCATAGGGTGGGCTGATAGAGAAAATTTGCCAGTGCCGCTGAAGGGGAGGAGGGTGGGGAAACTTGCTTGCCCGTTGTAGAGTAGACTTGCGAGAAGACGGCGAATTTGTTTGCTAGGGCGTATAAAAGGCCTAGGGAATTTCCCTGTGGACCGTAAAGGACCAATAGACTGCTTCCCGAGGGAGCACGCAGTAATCTAGTTGATTAAATCGTCACGCGGCGGCTTTTATACGAATGAGAATAGAGTCATTATTGAGATGAGTGTTCAGTAAATTTAGTCAGAGTCTAACGAGAAACAGGACTTTTATTATCGCTTCGCTGGAACAGCAAATAACTCGCTATCGAACATAGACTTTCCAAAAATCACCAGGCGACACACTTCTACTATGATCATCGCATTCACAGCTGCCTCCTACGTTCATCCAATGATAAGAGGCTCTTACAAAGGCAACGAGATTGTACAATCGACTTTCTCTATCCATTCCGTCATGACCCCATTTAGAAACATAATAAGAGCCTTTTTCCTATCCCCACTTATGGCAAAGTCTTGCCAATCGCGAGTTGTCATTGTTCATTGTGACAAAACTGAGAGCCACACGAAGCAGGGAAAGCATCCGTAGCACCGCTAAAGTACTGGACCACTGTACTGTCGCAATTTGTAATAATCATCGCACTTTGTAATACCTGTCGCGATTTGTAATAAATCCATCGCACTTTGTAATACCTGTCGCAATTTGTAATAAACCCTGTCGCACTTTGTAATAAAAAAGCTGTCGCAATTTGTAACAACTGTCCATCGCACTTTGTAATAAACTAAGCTGTCGCAATTTGTAATAATTCCATCGGACTTTGTAATAACTTTTTGAGAGTAATTAAACTTACTTCGTCAACATTAATATAACGCCAAAATATGCATGGTACTTCATAAACAAAGATGGAGATGACGTCTGCTAGCACGTAACATCTCCGCTCATTCAAACATTTAACTTTATTCACAGTCCTAAACATTTTTAGATTAATGTTGATTAGTTATCTGACTTACGAAATGCTGTATTCTTGAACCTTGCTATTGTACTAGAAGGCTTGCATTCAATGGTTACCCGGCGGGTGTACTTCCTTATACGGCCAATACGGGGATGTGCCTCTGGACAGAGCATTGCCAGAGTAGAGGATCTAGACAGAGCTAGACACACTAGACACAAACAAGCCATTATTAAAAAGCATTTAATTTGCGCTAATCGTAACATCCATCCTACATCATTCGAATAAGGACACCAGGAGAGTTCAAGCTTTTCTTGTTAGATCTTATAACAGGTTGACACAACACGTGGTACACCGTTCTTGTCTAACGAGCAATCTTAAAGAAGTAATAGTGGCTTCCATATTTTGGCCAACTTAATCAAACGAGGCCTGGAAAGATTCAAAATGTTTACTGCAAATAACAAAAAAAGTCACCAGTGGCAAACCTTCGAACCACAACAGAAACCTAAACACAAAATCCAATTAGTCGCTGGCCAATACCTTCGTATGTACCTGTTTTTATAACACTCACTTGGGGTCTTACACTGAGCCGGCTGGGCATTTGGTCCATTATTCTCACTTGATTTGGTCCCATATAGGAACAAAAGGAGTACTCGTTCCATCTTAAAACAATTGTTTTCTGTAAGGAGTCCTCTAAAGCAAGTACCATGGGGATGGTAAAAAATTATCCTTCGCTGTGTATATACAACTCGTAAGACCTTGCAATTCTTCCGAACGTGTTCTGGATTACTGTTTTTCTACAAAATGGAAAGGATCGAATAAACCATCCATTACTACTTGAGTTACCCTATCTAAGGATCAAACCAAAGACACAAGGCCAACAACGTAAAAAATGATACCCTATTAAAGGCTCGAGATCCTCAAAAGCCATACCCTATCAGGCGGTACTTACCTATCTAGCCCATCCATATATGGGATTATCCCCCCCCTCCTCCCCCGCCGAAGACTTCACGTGTCACGTGGCAAGCAAACATGGATTTGGACGACGAGTGCCAGGTTATTCATGAATTTTCTGTTATTAAATGTTGCCTTTCTTATTTAAATATTTTTTAATTTAAACGTGATTCATATCTTTTTGATGATATGTCACAGGAAGTTTCATGTCTTTCATAAAAGCGTTTCTAGTTAGTCACGTGATTAATCAAGGAAGAAAAATTTATAGCGGAAGACATGCATGTTTGACCAAAGAAAATGTTACGGACATGTTACATGCTAGCGGACGTCATCATCTTTGTTTATGAAGTACCATGCATATTTTGGCATTATACTAATGTTGACGAAGTAAGTTGAATCACTCTTAAAAAATTATTACAAAGTGCGATGGAATTATTACAAATTGCGACAGCTTAGTTTATTACAAAGTGCGATGGACTGTTATTACAAATTGAGACACCTTTTTTATTACAAAGTGCGACACGGTTTATTACAAATTGCGATAGGTATTACAAAGTGCGATGGATTTATTACAAATTGCGACAGGTATTACAAAGTGCGATGATTATTACAAATTGCGACAGTACAACCACAGCTTCGCCTTTGGAATTAGCGGCCGTAGTGATGTGGAATGTTCGTCCAGGCATAGTTAATTGAGTGGAATGGTTATGAAACCCGTCAGACGCCTTTGTTATATGTTTTTGTGGACCTGAAAGTGCACAACTTTCAAAAGAATTCCTATCATTTTGATTGTATTGACCAATAAAAACGTTGCATTAATTTATTCCGTAACAATTTGCCAACAGAAAACAAAGGATTGTGCACTTTCACGGTGCTTTGAACATAAACTGCAGCACTGTTGTTTTTATCATTGATGTTTGCCGCTTTTCATAACCAGTCTCCTCTAATAACTATGGTCCAGGTCTCTTTTTCTTGCAAAGGAATCTTATCTGAGTGAAAGGCAGGACTTTTCTCAGCTCTTTCATGGCCGTTGTTGTGAGAAAAACTTGTTTGCTGCTTATTCCACGGTATGAATTCTTCACTGGCAGACTAGACGGGTGAGTTGAGCTGCTCAACACAAGTCGTGAGACGAGAAGCCAACCACCTGAAATCACACAAGGTTCCGATTTGTCATGTCAGCCAACAAGCCAGCAATACCGATAGTAACAGCACGGAACGCGAAGCTTATAGGTTTATATCAATTTAAAAAAAATTCCAGGGAATTTAGTAAGTTCTCGAGTAAAATAACGTATTTACATCCCCTTACAAACTGTAATATTGAAGTATTCGAGAAATTTGCCTAGGAAGTAAAGAAAATGTAAGCAAAAATATTGTAGGCCCCAGTTGGTGCCCACTCAAAAACGGTGTACATTGACCGCATATTAATGTACTGTAAACGACGGTTGATGTGTGCTCTTCCGATGAAATATCTGTAACAGGTCTTTGAAAACCAGTGTCCTTGGTTTGTTGAAGATCCGGTTTGTGTTTTTCTTCTTCGTAGCCACTTGGGCCGGAGTCACCCAATACTGCCAGGCCGACCCCACGGACCCAGGCCCAATTAAGCGGCTGCGAGGAAGACTACAATCTTAGACAAAATAAATGGAAAACCTAGACCCCCCCCACCTCCCCCAATAAATCAAGGATGAGAAAATGGCGCATTTTTGCCCTTCGAGCGGCTTCATCCTTGATTTGGGGGGGATGGGGGTTTGCTGTTCCATTTTATTCTGTCCAAGATTGTAGGTTTGTGTTGGAGATAAAAGCAAAACTAAAAAAGGATTGAAAATTTGCTTGATTCACTAACTAGTTTAGTTTTCTGCATCACTCTGAAAGTGAAACCTCATCGACAATTATTGTTAAAGCCAGATTGCATCATGTCCGTATGTTTATTTGACTGATTTTTTTAAAATTTATTTGTGACAACGAGGAAATGTTAGTTGGAATAGCAACTACTCAGTTTAGAAATATCAAAAGTGACTGTTTACTAGCGCCAGACAAAGGCCACAACGATTTTTATTCTTACATTTTAATTGAAATTTTAGGTTTACTTTGACAGATCTGTCAATTGTTTAAACGTTACCTCCGTAAGTTGTCATGTCACAAAACACTTTTAATGGGTTTCCAGTCTTTCCAGGATCAATCCAGTACTCGCCATCTCCTTTGGAGAACCCTAAGTCCCGGATGTCCTTACAGGATTTAGCAGGGTTTTCGCGCGTCCAACCTGGTCCTACAGAAAAAGAAAACAAAACGAAACAACAAAAAGAAAAGAAAGAAAGAAAATAAGAACGGCTTAGGACCGTTTGGACTGCATCTTAGTTTTGCAAAGTAAATGCTGCCATTATGTATACCAGAACTAGTGTAGCTGCAATAATTTGAGTAGCCAGCATGATTTACAAATACCATTACAAATATCGGTTATTTTGAATAGCTTCCAGAACAGCACATGCTATCTTACGTTTACTAATAACACAATTGGGTAAATTAAGAGGGGAGGGAAAAGTCAAATTCCAAAACAGCAAACCATAAAACCGTAAGAGCAGCTAATTTACTTTGGTAGTTAAGTCAGGTGTAACCCTGATGCAAACTAAACCCACGCTAAACTAACCACGGCTTTTTTTTTTTACTGTGGGAAATACCCTTTACCATGGTGCATAACCGCACCTAATGACGGAGACAATAAATGATAATCAGAGATGGTCAGTGAATATTATAGGAATACCGGTGCATTTCTTTCAATCTCCAGAATATCCAGGTTAGCAGGTGCAGTTGTGAGACCCTTGAGTGTTGCTACAAACTGCATTCACATCACAGGTATGGGTTTTGTTTCTGCATTCATCTATATCTAATGACGAGGACAACAAATGATAATAATTCTATAGGGATGCTGCATACCAACTGCAATGCATTTCTTTCCATCTCCTGAGTATCCAGGTTTGCAAGTGCAGTTGTAAGAACCTTGAGTGTTGCTACAAACCGCATTCACATCACAGGTATGGCTTTTGTTGCTGCATTCATCTATATCTAATGACAAAAAAATACAAAATGCGCAGTCCGTGCCTCATAGCTAATTAGTTCATGCGTTGATTTAATTTTTCCTTGGTTTCAATTTGGTTTTGCTTTGTCTTTTGGCGCACTGATGTATGATAATGGGTTTGAAAAAAAGGAAAATAAAATTTTAATCAAGAAAAAAATTAACTACAACATACAGTAAAGTCAAACTGAAGGCCCAGAAGGAAGCTCTTTTTGTTCATATAATATACCATAAGGAGACTAGGTTGTGGCAAGAGGGTATTTTGTAGGGGTGACGAATGGTCTTTGCGAGCATTCGCGAGCACGCCGAATACTGCGATTTTTTGCGAGCACGAGCAGAAATAAAAAATTTGCTTTGCGAGCTTGCAAGCAACTGCAAAAATTTGGGGAGCACGAGCGAGCGAGCACTCGTTTCAATTTTGCGAGCAAATCGAGCAAAGGTAAAATTTTGCGAGCAGTTAAAAATTTTAATGGACCATTCATCACCCCTTTTTGTTATTTACAGATTTTTCTGTGTTCGTTAAAACTGAATTGTCCGCAAAATTAAGCTATATAAAATACCCATTACATTTCTTCGCTAGGTTGGTAAGAATTAAGAACGTGAAGGTCACAGACGCGGAGTTAGTTACAAAACGCACTTTTTTTTCCATTTTCAAGAAATCTGACCATCTTTGTAAGTGCCAATATGTGAACTCAGTGGTATTCTAAAGAGCAGTCTTTGCATCACACCTGTAATAATTGCAAGTGCAATTGTCCGTTTCTGCAGTAGATAAAAAAATCACTCATGATTTGCCTACAATACGATTTTATAAGCATGATCTTATTTTGTAGAGTAGTGTTAGGACACAGGTACTTTTCACTAAAAAATGACCTTAATAATGACGTGACGAGGAAGAAGCTGTGTAACAATTTACAAACAAGAACCCCTGCAGGCAGGGTAGCCAGCTTCAACTTGATTTCAAATAACCTGCATCTGACCACATAACATTGAAGAAGGCATATATCTTAAGATCAACAACGACAAAAACACGCACACTATATGCTGTAAAATTATCTATTGTTACTAAGATAGTGACAAGTTGGTTTTGAAGATTTTCTTAGGTTTAGAACAATTAAGAACTTTAATACCTTTAGCGCAAGTGTAGTTGAAGCATTTATCACATGACACGTCGTTCCAAGTGTAGCCATGCTCTGCACCAAGGGTGTGAACACAGTCTTCGTTTTTCAAGTTGTTTGGTTGTTGCGGAGCCCAGAAATCAAAGCTAGTTATTTCCTTGTTTGTCCACTCAAACGATCCCTCAACACTTCGGTCATTAAGTCCAATCCATGATCGCTCGCCATTATGACGGTGCTGTATGTAGACATTTTCCTCTTGGTTGTGCACTGTTACCAGATGTGAGTTCATGGCTGAACAGTTGGACACAGCAGTCACCCAAGGTACGCATACAGAGTTTGTTAAATAGCAGTATCCACTGAAGTAATCCCATCCAGCTGGACAGACGTCTATGAGTATAAAACACGACATTGTGTCATAAATAAGAGACAATATTGGAAGGTCTACCGTAAAAAAATCGTCTCTGTTTTGCATTAAAGCTCTTACCTGATAAAACTGTGTAGGATATGAAAAGTGGGTCGTATTTTGCCTCATACAGCCTTTGACACAAACGCGAAAGCCTGTCCTGTTAATGTACTGTACGTAAAAAGCAGTGAACATCAGTATGTATATTAGGCCAGTTTCAAACATAGATCTTAGCTTACATTAATTCACATAAGCGCTGCGTCTAACCCTGAGTGAGATCAGTATAGTTTCCTTATTAGGATCATACATAAAGCACATGTGACTGAGCTCGACATCTGATTAAAGGAGCCTTACAGCTCTGAAAGCCGGCAAGATTTTGCATGAAAAGGTAGACAGTTCAGAAAATATACATTGCATAAAACACAGGAGAAATTAAAACCTAATTCACTTTACATTTTGTTGCAGTAAGTAATTTCAAGGTAATTTACCACTGAATTGATCGAAAAACGCTTTTTTATACCATCAAATCAATCATATAGTAAAGAGTCAAAAAAGTACCCGATAGGAAAGTATTCTGTACTGCTATCAAACTTCATAAATAATGGCACATACACCCATATACACAAGTAATTTTGCCCCATTTATAACAATATCAAAATGAATGTTCTTCTTTTCTGATTTCCAATAATATAATTACTAAGTATTTTCGGTAAATCCTAGCAAAACTTGACAGTCTCACCAAAGTAACAATTTTTGGATTTAAGACAATACAGCTAGGTTTAATCCGCCAAGGTCGATTTGATATGAATTTTAATATCCTGACATCGCCTAAGCTACCAACCTCCACCCAGGCAGCTATGCTGTTATGAGCTGGTCTTTGATTCCCTCCTTTTGTTGAATGAGAAGCAGAAACGAAGACGTGTGGCGTTGTGTTATAAGTTCTAGCAAAGATAACGTCCTGGGAAAATAAAGAAGTATTTTATTAAACTTGAAGGAGAAGTGTCACCAAGATATCGTCTACTTGCAATTCAACGAGAGTCTGGAGAACTAAAATTTACTAAGCTGTTTACCAATACTATTTACAGTTCCCTCGATTTTAGACGGGTAAGAAGGAAATATACTGAAACCTGAGAACTTCGGTCTAAAGTTTTCAAGTTTCTCAAGTTCATTTGGCCTCGCTCCACCTTATAAAAAGGGTTTCTTCTTCTTTTCGAGTGATGATGTTTGAGATAATCGTGAATTAACTGATTCAGTTCTCTGCAAATGAATATCTTGGGAACAGCATGCCACATCAACATTATCATCGTCCAGAAAAAGCAATTACGTGACGTACTTGTTAATTGCTATAATACAAAAACAGTACGAGGAAAGAGATTTTGAAGCCAATTTTATTTGGAGGATAGCTAACCCAACTCGGCACAAGAAGCCTATTGCAAAACATGCAGGCTTCAACAACAACAATATTGACAACTTGACATTGCCATTAGAATGGAGGTTAACATTTACGCTTTTTCTTTAGCCCCTCTCACGGAATAATTGAACCTAAAACTGTTCCACGGAAATGAAATGGACAAATTAAATTGTACGTATCACAGAGGTGAATGAGTTGTGAGCTAGTGAATGTGTGACTTTGGTTTCTTTAGGGCCAAAATAAATAGGGTGTTACATTAATCGAAATATGTCAGTATGCAGTCCATACCGCGGCAGGTTTACCTCAGTCGGTAGAGCGTTTGACTGCTGAACGGAAGGTCGCGGGTTCGACTCCCGGGACCGGACCAATACTCAGGATCTCAAAATAACTAAAAAATGAAGGTACTTGCTTTGCCCTCAAAATGGCCAGACCTTCGCGTGGCTCGGACGACCACGTAAAATGGCGGTCCCGTCTCCAGTAGGAGACGTAGACGTAGTGTCTCCAATTAGTACTTTCGAGCTAAACACATTGACACTTAAATAAAAGTGCTTTTTCTTTTTCTTCCATATCAATGTACATTGCTAAGATTAAAAATCTTTCAACGCACTAGTAAGACCTGAAGGTAAAATTTGACAGCTCCCTTATTAAAGGATTTAAACTTAGATTTGGATTTAAACTCAGACGTTAATACTAACCTTGCAAAATGCATTATAATGGCTCCTGTCGGGAGGTTTATCATTTGCAAAGTAGATCGAGCTATGTTCTGAAAAGGGAGTGTTGGGAAGATTCGAAAAGGCGAGCCAATTCTAAAAATACAAGTCAATCAACTACGCATAAGTTCTTGTTAATCGACATGGATACAAAAAAAAATAAATCAATCAAGATAACTATTCAAAAAACAAAGAGTAAGACATGAAGGTGAAGAATGTTAAAAAGTAACTTGCGGTTTTTAATAACTAATTCTGAAATGAATTTGCAGAGTTGCTCGATTTATGATGCCGCTAACAGCTGCTCTTCAAGGACTCTGTGGAATTACCTGTGGCTTAAGCCTGAGCCAAAGTCAAAGCTTTGGCTCTACGTTAAAGCGTGACAGCCCAATGCATGATCAATGTTTGACACTTAAAATAATCACACACTGTACTTACAACAAAAATGTCTCGGTGAGATCCAGCATAATTCTGCAGTTCTCTCATACAAACTTGACATGATGATTTCGTTACATCTTCAATCCATACACTAGCAACGTCACGTTTTAGTCCTGGATTGTAATGCTTTGACGTCACAAAGACTGAAGGTTTGACTGAAAATTTCCCCTGCGAGCGAAATAACGTAACATCGTCATTCTGCTAAAATGCTTGGCATACTCCGAGGTTTAACTTATCATAATCAGTTTTCTTCACTTTTTAGTAACGATTCGAAGCAACTTTTATTGCTCTCTTTTATTGTTCTGTTAAACTGGATGATGTGATCATAAACGATTTGAAAAAGAGAGCATCGAGAACTATAGATCAAAGCAACTTACGGTGGGAAATCTCACAGTTGCGCAAGTTGTTCCTGTCCACCACTGTGACATGCGCAGTTCACCAGTCACGCCTCCCACTGGAGCTCCTTGATACGCCATCCAATCAACGGTCACGTTAGCATACGACTTTCTTTCGTTATATCCTGCTGCCATCACACAGGCAGTAAATCCGTCGTTATTGACATTTTCAATCCACGATACTGCCGCGTCGTGGACATAGGATTTAACACTGGTATCGATATGATTGACAGTAATCTGCACTTCAATGGTTTTGTCAGGATAAAACACAAAAGGCTTAAAACGAATTACTTGACAGTGAGAAAAACCCAGAGATGGAATATGGGGCATGTGATGGCGACCACGCTGAAATGGAAATCCTAAAAAGAAGTTACAATGATTAGTTATACTGGGCTAAAGAACTTAAAACTTAACTGAAACTTAAAAGTAAAGAACTTAAATCCATTGTTGACGCAATAACTTTACTTTAGAAAGAGTGGGAAAGTAAACAAAAACGTAGTGAAAGAAACTTTTACTATTAAGCGAAAGATTAGCAGAATTCATTAAAAAGGAAAAACCTTGAAATAAGGTAATAAAGTGGCTGACCTTCACAGCTGCCAGGATGATGTTGTATGGTAAAGTTTAGTCGATGGAGACAAACTTCCTGTTCAAATAGACATTTGTTGTCGTATGTTGTGCCATTGGATGAACATACAGGTTCTTTGTAAGTTGGACAGCTGTCCAAACACACACAGCGTGCATCATTAGGTCCAAAAGCCTTACACAGGCTGTGATAATGACATGTTACATCTATACAAGGATCCAAGTCTAAAAGACAAACATACAAGTCATGAAATCAGAGGGCAGCATTAAAGGTTCATTCATTTCGTCATTGGATAAACTATCCTGGAATTACCCTGGAATTTCAGAGTTACCAGGGCACTGGTTAAACCACAAGAATATTTCCATAAATGTTGTAGATTGCAACCCATTTAAACTATTAGCTTTTAATTTCACTTTCTTTTGTTTTTGGGTATAGAAATGACGGTATAATCTGAATGACTTTGGATAAAACTTGGGATAAAATTTGATCAAAACATAATTATGCACTTAAGCATCGTGCAGATTTTCACTATTGTGTACGTATAATTATTAAAAGAGCACATAAATTCCCTGCTATTCCCTCATTTTATGTTATATAATTTATTGCCTACCTCCAATTACCATATAATCGACTTTCATAATATCCTTTTGATCGTTGGCGTCATTGTTGTAGCTTCTCACACACACTTCTGTTTCGTTTGTAGATGTATGCTAAGCACATTCGAAAACAGCGAAAAAAAAAAACTTTGAGTTCATATTCCACATAATATAACACTTTGTTGCAATAGGGTAAATTCAAAGGTTAAAACGTATGTGAATATATAATAAAAGATAACACAATACAATAATTTTTCTAAACTTTAGTTTTAGCCAACTTGTTCGATTAATTTATTCCAAAAAAATTATGGTTAGTGCAATAATTGCAGTCAAAACCTAATTGTTAAGAACCTGTGGGACTATTTTTTTTTTTAGAAATTAACTTTAAAGAACCAAACGAGTAACTATAAAAAAGTCAGTCTTCATCTGAGAAGTCTGCCCCAAAGTTATTGTACAAGTGTTTTCTTTGCTGAGAGCTTGGTTTTATTTAATTTGCCGTATTTATAGTAATTAAAAATGAGAAACTATAAACAGTCTTTATTGTCTGTATATATCACGCTATATAATAGTAAAAACCTCTTAAGCAAATAACGTTGTTTGAAAAATCTAGGTTTACTTATTATAACGTGAGTAAGGGAAACGATCAAAGGAAATAATTCCTTGACTTTTAAACAAATTCTCCTCATTCGAACCACAGTAAGAATAGGTAGACTACATATTTCTAACCTCAACCCAGGAAATAACTGCGTTGCATGGTTCGAATCTTGATAAACGTGATTTGTTGTTATTGTAACCAAGTCTTGGAGACACCACTACAACTGGAGGGGCATAAAAGACGTCCTGGAACTTAACCATCTGAAATCAGAACAAAAACAAATGATATAAATCTCAACTCAAATAGGTAGTTATTTTCCAAGAAAGACAACGTTAACATCTATTTCTGATTTCTTCTAACAACTAACTGCAGGCCGGAAAAATGAGACTTTTTCTTTTGAGAGGATACAATTTATTCAAAGATTTAGTTAATCCTTAATTTGAACGACAAAGACAAGCAGAGGAAACAGGAAAACATGAGCTTTCAATGCTGAACACTATCAAACATGACACTATACATATACCTGGCAAATAGCGTTGTTGTCCTGTTTGTTTGATGGTGAGTTGTTGTTTTTAAACACGAGACTATCAGTCAAGGTAAAATTGCCAGTCTTTAATTTGGTAAAAGCCATCCAATCCTGCAGGGAAGAGGTAAAGATATCAAGCAAGACTGATGTGAACTTTCTAAATGCAACACTTGTTCTTACTGTCATTACGCTTTCAAAACAAACTCAAGGGTAACCAACAACAGCACTTATTCAATATTTATCTAACTCTTACAGGGACAAGCAGGGACGCGGGGGCAGGGGGAGGGAATTGGAACAACGTTTGAGTCAGAACGTCTTCTCTTCATTAACTGTTCATTTAGCTGACATAATAATTTTTGGCAATGTTTTGTTGCTAAAGGTTTTTGCGGTTACGAGATATGAGGTAGTAAATGACAGGAAACCAAGCAGCCATTTTGGAGTAGACTGATGTAAAGTTTACTTCCTGTTTTGTGCAAAAACGTTAAAAAATATACTTTATTTGAATGTCAATGTATCTGGCAGGCAGGTACTTTTTGAGCACTTTACCGATTGAGGTTAATCTTGTTTCAATGAAAAAAAATTAATTAAAAAAAAGAAAAAAAAACGCTTATGAGGCCTTTCGGAAGCGTCGTGTAGTGTACTGGAAAAGTATGGGTTGTGCAGTAAGAGGAAAAACGTGAATGGTCAAAAGATAGCTTTTCAAAGTTAATGAGAAATTGGGCATGTCAAACATTAACGCTCAAACAGGGTTGAAATGTCAAATATGAAAGTTAAATGTGAGCGTAAATGATATTACCATTTTGGCATTTACATGCAAGTAATGCAGCCTTGTTGCATTACTTGTTGCCTTATTGTTGCAATCTGAATGGTTGTTTATGAAATTGTCAGCATTTCATTATATATCAAATTTGTTCCATCTCGTTTAAAGACACTACTGATAACAAAACAAGATGTAGTTGAAGAAATCAAGTAAGTGGAATATCACTCACCACTTTGATGTCTTTATGAACTCCATCAAAAATCTTAGTTTCTCTGGCACAAAGTTTAAAGCTGTCCTTGCGCAAGTCTTCTACCCACAAGGCCAAAGCGTCTTGAGGTCTTTTAAGAACCTGGTGACGAGCAGTTACGAAGATGTTTGGAATAGCCAAGAAACGCTGAATGGGTGAAAAAGGTGGACAAATAATATATCATCCATAAAATATACATTTTCAAGCAACAGAGATAATGAAGGGAAGGTAATTTTTTTTCTTTGCCAAACGGCAGTAGAAGTGTAAGGGTTAAGCTAGGGCAATAAAGTAAATAGGAACACAAAACCAGACAAGCAAAAAAAATAATATAAAATAAAACAAACAAGCAAAAATAGTTTGATCTATAGAGCTTTCACCAAAAAAATAGGCAGTATCGATAATGGAGTGTAAAACGAAAATCAAAATGTGAGATGAAATCGATTTTATTTGCAAAAGTTCATCACATTTGGAGATGAAAATTTAAACAACTTTTGACAAAACCGTGTGACAAGTAAACAGAAAACTAACAGAGTAATAAATAGATGACAAATTAGTAACTTAAAAGCCCCACTTAAAAGTTCATCTCGTTTAATGGAGTTGCAAGTAGAATTGTTCAGAAACGATGCTAGGAGAAAGACGTTTTAATAAAAGAAACAAAGCACTCAGAAGCCAGTAAGGAATAAGAAACCCTAGATATTAGGGACATGTGAAAAAAGTAATCGACTAGAAGAATCAAAAGTAGTAAATAGCAAATATAGGTTCACAGATAATATAGAGGGAATAACTTGCTGATCACAGAAAAAAATCTGAGAAAGAAATGAAATAAGAACTCTTTGAAGAAATAGAGCTGAAATTGTGTATTTTTAAGAAAAATCGTGATTGTTGAGTGTTTAAAAAAATAAGTTGGGTTATCGGAAAAAGGTGGAAAGGGACTACGAAGAACAAACTATTGGAAATTAAAAATTGAAACTATTGAAGTGGTCGAGGCGCCAGGTTTTTGGCCAATATTTTTATAAAGTTTATACCAAAGCCTATTTTCCTTTCTAATAACTGTTCATTTTATTCCTTTGACAAATTTTACTAACCTTAAGTGATGGAAGGTTGCTAAAGGAGCAAGACATGACACCATCAAAAGCATAATGCTATTTAGCCTTCTCTAAGCCTTGAAAATGCGCTTTACTTTTTTAATTTCAGGTAAAATAAAATGGAATCGTTCTATAGAAGAAATATTTTTATCATAGGATACTTCATAAATTAAGCCTTAATTTAAGCTCTGTTAAGACAAATTTGAGCAAAAACTCAATTTTAATTCAAATACAAGATGGCATCCAATATGGTCGCTACTTTAATGACGTCACGGCTCCTTAGTCATATAACCCATATTTGAATTGTTTTGTTTTCCTCATCCAAATAGTCTATCAATCAAAGGTTTCATCTCCTCAAAAAATATTGCGAACACGGAAAAATTTAATAAGACAACGTAATGCTAAAAAAAGCATGTCACAACTTCAGCCGTAGCAGCAACTACTCCTCCTTCTTGAAAACAAATTTTTCGGCTTAAAGCTGACAGTTCTCCATCCATCTTCTATGAAATAGTTCTTAAACTAAAAGAAGCCATTCAATTACCTTCACTTTCTTTGTAAATTAGCCCAACTATGAAGAAAATCGAGAAGAAGTGTACACGGAGTTGCTGCTCGGCAGACATCTTGTTTCCAATGATTGAAAATCTACCCTCATCTTCATTATCCATTTTCGATATACGTGCCAAAAACTAAAGTTTAACGCGAAAATTTTGCACGTTGAGCACAATGGACAAAAATCACGTTCCTGAGAGGGTAGCGGTAAGGTGGTTAGGCAGAAGGAAAGAGCTGATAAGTAACACTGTTGAAGTCACTCCGCTGTGGGGTAGACATGTGAGTACATTGACGTCCTTAGGCTACGTAGGTGGGGAAGAGCAAAACATGAAAAAGATGGCGAGTGATTTGAGGATAACCTGAACATTAAAGTAATCGAAGTAGATCGAAACTATGCACGAAATTAACTTTGAGCTTTTAAAAATACAGAAAACACGACACGAATTTAAAGACTATTAAACTACTGGCAAGACTTGTTTCATTTCGTCACTAAGCAAAATATTTCATAATGTACAGGTTTACACACGGCCGAGCTCGGGAGCAAATAATCCCGAGTTGATCTGACTGTCCCATTTCATACATTCAGCACACGTTCAGCCGGGACATAATTGAGCGATTTGGTGCTCTCTTACATTGGCACGCTTTAGTGTAGCACTTTTGATATTTGCATCCCATTTTATTTTTTATGCTATATTGTAGTGATCCATTATAATAATAACCAATAACCAAGTGTTGTATTCATATAATCTGAACTAGAGGCATATTTTCTTCTTAGCGATTTGCTATTGCCAGCCAAATATTGATTACCATTCCTTTCGAGTTTCTTGTTTCATAATGGAACTTGCTGCTTTGCAAATTTTCAGCTCCCTGTGATTCGTCCTGGAGTAATAGCACAGTTTATAAGGTTTTCTCTTTTCTCCACACTAAAATTGCGACGATCCCCGCATACTAATTCCCGGCTGAGTAAATTAAAGACAATTTACCATATTTGATTACTTTTTCTATCTGACCGCTCCTGGTATAAAATAATAAATCTTAAAGCTGACTCGGTCTCGATTGATATTTAATCGATTTCATGACAAAAATCAGCAATTAACAATGAAGTTTCTCTGTTGTTTTTAGTGGCGTTTCTCGTCGGCAACATGGCGTCTCCAGAAATACTATGAATAACTCACCTTTGAAAAATCGCGTCGTGCTTGGATCTCGTTTTGTGATTTACAGATTTTGATTATCTGATTGTATAATTTGAAATACTGAAACGTACATGATAATCGATTAAGTCTACGTCATCATCGCGATGTTCGTAAACACGCTGAGACAGTAAACAAAGATGTCTTGAATTTGTGTCCTTTGTCATAATACTCTGAGTCACATACCGATACAGCGGCCCAGGAGGGGCAGTCTTTTGCTTCTCGGAGACGGTTTTAATTCTTGTTTCATTTCAAAGAAAATATGGAGTTTTCCGGGTGCAAAGCGGTGGTTGAAAAAGAATTAATCAATACGGACAAATTGTTAGCTTGAAAATTAAAGATGTATGTAATTAGAGCAAGGCTAGTTTCTTTTATCCCGTTTTAAATTATTACTCGACGTTTCTCGCTGTTGTGGGGGATAGTTTCGTATAGATTTCATTTCATATAAAGGTGCCTTAGGGTTCGCTTAAGCATCAGAGTGATTATTGGAAGAAAAGGAAAATTTATACAAGGCGCCCATTCTGCACGTGAATAAATTAAAATAGATTAAAATCGATAACATATATTTATTACCTCAGTTTATAGCGATAGTAAATATATCGAATGCCATAGACTGATAGTGGAATAATAAACAGTCTTCCCATTTCATTTGATGATTCAGTACTCGTAGATTAACGGTGATTTTCATCGCGAGTTTCCTCTGTCGCAGTCTTGTAAACTGCTGAGATTTGCATTTCAAAGTATGTTACAACTTGCGTTGTTCACAGTCAAGTAGGTTTGTTCCCCCGGGGGGGGGGAAGGGGGTACTGCCATATATGGGCTATATAGCTATGTGCCGTTGTGAAGGGTATGGTTTTCAAGCAGTTTTCTCTAGGATAGGGTATATAAATCGGAACATTTGGGTCTAGAATAGGGTATCATTTTTCAGGAAACTGATCAGTTGGTTGAAGATTTTATCTAGACTAGGGAAACAGCTAGTCTAGGATAGGGGGGATTTGGGGAGTTTACTCTAGTATACGGTAGCAAAATTTAGCTGAACTAGCTCTGGTATAGGTTAATAATAATAATAATAATAATAATAATAATACTTATTATTTGTATTGCGCCTTTTCTATAAAATATTCAAAAGCACATCACAATAGTAATTAATAAGTAAATTTTACAAATCTTTCTATCATAAATCCTAAAAATATTTACATTTGAATGAGTAAATGAGGGTAAGGGTTCCAGGGTTCCAGCGACACATCCCTACCCAGAAATTCCTAAAGTACCCCCCGGGGTTTGTTCCCTCTGATTTGTTTGTAACTATATGTTGTCTACATTCACTTATTATTTCGTGGCATATTTGAGCATCTATAAGAACAGTCTAATTTTTGGAAGAAAAAATACTAACCAATATATAGGGACTTAACTTTCTTCAAAATTCTCCAAAAATATCAACATGCAGTGAGACATTTATTTGTTTATTCATTCTCGCTGAAAGACGCTAGCGAAGCGAGTTTATAGTCTCGTCACGCGCGAAGCGCGCGCGCAGCCAGCACGTTAACCGCCCGTTAGTTTTGGTAACTGCAAGTTTGGATGCCCCATCTTTCTTTGAATATATTGCTTGGTGTCCGCCTAATGACGTCTTGCAGCGTGACGGAAAAAAAACCCTACTATACTACTGCTTAATTTTTTTCTTAACTGCTGTTGAAAAACGTTTTGCCAAGAGAAACATGAATAAAGAGCAACAAAATGACTATAAAAGTAACGGATTCAAAACTCGAACGCAGTTGGGATTCCGAAATCAAGAAAATCACGGAATCTGGTATCTAAAAAGTCAAAGCTTCTGACATTTTCATAACGTCCAGAATAACAATTGATATTACGAAAAAACAATTCAAATTAACCAAAATTGCAAATAGTAAATCAAAGTTTGCTGTATTAAACAGGGCATTTTGTTTCAGTCGTGTTACCTGAAGGTGGCGTATGCCAGTGTACCATTGACGAGAAAGCAATTCAAACAAGCTGATTGAACAAATAGTGGTTCTTACTTCGTCATTTAAAGTTAGTTTTATTGATCAATATTTCATGACAAATTTACCAAGCCCCTTCAATGTGAAATTAAGTCAGTCCTCATAATGTCTGAGTTTTCTCATCGGTTAATATAACTATCCGTTCCATCCACTTTTAATAACTCAATACTCTCAAGGAGATAATTTTTGTCCCCTAACAATCCATTCCATAAAGAACGTCACGTTAGTGAAAACATCTGGAAATCCTGGAATGTTGCATGGCAGTCCCCAGCTTGTAGCCCCTATCAAGTAATACTTTCCATCTTTTTCGCACGCCAGTGGACCTCCGCTATCTCCTTTGCACGAAGATGTCTTCGTTCCGTCTTCAAAGCCAGCGCAGAAAGAGTGATCTTTTACCTGGGGGCCATAAAGCCCAGCACACGTTTTGTCCTCCACTAAGGGAAGTTTTGTTTTCTTCAGCGTTTTAGATTCCGTTCCGCCATTTGGGCCCCATCTGGTGGCTCCAAACCCAGTTACCGCGCACATTGTACCTGGCTTGAAGTGGATACCTCCCTTTGAGAGACAAATTGGTTTTGCGCGGTCGTTAAAAGATACATTCTCTTCTAGCTCCACTAGTGCAATGTCGTTGAAGAGAAACGGTTCGGGAACATACTTTGGATGTTTTAGCACCTGAAAAACGTAAGATAAAATGATTCGTTTTTGTTTGTTTTGTTTTGCTTATTTATGTTTATTTTTTTTTTAATTTAAACGTAATCATGAATATCACCATAATCTTACTTATAACTATAACCAAGAGCCATAATAGTCCTATTATGGCTCTTGCTATAACTTAAGTAAGATTCGAGTTTACGCTTAACAGCTGGCTCGCTAACGATCTATTTCCTGCTGTAGATACTTGCTCTGAAAAAGTATTAAACTCCGGGGGGACTCCCATATGAAACAGACGGGGATGTTCGTCGTCTCGCTTAGGGGTGTAAATTTTGGATTTTGGTCTCGCTTGGGGTGTTCCGGGCAAAGTGCCAATATTTTAAACCGCCAAGGTCTCGTTTAGGGTCCCGCGAAGAACTTGAGATTTATGACAATGCTTTTAAAAACTACTTTTAGATAAAAGCATTCGATGATTATGTCTTTATATCATTAAAACTCATTGCATGTCGTATTTGTGTGTTTTTAAGCGGTCTCTTTTAGGGGTCAAAATTTGCTTAAGCCACGCCCAGATTGGTCTCCTTTAGGGGTCACAAAAAGCTTGAGCCACGCCCAGATGGTCTCCTTTAGGGGTTAAAATCAAAATTTCCGACGAGTATCCCCGTCTGTTTCATATGGGAGTCCCCCCCCCGGGATTAAACTAAGGCAGGCTGCATTGAAGTATGACCAGCAGATGTCATCAGTCTTAGGTAACGCGTCATCGCATGAGGTGTGATAAAGCCACGGAGTTGAGCCGAGGTTCTTTGACTTTTTTATCGCTGGTTTCCAGCTGACGTAATGGTAGCCATGCTGGATGAGAAAAACAAAAGGATTTCCCTCCGCCAGGGGCCGAACTTTTTCCATGCAAATCTTGCGATCTTTTTTTAGCCAACCAACTAACTGTGGCCTTGTCAAACCTTGTCAGTCACACAGTTGCAAATCAAGAATATTAAAAATCAGCAATCATCGTACCAATCACCATGGTTGATCAACAGGAGGATTTTATGTCGCCCAGGGCAAGATGGAGTTTTTCACCCACTCAAGAAAATAACGTTGTTGCCCTCAGTTTTCCTACTAAGTAAAAGTATCAGTTTAACAACTCCTTATGATTTGGTACTTCGTGGCTCCTTGATAAAATATTGAAAAAACCGTCTGTCATAAGGTCACGGAAAAAAAATCAACCTCTTTCGTGAAGAGTTTTTGTTCTTTCTGTCCCCTTGAAAAAGACAGCTCTCAGCAACGAGGTTATACAGCAAAACTTGTGAATGGTTTGAGCCCAAATTACAAAAATCTAGCTTTCTTGCCAGACTTCAAAAAAGAAGGTTCTTATTCGCGGGTGTTTACCGTGTAATCGGCCGGGTGAGCGTAGTGTCAAAAAGGACAAGTGTTAACAGTGACAGACGTTTATAAAACCTGTGTGGTAGTCATCTTCAGAGTCAAACTGAGTTGTATGCCGCCAGTTGATGGTATTTATAAGCTCTGGCTATTCACTGTTATTAGTCGTCTGTATAAATGTGATTGGAGTGTTTCGATCCGTCTTCTTTCACAGCCATAACGGTCGTTTAATTGTAAGTCAAATTGTCTTGGTAAATCGAAAATTTGACTATCGCACAGGTTGCCAAAGCGTCAGTAGCGTCAGTTATTGTCAACAACAGTCCTATTTAGGACTAAACTCAGGACGACCATATGACACCTACTTATAACAAAATTAATTCGACCAATAATACAAACTACAAACAGATTTCATCCGTCTTACTCTTCTGATAGCGATGATCGTCTCATTTTCATCTTTGGTTACGTCATAATCTCCAAGCACGGCCCACGTATAAGGAAGTTTAGCTTCATACCCTCGTGGAAAGCAATGAGCTGCAGTCAGCACCCACTTTTTACCGATCAGAGTTCCACCGCAGAAGTGCCTCATAATGCCCCTTGGATCGGTTCGGAAGCTTACTTGCCAGGGAAACTCTTCTGGCCTGGCTACTGAACCACCAACAATACGAGGCTTCTTTCCAATCCCACAGGTTATGTTTTCCTCGTGTGAGATTCCTCCTCCCCATGACCAAACTGTTTCGTTTCCTTCGTCTAATCCTCCTCCTACTCCGGTCACCTCTCCGCCTGTGATCAGACAACGGTCAATCCATCAGTCTTAATCCTAAGGCTTCAAGGACTTGTCCCCAAAGAATTTTCTTTAATGTTTCAGCGAATAACGTTTTCTAAGTAGCTACTTCTCTGTGATAAAATTCTGTAGCATTGTTAGTTTAAACACTATTAATATAGTAGAGGTTTACCGACGCGGTCGGCATTACTGCCTTCTATAGCGGGAGGGGGGGAACAGAGAGGGAGTGGGTGTTGGGAGGGGGGCAAACGGAGCTTTTTGTAAAAGATCATGTATTCAATTCACCTCAGTTTGTCAACCCTGAGGAATTCCTTCAATGCAATACTCATTCTTCTCGCAAAACCAACTAGTTTCTTCCTTTTATTTTATTCTTTTGATCCTTTTCCTAAGGTAATGAAATATTTGTATCAGCGATCTGATGAACTGGCACGATTTATTTGCTAAGATTCTGAACCTTTCGTCTGCATTTGCTATTTTTAGTGAATATACCTTTTGGGCATAAACAGGATGAAGGATGACTTCTCTATGCACCCTAATAGGCTCCACAATTACTTTCACCCCTTATTTCTCATAAACCACCTTAGAACCAAACCTGTTTTAGGAGAGATGTTGTTTTTGAACTCTGCAGGGCTGCCTTTTGCTCCTCGGGGACTGTAACGAGCGCATACTATGTCACCATAAGAAGAGGATCGAGCAGAGCCAACTCCAATTTCAAATGAACTGTTCCAAACAACCTTTATAAAAAAAAGTTAATTAACAATTATTCCTCGAGCCCGAATGGGCTCTGATTCAACAGCCCATAAGGCCAAAGGCGGAATGGGCTATTGACTCAGAGGCCAGGAGGGCGAGAGGAATAAGTGTTTTAGTAAAATCCAACTAGTTGGTCAAAAATATCGAGACAAAACGACTCAAAGCTAGCAAAACACGATTCAGCCGCCATTGTTTTGGTTTTCAAAGCCGGCGCTTTTCGCTACTAGTGGGCTATAACATATAGCCTAGTAGGAGTTCAACTAATCAGAACGCAGCGTTGATAATAGACCACTAGTTGGATTTTACTAATACGCATTAGTTTGTGAGAGACCTTGAACAAATGAAGCTACAATCTACAAATGAAATATGACAATATCACAAAAACTCTCAAATAAAGAACTATTTACACAGGATAATAGTTATGCTGACAATATCGGATTAACTACCTAGGTAAATAACGTTTTGTAATACTGAACTAGCTACAACTCTAAACGTGTGACCAGTCGAGGATATACCTGGTCCACTAAAGAGAGTAAGGATCGAAATAGCTGTAACATTGTTGTGACGTCAAGAGAGGACTGGAAACACCTGCTATCGTTTCTCAACCAAGTTAGTGTCCCGGATACTGTGTGGCTGATTGATTGAAATACAATATTGATGCGCGTCATGGAAACTGCACTCTATTTTAAAACCTAGTTAAAGAATGGATTTTTGTTACTTCGTTTTCTTTTCATAGTTACCTGTGCAAAGTTTTTAATTAGCATCCCAGGGGCCTTAGGCATTCCTGTCTGGTAGTTGTAACTCTGTTCTTCTTTATACCATTCATCAACAACCTTCTTGCAAAGATCTGGAGTAGGACCTGCATTTTGAAGATTACTTCCATTCACAGCAGCGATATTTTCTCCGTGATTTTCTTCGTCCATTGTTTTGTTATCGTGTCCAAGTTGGTCATTTAAAGCGAGTTTTTCGCACCACTTTTGAGCCTCGTCAGCTAGCTCCTCTGACCAGACAAGTGACTGTGAACCATGAAGCCCTCTTAGTTTATTATGAGCAAGCACACAGGCTTTACCAAACTCGTCGTATGCATTTATCCCTAAACAAAAAACTGCATTAACACTGGAATATATACGGTGAATTGGTTGCTTGGGTTTAAATTAGCGTTTAACCGCCAGCAAGGAAATGTTCGGTGAAAACTGAAGAGAACTTAAAAAGCTGAAGAGTAGACGGGTGTTACCGTGCCCTGAAACACACTTTTATCATTTGCCCCCAATTTTTAATTGGCATAAGTGACTGTTTTCGAATTTTCTTGTGAAAATGCAGTCCTACCAGGTATAAAATGTGTCATCTGTGGTTAAGAAAAAACAACAAGAAAACAACGGTCTCAATAACGGTCACACGTTTCTGGCTGCCCTCTTAGCTTTTAAATTGCGCATCCTGTTTGGGCACACTTCCTGTCATCGGCAATGATTCAATTTGTCAATGGTGGCTTCTTTTTCGTCATCGTTTTCTCCATTTATTTTAATTTAAGGAAGGCGTTGCTTAAAAGTCGTCCAAATTAGGTCACTTTCTTCCCTTGTTTTATAGTCAACTTACACAAAACAGTCTGGGTCACTACTAAACATAAAGCGGGATGGCAGTGTTAAGTGTGCGCAGAAAATTAAGGGAAGGCCCAGTATGTTCTAATAAAACGCGCGCAAGTGTAATCATATAACGGATTCTTAAGGGTCCGTCTCAACTGAGGACTCTCTCTGCAGCTGAGTCCATTTGCTTGCCACCGAAATAATAATTAAAAAAACATAACAATAAGACAGCTCCATATGAAAATATTTAGACTACAAATAGTCATATAATTTTGTACAAGTTATATGTAACTCGAGAAACATCGGCAGGGGCAGTGACTTACCGTTAAGGTACAAAAGGGCTATTGTAAGAAAAGCATGAAGCGAAATTGGCTTCATTGCAAGTAACCCAATTATCTTTCAACTTGGCCACTAGGGCAGCTGTCAGTTAATGTTTAAGGTTGAATGTCTTTTGGTCTCCAGCTATGACTTCATTGTGATTTACTGCGGTTACAAAAGAACAAATGAAATATGGCTGGTCATCCGTAGAAAACTTGCAACGCCTCTTGTTAATAATGCATGACTGAAATTGAAGCAAATTGTTGTAGTCAGTGTAACGTACTTTAACCGGGGAATAAAGACTATAATGTACAAGGGCCGATCTTATTCACCAAAGTGAAGGATACACATGTTTGTTTATCCCTTCAAAAGTGGACAGTAATAACAGTGGCAATTGACAATGCTGGTGTATTGCGGCTTGCTTTATATAACCCGCAAGAAACAAGCTCAGTCAAGTTATGGGTAGCCTGTTCACAGACTCTATTTTCTCTTCAAAGTCCGTCGTGCGCGCGTGATGGAAAGCAAAACCGCGGGGGATTTATTGACCGTTAGCGGGGGTGTTCTTGCGCGCTCGCCGTTTATCGAAAAGAAAAATATCAACCTCTGTGTTCAGGCTAAGTTATGGGTGTTACAACCACATGTAAGACAATTCCATCTCCCACTAACGCTCGCCTAGTTTTCATTACTAACAAGATTTTTACCTTGTTAAACAATTGCCTTAAAAATGCCACTGCTTGACACACGGACATCCTACTAAGCCTGAATGACATTTTAAAAAATGTCTCAAAATCCAACGTGCTTCTGTTAGAGTGCGTCAGAATATTCATGTACATTCGTCTGTGAAAACTAGTTAAGAATTGAAAGTAGTTGTCAGTTAGACTTTTTAAATCTCCCAATTGCACATATTTGATCTTAACCTGTCTTCAGAATTATTAATAAAAGCTACAATATATCGAAAATAAAATACTATCAAATTGTTACAAAAATAGTCTTCAGTTTTAACATAGTAAAACTAATACAAAACGAGATTGCAATAGCCCCTCCACTCTTCTAAATCTATTGAAACATAAAGTTTCCGTGTTTATCAAGGTCCAGTTGTTCGTGATCCGTTAAGCGCTAACCCAGGGTGATGATGGACGTTTTATATTCACCAAAAACGTTTGGAAATTGTTTTGGAAAGGTCCATGTGAGGAACGTGTTCCAGTTGTCAAAAGTTCCAATCGTTCCCCTTTCTCGCTAAACTTTAAGATGGCGGCTTAGGTATCGTCGTGAATGAACAGGTATAGTAGTATAGAACATCCCATAACCTGACAGCTATTTTGGTAATCTTTCAAAATTGTATCCATAACTATTTCGATAACAAATATAATGAAAAAAAATGTTACAATATGTAGATTCTACAAATAAAAAAATGCTTTACTTATCAAACCAGTTCTTATTTCATGTAATCTTGATACTGTTTGTTCCTTTGCAGAACAAGGTAATGATTGGAAAGTTAATGAAGCACCAGAGCAGAGATAACTTTAATTTTAGTTCAAGGAAACAATAACAATGTCAATTTTTACAGTAGAATATTTTTGAAAGATTTTTCAAAAATATCGCATGTGAAGACACTTTATATGGTACCTTAATAAATTTTTCATGGGCTATAACACATTGACTTTTTTGGCGAACCATCTTCATTGGTCTTGATAGGAAGTACTGTTTCCACGTTAATAAACTCTGGAAGTATAAAACTAAATACGCAAAACAGTATTCTGGCATATTACCTATTGTTAATTCTCAGTACTCAATAATAATTCTACTCTGCGATGGAAAAACGAAATCAATTAAACTTACGATATCTTTGCATGTGGTCAGAACGCCCATAACTAGACTGTTTGCTTGCTTTTAATCAAATCTGTTGAATTCACAAAACAAGGATAAGCACCCAAAGAAGGTGGCTAAATTTAAAAAGCAAATACTTTTTCCTGTATAAATTCCTCCTCTTAGTTACCTTTTACTCCACGATAATAGCAGTTTGGAGGTTCAGTCTGTGATATTGTTTCACTTAAAGTCGTGAATTATAAAAAAGGGGCGGAATTATTTTTTTGGATGGCTAATCAAACGTCATTCTCTGCCTTTTAACAGCTGGAGAAAGCGAAAATCATGATTGTATCATAGCTAAACATGACAGCTCCTTCAGTCCCTTTATTTATGATTGAATCGTAACTAAGAAATATGACTGATTAACCTCATAAAATCTTCTACTTTCACCCGGTGACATCAAGGCCGATTAAAGACTTCCTAAAGACAGGGAAAACGCTAGGAGTGTGAGCAAGCTCCTGCAGTTCAAAAAGAAACATCACAAGGAATGAATCCACTTCCGCTCTGTTTTTTCATCATAATTACTTTTTTCCATATTTCAGGTGAGACTTATTGCAACTTGAATGACATTCAATGGTCGAATTAATCTATACTAGAAATCGTCTATGACGAATTTCTCGTGTGATATAGACAGTTTGTTTAGAGGTAAGATCGTTAAACGAATTATGCTCCAGAACCCACATTCCACAGATTTTACTGTCAGCATTTGATGGTCTTTATAACGTATTGACTGAGGGAGGACAAGTAACAGGCGGATTTAATGCGTCCAAAATTTATTTCTGCGCTGGAAGAATAATAAATGCGTATGCTAAGATTCAAGTTGACTATAAAAGAGTGTCAGTACCTCTCTCTTCTTAGAAAAAGTACTAGTGCCTCTATTTACCCGTTTCTCCTTGGTCCGGTAGCCTGCGAACGTACGCTTATTTCGGGTTGTCGCTTCTCTCCACCAGGATGGAGAGAAGCGACGACCAGTAGAATATTACATATGTTATTCATTCGAAATTTTTTTTTCTTTTCTGATTTTTCTCCAATAATCCCATGGCTAATTCTTCATAACAAGCCAGGGACTTACAGTATTTGGAGGATGCTGGCAAAATACAATCGATACGATGGTATAAATACATGTATTGAATAGCAACCTCGTTTTCAAGCGGCGGCGCGCCAGTCTAGCTGATTATGCATGAGCGAACTAGTTCGCAGTCCCGAAAGGCGCCACGTTAAACCATTTCTGGAGGATTCTTCAGCGAGTTTTCTGAAGCTTATGTCTCTGAAGAATTAAAATTATCATGTTCTAAATGTGATTTCTTATTTATTAAGAGACGAGCGCATACGACGAGTTTGGGAAATCTCGGTGTCATGGCTCACAATAAGCTAAGAAGGCTACATGGTTCCCATCCACTTGTCTGGTCAGAGGACCTGGCAGCGGAGGCTCAAAAGTGGTGTGCAAATCTCGCTTTAAACGACAAACTGGAACACGATAACCAGGCCATTGACATGAAAAACCAGGGAGAAAACATCGCAGCCGTATATTTTAATGATGAACAAAGAGGAAGCCCTCCCTTTGCAAAAGGTAGTTGATGAATGGTACAAGGAAGAACGGAATTACAACTACCAGACGGGAATGCCTAAGGCACCTGGCCTGCAAATCAAACACTTTGCACAGGTAAAATAAGGAAATTAATTCATCAGTATTGGAAGAAGTTGTCTTTCTCAGTGAACCATTGGGAGGGAAAGCACAGAATAGAGAGAGAAGAGAGAGATGGACAACTTGTGTCATAACACGGGGTGGGGAGACTTGAGATTTGACGTCGAGATAGATCCCCTCGTTAGAGATTTACGGAGAAGATACGGATACCTGCAAGAAATAAGGACACTGTTTTTCGTGCGGCATATATAGAGATCTCTTCAAAAATAATACCTGTATCTGTGTCTGTATCCCCCTTCATTATTCGTGGATTACGTAGTGCAATTTTACCATAAACATGTTTCTAAACGAAACAAGTATCTTAGCTTCCGCATGAAAAATGCTTGGTTGGATATTTCATGATCAGTGTAACATAATCATAGCTATGGATACTGAGACCATTGCCAAAAAGGTATCTATTCCGCGGATTGAGGTTGAACTCAATCAGTCAATTCAGTCATTGCTGTAGCCTGACCGCGGGGAAAATGTTTGGGCCAATTACTACTCGATTTGCTTCAATTAGTTTAGTAAAATCATAACCTTGTTCTTCTCCTTACGAGTTTCAACTGAGTCGTAAGTGTTAGGAATTCTTGAGAGATTAACTTCCGTTGTGTTTATATTTCAAAGGCCGTGTGGAACAATTCATTTCTGATCGGAGTTGGTTCTGCTCGCTCTATGCTACACGGTGATATAATTTGCGCTCGTTACAGTCCACGAGGTGCAGGTGGAAGTTCGGCCGATTTCAGAGAAAACATCCCTCCTATAACAGGTACATGCCATCCGTGCCTTTCACCCTTGTTCCCTTACGTGTTAAAATCTTCAACTTTGGAAATTACTGAAATCTTCGAAAGCCTTACATCATCGCCTTTTTCGTTTACCAATTGAAAATGACTTCCTTGTTCATCTTTTCATATTTTTCTCACGGCACATGTATATATGTAAATTTGGTATTTAATTCTAAACTATGTCCTTTGAAGTTACCAATGATACGCTAATGACCCTCGGGTCTCGGAAGATAAAAATTACACCAAAAATTAAAAAGATCTGTCTCAGCCCCAAGTGCCACTTCAGCCCTGTCTTATTCAGTCCCTCTTGGAGCCTTTTGAGCACATTTTAAGTCAAAACACCCCGATCCAAAGCCTATTCCAGCCCACGCTGAGACTCATTTAAACTCTTGGATCCAAACGCAACCCTACTTAATTGGACTGTACTGGCTCTGTATTTTACTCGCCGAAACGGCCCCATTTTTAGGGCCTAAACAGATCTTTCTGATTTACAGTGTAGGACTTTAGTCTTGATTTTTTTCAACCGCTCACTCCTCCGTCATAGTCTCTGGAAAAGGCTCATATGATGTTTATACCTCTGATAGCCCATGGTTATATGGGCTCCTGCTACGATTTATTGCAATGAAATTGCTGCTCAGGGCTGTCATCCACTCCCTCGAAAACAGTCGCCGCAATTCATCTCTGCCTAAAATTGTAACGGGCAGGATGAGCAATAAGCCTCCTATCTTAGATACTGAGTCGTGAAGCCAGTTTAGTCGGAGCAAATTGCGACACAAACATTGTGCC